TGTCCACTCCGTACGCAAGCGTTGGCGGACATCTCTTTTAGCTGCAGCTGCGAGCCGTATAATCGGTCGATCCCGCGTCCTCACTGAGCTTATATCAACTCCTCTTATCGCAGCCTCCTTGGCTGCCTTGTCCGCCTTTTCGCTTCCTTCCACCCCGATGTGAGCGGGGATCCAACGCAGTTCAGCATCTTTCAGGCCCTCGTTCCTCAGGGCCCTAATCCTCCCATAGATAGCCTGCAGTGCGTACTGGCCTGATGGCCGGCCAGGGTTGCGCACGGCTTGAATAGCTGCCTGGCTATCTGAGAAGACCGTGATCGGGGTTGGCTTCGCCCGATCCAGGGCCATTCGGGCCCCTTCCAACTCCCCACGTAGACCGTAGAGTTCAGTTCCGTTCCTAGGTGCTTCCTGGCGGTCCTTCCTGCCAAATAGTTCGCATCCAGATCGCTTGGATCTCCTCCCAGACTCTCTGTGCGCGCTCATTCCCCATGATCCTCAGGAAAGCATAATGCGAGAGAACCAACGTACCTCCGACCTTCAACTCCCCAGCGACCTCGCTAATAAAGGTGCGAGTATCCATCCAATGCACACATTCACAGAAGGAAACCAAATCCACCGTCTTAGAACCAAGCGAGCTCTTCTCCCCTGGTTCCTGGAGGAAGGTAAATCTTTTCTCCATCTCCGAGACACTTTTTCCTTGGTGGCCTTCGAGCAACATTTTCCGCGCAATATCGATGTATTTCTCGTTCGGATCGGACGCTGTGACGTGCGCGAATCGGGAGGACAGGCTGGAAGCTACGATGCCGCAATCTGTCCCGTTGTCATGCACGTGTGTCCAGCTAGCTAGAGGCTTCGCGGCGTGGTAGGTGTAGATGCGCTCGTAGAAGGAGGGTGGGTAGAGCGGTCGGTAGGCGAGGTATTGGGTCCAGTTGGACCGGGAGAAGCCGATTTCTGCCGGTTGGAGGGTAGAGGATGTGGGGACAGACATTGAGATGCCTGAGGAGGATTGATTGGGGTTCGATATATATGTGTGTAGGTATGAATGGATGGGGTGACGAGAGTAGAGAGAGGAATGTGATTGTGATGTCTTGTGCGCGGTATATAAAGCTTTTAGCCTCTCTCTGTTTTCATTTTGAAGAATGGAAAGTGGCACATAGAGTGAAGAGATGGAATCTTGGTCTCCAGGCTTCCAACGAATAAAGTGTTGATGGCATCGGAGCCGCCGTGGATACGAGGCTGGACACGAGGGTCGGAGACTTTAGGTGCCTCCTCATGTACGGAGTATAGCCGGGCGATTTCCCCAGGGAGTAGTTTGATCTGTCAGCTGGAAAGATATAGTTCATATACAGAGGTAGGATCCACAAGAAACAAGGCTGACTTGATGATCAGTCGCTGCTACTTTCAGTTAAGCGGGATAGACTAGATGACCGCATCGCCCCGTCGAATATAAAGACGATGGATCCAGGAGATATCGGTAGAACAGCCAATTCTTTTTTTTAAAAAAGGACGGCCAGTGATAACAAAAAGTCAAGTGTTGTGCTCAAACTCGCACACCGCCTCTACCCTGAGGAACAGTGGGAAATTGTGCACAAGAACTGGCGTTTGATGAGGAATCCGAAACCCAAGCCTTCAATGTCTGGCACAAAACCATGAGAAGAGAGTCGAGTGGATAATATTCAAGGAGAAATCATCCCGAAAGATTGAGTAGGACTTGGCAGCTCAGCTATTCATTGAAGAGAGGAAAAGAAGAACGGATAGACAAACGATTCCTCGAAGTCTGTATTCTGGAAAGTCGGTGCGCCTGACCTAGCCATGCTATTACGAATAGAACCATTGGTTTTGAATATTATTCGGGGCATCAAAGTAACAGTTCGGCCGATTTTGCATCACGACAATCCAACAACTACAATTAGAGATTTAAAAGTAAGTATAGAAGTAACAGCATTCTCCAGAGGTACGTCTGCAATGGCGATCCTTACATAGGCTAGAAATCTCTCGGTTCCATGCACCCCCATACTGAGTATGACGAACAACCGATTGTACGCCTGTCAGAACATTCTGAGCTCAAAGCAAAAGCCCCAGGTTCGTAGTTCATACTTGTGACTCTAACATCGATTGATTCCCATCCCCCGGTGACCCGAGCAGAACAGATCTATCACTCATGCGAGCTTAGCTCTAAAACACCTAATATCAATGGAAAATGCTATCTGCTCCTCCAGTCAGGTGTGTATGTAAAATATATCTTGAAGTTTGAGGGCCGAGCTTATTACAATTAGGAATCAATAGTGGAATATGTCCGCAGAATCTGAGAAAATGACAGGATCGGTTTCAACACGAACAGAACTAAGCTGGAAGAGTCGCGCGAACAATCGACATTGTTTTCCACTCTGAATGGCACTTGAGATCGACCATGTGGCGCTTGTCAGTCTTTCGCCCCGTCGGTCTGCGCGCTTAAGGCCGGTATTTCCGACAGGCCCGATATGTCCATCCCGGGACGCATTTAGGGCTCTGGAAATAAGCATGATGATTTATAATTAACCCCCTCGCAATATAAATAGCTACAGACAAGTCCCGAAGATCTCCATACGAAGCGGAAGGTTCATGAAATCGCTTGAAGATCACGTGAAAGGCCTTCTTCGACTCCTGGATAGTTGATCATCTTTATCATCAATCCAATCAATTTATTCATCCTTGGCAGCTTATTCCTTGCACCAGGTATTCCCACAACATCATATAAACAACACTCAAGTATCTATTCCTATCATTGATTCATCCAGCCACCATGACCCAAGAATACGCCAAGGACAAGCCCCAGGGCTTCACAAACCGCATTGTAAAAGTGGCCGTTGTCGGAGTATGTCTTATCCTTGAGATAAGATAATGGGTTCTTTCTAACAGAATAACAGGCTGGCGGCCAAGTCGGAAAGCACGTAACAGAGCACCTGCTCAGGACAGGAAAGCACACCGTGACGGCGATCACCCGGCCGAACAGCACCAACAAGCTCCCAGAGGGTGTCCAGATCGTACGCGTCGACTATAGCGGCGATGATGACTCGGCGCTGGTGGAAGCTCTGCGCGGGCAGCAAGTGTTGATCATCACGATGGCAGTGCTGGCGCCCAGAGACACAACCAAGAAGCTAGTGCGCGCCGCCGCGAAGGCCGGGGTGCCCTATATCCAACCGAACTGGTTCGGCCACGACTCGCAGAACCCGAAACTCCTGGAAGACACCCTTTTCAGCCATCAAGACACCTGCGCCGAGATCGAGAGACTTGGTGTGAGCTCGTACTTGCTCCTGAACTGCAGTTTCTGGTACGAGTTCAGCTTGGGAGGCGGTCCCGATCGATTTGGGTTCGATTTCCAGAACCGGTCGCTGATCCTGTTCGATGATGGAAATGCCCCCATGAATACGAGCACTTGGCCTCAGTGCGGCCGAGCGTTGGCCAGCTTGTTGAGTCTGAAGGAAGTCCCGGACGACGAGACGGATAAGTCGCCTACGCTGTCCCAATTCCGGAACGGTCCCGTCTATATCTCGAGCTTCCGACTCAGCCAGCGCGACATGTTTGAGAGCGTCAAGCGTGTGACCGGCACTACGGATGCCGACTGGACCATTACGCACGAGTCGTCCGAGGAGCGATGGAAGGAGGGTCACGCTGCGGTGATGCAGGGTAACTTTATGGCCGGGTTTGCAAAGCAGTTGTACAGTCGGATGTTCTTCCCCAATGGCGATGCTGATCTGGAATCTAAGTACGAGCTGCAAAACAAGGTCCTTGGATTACCGGTTGAGGATCTGGACGAGTATACTGCGATCGGGGTTCGCATGGGAGAGAACCAGGAGTTGCCTTATTGAGAGAGGGGATGTTGTTCCTGTCCGAGTGCCAGCATATTTCGAAATTTGACATCGTAAATTGACTCTAGAATGTTCACCGTATTACGCAAAAAACCTGGCATTATCATGCAGTCTTGTACCCTATTACTGAAGATCAATTTAACTAGCCCAAAGATAAAAGATCCACGGCTCAATCGTCGGATCCCGGATTATCAGAAGCTTAAAACGCCCAAGAGTGTTACCAGTTAACCTGGCCATTACCCCGGAATTATTCCCAAGTTTCCCAGCAACGGCGCCACCATTCAAACTTTTTTCGTTCCTTAGAGACCCTCGCCCCACGCAAAGGGATTCAAGTAATACTCCCCAATATAATTGTGGACCGCATCCCACCCAGCGTAAGCCATGGTTCCAGTGGCAGGAGTGATGAACATACTCCGCAGACTTTGGATCACCGGCTCCCTGGCCCAAATCTGGTATGTAGCATGCAAAACAGCGTTTACGATTGCCACTCGCGCCGCTATAAATAGTTGTGCCACAATCGCCTGAGATTCGATTGGGAGCCGACGCGACAAGAGATAGTGCAGCAAGCTAGCTCTGTACTCTCGCTGTTTCTCGGCAGAGAAGTTATGCTCCACGAAGTTGTCCATGAACGTGCGCGACGATGAACGGCGCAAGAAAGAGATCGTTGTTTCGAATATGGTTTTTTCTAAGCCCTGAGATGCTTGGAGAGGCTTGATCTTGGCTATTTCTGCATTTACGGTCTGCCCGGAGGTGGCAAGCACTTTATCCAAGAGCGAGATGTCGGAGACTGAGAGGCGGCGGGACTCTTGGTCTGAGTCTGTTGGAGATGGCGTTGATTCCATACTGAAGGCAGTCTTGGGGTCTGGTTGTTCAAAGAAAGAGGTGTAAAACCGGAAGGATAAAGGCTGGAGGGTCAGATTTTGGGGAGGATCGGATGTTGGAGATACCGCTGCTTGAAAAACGATCGGTTCAAAGTGAACAGAGGTTGGAGGCATATATTTGATCGCCAGGGGGAACGTGCAGTTATTTGCGAGCTGTGATAGATACTCTCTGAAGAAGTGCTCCAATGTACTACCAATGACGTAAATTGTTAGTCACATGGTGCATATAGCAAAATGAAAGAACCACTTACCGCTCGACACTAGTTGGTTTACGCGGATTACTCCCAGATCGCACTTCCGGTCTTTGAAGGTATCTCATCTTTCCTCGAAAGCGGATCCGAACGGCCTGATAGACAATGCGAGGAGCAGACAACGCTCCAACGTGCGTCCACCGAGCAATAAAGCCAGCGATTTTACGTCCACTAGCAGACAACGGATCAACAGGGGCACCCCAGGAAGCAAGGCGACTTGTAACCTTGACCTGGCCCTCAGGGGTGTTTGAACTCAGATTGGACTGTAGAGCAGGGCCTGCAAGAGGGTCCATGAACTTAGCAGTCATTCCTCCTCCTACCTTCTCAAAAGGTGAACCGAAGATTAATTTCTCCCAGGACCCTTTGTAGTGCTTGCTTTGGGGCGCAGAAGACAGGAACCGGATAGGAACGGGGCTTGCCTGTTGCTTGGTCATGGCTATTGTGTCCTTGGGCTCGTTCTCCGGGTCGTCGACGGTGAGATCATCACCCGTCACACGGAAGAAAAAGTTGCGTTTCTCGAAGAAAGAGTTATTGATTTCCATGATCATTGCAGTCAGATTCCTTTCCGAGTTGTAGAGATACCAGTAACTGATTGCGCTTTTCTGGAAGCATAGAAAGCGAGGGACGCTGATCAGATATGCATATGGGAACTCCTGTGGATTTTCACCCTGAGCGTGACGGATAGTGAGCTTCTGTACTATACAGATAGGTAACCTCGTACTTACCTGAGATTCCAAAAATTTATGTAGCTTCTCCTCCAAGGAAAGATCACCGCTTCCCCAGTTGAGATAGTAACCCGGATCAATGGTGAACCAGCATTTGTCTCTCTGACTTTCCGAAGCTGGGACAGCATCTATAGAAAGAAGATTCCCGATGCGGCCACGAAGACCAACAGGTATACCAACCATGAAGTAATCGTACCAGTAGTTGTATCGTTCAGTTGCAGGAAACCTGCGTGCATGGGAAAGCCGGGCAGGGAAGAGGAGTGGCTGCCCTAAGAACTTATTTTTTCCATTGGAGTTGTCAAGCAAGACCAAACGTCGCCATAGATAAGCTGCGACGAGCAGCTTCAAAAGAAGACACACATTGCCAACAACCACACTCAATCCAGAGAGGAACAGAAGTTGCTTCCAGTCAGGGTGCAGGTTTTTCAATAATAATGCGGCCGACAGAAACAGGCAATAGTATATGGTCTTCCAAGGCATAATGAACGCTTGTGCTGCAAAACTGAGGGCTGTAATTGACCATGAGTTCGGAAGTTGCGTTTTCAAGGACACAGAGGGGCTCAGGGGGCTTCATATACTGCCATCGGGCATACCGAAATGATCTGGTCGTGCTCGGTTGAACTTCCATTCAAGTCTTCGCCCTGCTACCCAGAACTCACCCAGTCCGCTCAACCAACGAGAGCCACACACCGAGAAGATCTCCATATTTTCGGATCGGAATAGACGAAGGATTCTAGCTCCAATGAGTGTGGTCCTCATGTCGAGGGCAGCCTGTGAGTATGAAATGGAGGGTAGTGGTATGTCTGTTAGAGCGAGGCATTGAAGAATCCAGAAGTGATCTGCACGAGCTGACGTGGGCTATCACGACAGATGCCAAGCATGTAAGGAGAAAGACAAAAAGAGCCTTTAAGAAAGCTTTGGGCATATCCTCGGGAACAACAAAGTTAGCCCTAGATTACTGGTAATCACGTAGCGGTTCATGTGGGTACTATACCATTGAATGGCTTATCTCGCGGATAGTGTCATCCCAGTGACAGGTGGATCCGATGAGGAATGTAGATTATTCAATGCGAACCACGGTGGACGTTTCCTAGGAAAGGCGCATGCAGGATATGTATTCCTCGCATCGACAGCTGTCACCGCCACTAAATGACGTCTTTGCTTTTTTTCCAACCCTTTCTACATCCCCATCTTCCCTTGGAAATCATTAGTCAGCGCTGGCAACCGCCACGCCCTTACATCCCTCAGTCTTTTACGAGGCACAACGGTTATCAATACCTTACATATAGATCCCCTGACACCCTACCAGTCGGTCAGAATTCATAGGCTGAACAAAAACCCGTTCCCTTGTAGCCGCAAATGATCTAGCTTAATATAAATACATACATGATGACAGCGTAGTTAGCCATCATCTCCGCATGTTTCTTGTTTTGGCCAATCGTGCATAATAAAAAAAATGAACATTGATTGTATATGCGACATTTAAACAGACTCATGTTTGATACAGCAGTAGGGTTTATGATTCGTTGCACGGCAAAATCGTCATCTCGCCATCTCCGATCGATTAAGTTTGACCCCTAAGCTAATAATAGAGCCTATCAATATTGCTGTCTCACTGTAACTCTACGTCACTTCTAGTTGTAAGTTACTCCTAAGCCGGTCGCCTATCGAAGATTTCCGGCCGGTTTAGCATCTCACCAAGACATGTGCGTGGAAGAACTCTATGTTTTCTCCTGACTTCATATCGGAATCATCTCCACCCTGCTCTCCTTGCGCACGTCCAATCGGAATAGAAATCTTAGCATGCCACTTTCTAACATTCCGACAGTGGAGAATCTGCAATAAAAATTCGGCCTAATCAGGTAATAGTCTAGACACACTTCAAAGACGAACTTCAGAAGGTTGTCCGACGTCTAAGCAAATGAGTGATCTCTAACCTGTTGGTATACCCAGAACTGTAGCATTAATCGTATACTCTATCCCTTCGAACAAGACAAGAGTTTAGCTTTGCCACACCCAATCCTTTTTGACTCAATCTGCACATGAATAGTGGCGTGCTGACGCAAGGCACTATACCGAGGGATTTTGTAATCTATGACAACAGTTGATTAATTTTTCTGCATCTAATTAGACGAGCCGAAAGATAAAAACCCCATCCATGCTCGAGTGATTTGAACAAATCATCAGAGTACTTTCCTTTAGATGGATAAACTGTTATGACCCATTAAAGACGGGCAATTATCAATCATGACTGATTTGAAGACCCTCCCCTCTAAAAAAGTCGTCATCGTGGGTGCCGGCTTCTCGGGCCTGGCTATGGCATGCCAGCTGAAGCAGAACCTAAGATGTGACGACTTTGTTGTGTACGAGCGAGGGTCAGGATTTGGAGGAACCTGGCGTGCCAACACATGTATGCTATAGTGCCTATCAAGGATTCTTTGAGCTGGAGCTAACAAACCGGTACAAAGACCCTGGATGTGGTGTTGACATCCCAGCCGTGTTCTACAGTTTTTCCTTCGCACCGAATCCTGACTTCACCAATCTGTTTCCCAAACAGAGCGAGGTGCTGAAGTATATCGACGGCGTGGCCTCGCGGTTGAATGTATCCCGACATTTGGTGGGACATACCGACTGGATTGGGGGCCACTGGGACGAAAACACAAAAACCTGGTCTGTCAAACTAAGAGACGTCAATACAAGCCAGGAGTATGTCCAGACCTGTAGTGTACTGATCTCCGCTGTTGGGGCATTGACAAATCCGATGCCTTTCACCGCACCGGGGAAGGACAAGTTCGCCGGAGATATCATTCACACGGCACGATGGGATCACGGCGTCTCTCTCCGCGATAAGAATGTTATTGTCATTGGGAATGGCGGTATGCTTTTCTCCCCTGTTAACAATCCTCCGCTAATAGCGCCGTTAGCCTCGGCCACACAGGTAATACCTACCATAGCAAAAGAAGCTCGCTCGATAACTCAAATAATACGGGTAGGGTCTCGTGTACTACATTCTGACAGCTTAGGCTAATATATTGTTCATAGTCACCACAATATTTCCTTCCCGGTGGTGGAAATACAGATATTACTCCGCTATGGCAGGTGGCGTTTCGATATATCCCGGGTATCCTATTCATGTTGAGGCTTTTGACCTTCTTGTACCTCGAAACCTCGACTCCACAGTTCAATCTTACGGACAACGGTGCAAAAATGAGAAAACAAACATCGGACATCAGCACGTCTTATATCAAAGAAAGTGCACCGGGTAAGAACACCACGATCGAATCAGTCAGTCGTCGAATGCAGCTAAGATTGGAACTGGAACGACAGCAAAATACTGGCCCTTGTTGATGCCTAAGGCTGAAGTCGGATGCAAGGTACACACTCCCTCGTGACCTGTATAGATATGACAATACTAATAAAATAATTACAGAGAAGAGTCTTTGACCATGCTGGCTACGTGCCCAGTTTGCAGCGTGATAATGTTCACCTTACCAATGATCCTGTCGAGTCCCTTGACGAACATTCTATCTCAACCAAATCGGGCACAAAATACCCTGCCGATGTGATAGTACGAACTGGTCCCTATAAGATCTTTTCCTCCATACAGATCATCTTATCTAATTATTGGATGAACAGATTCTTGCCAATGGTTTCTCCTTGACTCAACACGACGCGCATCTGCAAGGTCGCCACGGACGCAGCCGGACCGACCACTGGAACGAAATGGGCTACATCGAAGCATTCAATACCGTCGGCATGTCAGGATTCCCCAACTTCTTCTACATTCTGGGCCCAAATTCCGGACGTGGGCATACCTCTGCCGTCCACTCTATTGAGAGGTAACCGCCCGACTAAGATAAATGATAGCAAAGGCTTTAGTCCAGCTAACTTAGAAACCAAAGTTACGCGGTTCTCATAACCCGAGTAATCAAACCCATCATCTCTGGATCAGCGCTCTGTGTAGAGCCAAGACTCGAGAGTGAGAAATCCTACAACGAAAAGCTGCAAGATAAGTTGTCTAAAACTGTATTCACGAACTCCTGCAATAGCGTGAGTCAATCAGCACTCCCTTTCATAGATTTTTTTTCAAGGAAAAGGCTAACAGATCACAAGTGGTACATTGATAGCAAAACTGGCCGCAACTGGGTGGTCTATCCCTGGAGCTCATTCTACATGTGGTGGACGACTCAAATCGCTGGATTAGAGGACTGGTCCTATGAGGTTAGTCTCCCGTCGGCAACAATTCGGTTACCCACCAGCTTTATGTTAGAGGAAAACCGGATTGCTGACTTTAAGTTACAGTTCTCCACGAAGCCCAAGGGAAGAGATTCTGCCTTCATCATGCTCATTGCTGCTTTGGCACTTTTGCTCGCTTTCGGCCTCTGGCTGTACGGACTTCAGCCGCTGACTGGTACCGGACTGGAACCGGATGAGTGGATCTCACAGATCCCGACTCACATGTCACTTGGGTCATTGTATGCGAAGGTCATCTGAGATGATTGATAGCCTGGTGATTTTCTAGGTCATTTTTTTGGGGTTACCCTTGCCGAAATTGAAGGCCATGATGTTATTGCATGGAGATGTTAAATGGGACATGGTATGATATTTTGCGAGATAAAATAAAGAGAAGAAGGAAAAGAAACACAGAGAGAGCACTGTCACTTAGAGGAGAAGTATATTATGTTAGAATAAACAATGGAATCTCAATCATCTATCTAAAATTGCTTTGGCTTTTGGACGCAGTCTCAAAGTACTTGTCACGTATATATTATTCAAAACTCCAGGTAGCGTGGTTTTAAAATTAATAATGCTATCTTTAAATGAAGAGTATGGAATCATTCCGAATGTAATTATAATCAAAATTTTAGTATTTGATTGTTGGAAACGCTCAAGTGTAAATTTTGCTTGGCAACTTCGGGTCATTAAAAGCCGGCTAAGGTAACCTAACTCACATTGCTTAGATCAAGAATGACGATTATTAAAAAACCAAAAAAAAACCCCCAAGAAACAAAAAAGAGGACAAGGAGTGTAAAGAATTTCAAATAATGCCCGAGCGGGTACTAGAGTTCTTACGACGTTTAACGTCAAATCCAGATTTGTGGGCCCAGTATCAACCACAACAAAGCATTTAGTGAAGAGAACAATGATGCGCGTGGAAGTGACTCGTTAATGAAGGAAACAAGAGAAAATTCAGTGAAACTGAAAGGCGCTAGACCAGATAAAAATTCATAGTATTTGCCGCAATATAGATCGAATCTATAAAATTATCTATAGTTAAAAGGCAGAAAACAAAATCACAACATGGAAATTCGCTTATGTCATTCTCGCTTGCTGTGGAAATCATGTTCAAAGCAGAAAACAGGGGCGATGTATCAGTCTCTCTCCTACCCAAAATGAAGAGGTGTTCCGCGTATATATAACAATCTCTTCGCTGTCAATATTTGATATCAATGGATATAGTGATAGCGATTTGTAGTGCGACTAGGTTTGCACATATTGACTAATGCAAATCCTCGCTCATCAGTTGCAGGTTGCACCGATAAAGCACATTTAGTCCAAGCGAAGGGTTCCGTCGCGCTGCTCAGCCTTGTCGAGAGCATCCGTCACGCGAGAACCATCGCCCTCGTAAAGGACAGAGTCGTAAACAGTGGCACCGACAATGCAGCCAACAATCGGGGCAAATATTGGCACCACAAAATAGTAGTTGGCCGCGCTAAAGACCTCTCTTCCATACACGATGGCAGAGAAAAGTCTGGGGCCGAGATCTCTAGCTGGGTTGATAGCCTGGAATGTAATCAGCTTGCCGGAATCTCAGATCGGGATTAACCAAGGCGCATCACTTACGTAGCCAGTCTGCCAGCCCAAGGCGGCACCGATGGCGGTCATAAGCAAGAACACGGAAATCTGCTGGGATTGGAACCGAGCGCCATTCGCCGGATCCGAGATACTCAGGGACCCAAACATCAGAACCGCAGCACCGATCCATTCCGAGAATGCGGCCTCCCAGTTCGATGAATAATGCGCGGCCGGATAAGTCGAGAAAATGCCGGCAGAGTGGTGACCAGTGGGACTCAAAATCGATCCTCCGGGGATAGTATACTCAGGATCCCAAGCTTCAATGGCGGAACGATAATTTATGTACACCAAAGCGGCACCGACAAAACCTCCCAGGACCTGGGCGAAGATTTTACCCGGCAGCTTTTTCCATTGACCGGGCGTGGGACGAACAAGGGCCAGACAGATGGTGACGGCCGGATTGATGGTGGGACCGGGGTCAGAAAGGTACCCAGAAATGCAGACGGCTGCGGCCCAAGCGATGTTGATCGACAGCCAGGTGCCATATTGATAATCGGACAAGAGACACTGGGCGACCACGCCGTCTCCGATCACGATCAGGAGAGCTGTGCCGAGAAACTCTGCAACATATGGCTTCAGATCTCTCCTTGAGAAGGCAAATCTGCGAATAAACGACATGATATCCCGGTTCCGGCGAGAGGACGGCGTGCGAAGGGGGGGTGGATTGTTGTTGACCAGGAGGAGCGAGATAACTTGATAAGATCATAACACCCTCCCTCACCGCCTCCTAGCGCTGGCTGACTCAGCTGTTAAGGTGTGGCTGGGCGCCACTGTGGGGTTTCCCGGGTTACCGAATTGGGTAGTCCGCGGCTTTGCTACACAATATACTCCGGAGTAAACACAGGTAGATAGCATCACTGGGAAGGATAAATTGACAACCGATTCGGAAAGAACCAGTGTCCATACATAGAATAATACAGTACCTACACCTTCTCCAAATCTATTGCATTCCATCTATTCAGCGCCTCAGAATGAGAAACAAAGATTCGGGACGACGCTTGACTAATTAAGATGAGTTGTGAAGTTGTGCCCTCCTAGATCAACTGGGACATCTGGAAAATCACCTCATACCGTACACGGCTCTGTGGGAAGTTCCATGATGTTCTCATCTCAACCGCAGAGCCGGAAAATATGGGAGTTGTATTAGATAATGGAGCTTCAGTACTAGAACATACAAGTCAATTGTCAAAATGAATCATCGCACATGGCCACTGCTGTTTATTGCATGTCCCTCAGCTTAGTTACACAGTACCTGAATCTGCGCCATCAGAAGCGCTCGAGTTCCATGTAGCTAGACTCGATAATCAGACCAATAGACTCTTCAATATGAGTCGGCTATGTGTCCTGGGCTCGGGGGATATCATAGAAATTGTAAGCCCCGTGTTAAATCTCAAGTCTTTCCCGCATAGTTCCTGTTAAATGATATACATCCTGGAGATCAACCCTGGGATCAGGAACATACCATGAACTTCTTTTCGAAGCGGGGATTTATTACATTATATAGGCTTTTCCCTCGATTATTCAAAACAAATTACTGAACCTAATCAGTACCCGACCTACACATACAAGTAATTATCACGCAAACAGAAAATGTATTGTGCCTCTCTATCAACACCAGGATAACCCTCCTTTGGTCAGCGCCGAAATTTGTGAGTATCAAGACAATAGACCTCCACAGAGGCTTGAACCTACACACATATTTTTCCTTTCAAGGCTGGCCCAGACGAGCTTGAATTCTACTTGTGATATCCTCTGAAAAACCAAACCCTGAAAATGAGTAATTCACAGGCGCCTCCTCGAGCCTTTAACTCCAACACTCGATATGTTTGGAATGAGCATGTACCCATCAGAGTTCGCGCCAGGGACTCAAACGTTGTCTATTGATACATGTTCGTGCACATCTGGTCGGGAAGCTACGGTGCTTTGGAACTTCTTCGCATATTGATTCAGGCTGTCGACCACAGAACCGCAATGATAACTGACAAGGAAGATTTGCCGTGGTATGGCGGGATATACTGGATCGCTCCATTCTACACCTACAAAGCAGTTGATAGAAACATCAACGGGATATATGCCAGGTTTCGCGGGGAGATGTACGATACTTACAAGGAATGGCGGAGAACGGGCTACGGCTACAACGTAGGCCCGCCCCGCCACTTCCGGCCTCTGCGCCGGCAGGAACACCATGGGCAGGCTAATATTCCGGGCGAGTATCAAGCACAACGCAGTCGACCTCCACGGCATCAACATCGAGGATATCACCGTGACTGGTATTTTCGCCATAATCATCAATCCGGGGGCAGATATGATGATAGATATGACTGACCCGATTTATGGTTATCATCCAGAGTAGGACGATGAATAGGCCCAACTTATAACGGGAGGAGACTCAGGGCAAAAGAAAAGATGCAAAAGAAACTTTTGGTTAGCTGCAAATTCAAATGATACCGTGGACAGAACGTACCTGTCCCTATAGAAGATGCAAGTGTAAGTCTTTCTATATGAAGGGTGAATTTCACTATGTCAACTTAGCAAAATTTCGAGTTGAATTAGAACACAAGATGATGGATAAAGCGACAGCAATAGGCCTTTACATCGTTTTAATAAGACTTTTAATAAGGCACTTTGTCAGCAGTTCTCTGAACTAACTAACTATAAGGTAACAGTTGACCTGGGTGGTGTAAATAAATACCAATCTTGACCCCCATACATGCGTCATTCAGACATCACTTCCTCTACATGATTTCATCCAGTTAAGAATGCGTTATAGAATCTCAAAAGTAACATTAAAAAAACATGATTTAATTACGAAGAAGCTCTGAGTGTAGGAAGCTCTATTAGTTGTATGATTTGTGGTTTATAGATGGTGTGAAAAGGGTGTCTCAGTTTGCATGACGGGTTCATTGCGTCAATCACTACTCCGTGCTTTCATTTGAAAGATAGTTACAAATAAGGGTCCTAAACATGCCCTTGAAAAGCGATCATATTCCCCGTGTGATTAATTCTGCTCTGGGTTTGGCTAGGAATAGCTCAGTCGACTGTTGATTGCTTGACATAGACATACATACCTAGTAGCCTGGTCAATGCCTCTACGGTCACCGAACCATTATAGGAGCCGTATAGATTACAATACCTGGTCCAATTGACGACCCCTACTCTCTGTATCCGTATTACTATGGTCAGCATTTCACATGTAGCGAAAAAACTCGTATCACTGTGTTATCATTCCACCCTCTGGAGCGGCTTATTATTGGCCACTAGAATCGACTAAGCAAAAGAGACTGGGACTCTTGGTAGACCACGGATCAATAGGACACTAGCTTCTTATTAGCTGAATTCGCTAGCATTCTGAGAGCCTTACGCCTTGTGACGGCGGTCAAAAAGGTGACACTATTTCAGCTCTACTCATGCCCCTGAGAGTGTGTTACAATCCAAGAACCACCGTAAAGTGGGATTTCTTTTCGTAATTTTTCCTTCATAAAAAATTCCCCTAAACTCCTTAAATCAATATATCTTTATAAATCGCGACCAAGGAAAATCATTTGTTTACCCATGCCGACCTGCACATACTCTAGAAATGGGGCGGAGTCTATGCTGAACTTTTGATGAGTCGCACTCAATACACTACCGATGCATTGGCAGAAAGGGATGATACCCAGGCGGCTCGCCGGCACCAATACAGCCACACGGTTTGACGGTTCAATTGACTACAATTCGACTAAAATAGACGGACCCTGGCTAACAAGGGTCTTGCCAGGGACATGTCAGCACAGGCCTATCAGCCCGAGCTTCTAACCGCCAGACAGCAAGGCCACCCTAGGGGTTTTGAAGGACACTGAAACAACATCATCTCTTCGGAAATTTTTTGCAACCCTTTCTGACTTCTCAACTTCGTTCTTCAATGTTCTTAACCTCACAAAATGAGCGACTCATACAAGGAGGTAATCACACACGATGGGAAGGAGGTGGTTCATGAGGGGATACAAGTCGTTCAGCCGGTTCCTCCTGGACTCGAGTCCGTTCCTAATGGATACCCTCCAGCTAAAAAGCAACAACCACAGCGCAAATTAATCATTGGAATAGTGGCAGCGGTCGCCATTGTCGTAATCGGCCTGGCTGTCGGCTTGGGAGTTGCCCTTACAAGTATGTTCTTTCGCTCTACTGGGATAAATATCCTTTTTTTCTGACCGTTAAGGACCACATTCTACCCCCTCATCGTCATCAGATCAACCAACTTCCACGGACTCAGGCGCAGGATTCACCTCGTCTGCATCATCATCGTCCACACCAGAACCATCTACGTCCACGTCAAATCCGACATCGACAACGTCAACTGCGTCAGGGACTAAAAACGCATCTCCCACCTCTATAGCCGACAAATACACATGCCCAGGCGTGAACAACACGGAGATCCATAAAGGTTCCGACAGCTATCATGTTTTCTGCGACGCGGACATTCACGCCACCAACAAAAAAGACTTATCTTCCACGGTGCAGAAAACGTTTGCGGAATGTCTGGGGCTCTGTGATTCGATGAATAATTACCAGAAACGCGCAGATGTCGCTCTTACGTGGAATTTTGAAGGTACAGGGCAGCAGCACCCAGGCACTTGCTGGTGTGTGACGGGCTCAAACAAGAAGGTTATATCGAACCCGGGGAATATTGTGGCGGTTCTCGCAACAGAGAACTTCGTGATTGATTTAGAATGAAACGTATTTAAATCTCATATATCCACCTCAGCCCGGAATTAGGGCAATTCAACAAGGTATGTAAGAAATTCACAAAATGCTATTGATAATGGCTCTCTAAGTGTCCGCTGACCTGTACGATGACCTGTCCGAGAAGAGGATGCTAATGGTATACTACGCTAAACTGTTGGAGTAATACGATGTGAGAGATTCAGAAACCTGAATCAAACTACGTCACGTCTTGCGAGAGGACATGTTTCTTCCAGCTGGCGCAGGTGGCGTTGAGGGTGTCATAGCGATATAAAATTTCCAATTGTCGCCCATTCCTCATGGACCAGGGGCTTCAGTCGAAGTTACCATGGCATGTATTCCCGAAGCCAAGCGCCGAGTAAACATAAATACATTATGAGGACTTCCTGTCCCTCGTCTTCCGAATGAGATCGATTTCTTTGTTATTTTCTTGTCGGCATCCCAGCGTCTTCTGACTGACAAAATTAGATTGGTTTCTTTCCCTGTCAAGTAGCCTATTTAATATCTTGATCAACACTGTTTCAATGCTAAACAGCATTTAACCCTAAGGAGTAGAGAAATGGTACTAGCAAATGTAGTTCAAACAGGCTCACATATCACAAGACTTTAATATTGTTCTCCATGCCTCCGCCTCGAGCTGAAGCGCGTAATTTTGTAAAAGGTCTCCTCCGATATGATAGAGGAGAATAGATTTACGTAGTCGCTACTTGTTGATGTTGGAATTATCTTTCCACGCAATAAGGAGAATGGGAAGAGCTATTAAAGTTGCATACTCGATTATATATCAACTTTCGAGATTTTCCTACTTTATGCACATTTCCCAGATGCCTGTTGAAAAATAAAAATAGATTTCTTAGACTATTCAGTATATTTCTCGAATTTCTGCTCTAGTGTGCTTGACTGGTTCTGCAGTGGCGAGAGTTTATTCCCAATTCAAATGCTGCAAATGGATGGCACTTTTCAACTGAAAAGCTGTGTGATCTCATCCGACTCCTTTGCCGAGACCATGTGCACAGGGTCGAAAGGAACCCTTATAAGGTTGCTGCACCTAGCACAAGTACGATTCGGGTGGGTAAAGTGATCATCAATAAAGGAAAGCCAGTCAACTGCGCTAGCTGGGAACACACCACTGTGATCAAGGCCCCCATAAAGTCTCAGATGCGCTTCGTTTCCGTGACGACATGTATCTCTGTACGCATCGACAGTGATATCAGGCAGTACGGCTGTGTCATTCAGCCCTTGGACGATCATAATAGGACCAGTCGCCTTAGCACCTTGACCAGGAGCAACCCGGTTTTGCCATTCCTGTAGATAGCGAGCAGCTTCGGTTATTCCAGTGTCACCGAGGATATCAGATGGTTGTAGACCATACATCAGCGACGAGATGCCGTAGTAGCATGTTTGGGCCTGCGTGGCCAGCTCGACTCTTTCCATAAGCTTCTTGCCAAGCATGGGAACTTTCTGTCTGGGAAATGCCCGCTGGAGAGCGATAGGAAGCCAGGGTATCTCGTAGATAATATCGTATGAGCTGGGGTTGGAGCTGTTCGTCAGGATTTCCAGGCCCAAGACAGTCATGTCAAGATCTTGCTAGAGGGTGCTAAAGCCACGGTGCCCGCATACCTTCCAGCTGTTCCGGTCTGATGCAGAGGACTTTCGGATAGCTTCCAGACTGCACCTCCGCCTTGGGAAAGGCCGACAGACATCAATTCCTGAGTGAAGAGGGTGGGAAAAGCCTGGCGAGCCGCGACCATGCTGTAATAAAGGTCGTTTGCATGGGCAGGGAAGCTGAGATATTCATGATCAATGTAGTCGTTTCCTAGGCCGGCGTAGTCCGTGGCGACAACAGCGTATCCTCTGTTGATGAGCGGGCTCCAGCTTCCGTACTCGTAGAGAGTAGGCTCCCTGGATGGCGGACATCCTCGGAACACGCCAATAGTTCCATGTGCATAGGCAATAACCTTGTACTTCTTGTCATTGCGGGTTGACGCGTATGGAATTGCGATGAAGCCGGTAGCCGGGACCAGCGTGCTATTCAAAGATTGAGACGTGTACTGGAAGCGATATACGCTAACACCAGACACGATGTCCAGCGTAGTGGGATTGACTGGCTCGAACTTCAGAAGATCACCCGGACGCGAGCCATTGAAGTGAGGGCTCGTTGCGTAGAAGTCGAAGTCGAAGTCGGTTCCAAACTGTTTTCTGTCTTCGGATTGTGCAAGAGCGAAGATCCTCTGGCACTCTTTGTCACATCCGTATTGTTGCATAGTAGAAAAAGAAAGGTTGAAGTTGGCAGGATCCAATGCATCAGTCAAGGTGCCGGTCATCAGCCCCAGAAGGGCGACCAACTTGCAGAAGAACATGGCGAAAACCAAGAGCAACGCAAGGATAAGAAAGGAGAAGGTAAGAATGAAAGAAAGGAACTAGCTGTTGGGAAGCGGAATTCAGATCCGGGTGGCTGTATAAATATACGACAACAAAAAGGCCGACCGCTCATTTCGCCGTATTATTTCCCTTTAAAGACATGGCTACGAGTATCCTTGCTATAATGAAGACATCGCGAAAGTGGGCCCTCTAATGACTAGTGCAGTCAGGCTCTACCAGTTGCCGAGGTTTTGCGTGAAAGAAGCGTGTTTTGGAAGACAATTCAATGTTCGATTGGTCTATATCCCTCGCTTCTGATCCGGAAGAAACCGGTCGCAGAGCTCTTCGACTTCACGCGCGCTTGCCTACCTATACATTCTTCCGTCTTCATGCGGGGACCCCGCTCTTTTTCATCTCTGCTTCCTTGCTTTGAAAATTTCAGCGAAGTCCAAGGCCACGAAAAGATGTCGTGTATTAGACTTGATAGACGGTGACTGGGCCATCGGTGCCGTCAATGCCACCAAGATCACACAAAGGTAGGCGAGAACTGTACATTGCCACGCCTAAGATGGTCAACGGCCCTGATGTCCTGACTGCTCTAGTGCACTGGTGAACGACCGTGCCAGTCCTGCCAGCAGAAGCGAGTGGAGTGCATTTCGCCTACTAGGCAAGATAGACTGCAGTTTATCACCTACTCTCCTCCTGCGGCAGTCACAACTCCCAAAATTGCCCGGGACCTGCCGATAGCACCTTCCCAGAAGTACGAACAGGTCTTCTTTTTTGCTGTGGAGGTTTCCCCTATTCTGTTGTCTGCATTCTTCATTAACTCGCTCGGAGATTTGATTCACGACCACCCCTTGACTCAAGAAGCAATATCAGTCCTAGGGGGGTTTTATGCATGTTGCAACGGAAACGTAATATCCTTGTCTAACTCTGAGAAGAACGCCATTCACACGAAGTGGCTTAAGCTGCGACATGCTACTTTGAGTGAGCTACAGGAGCCCCAAAGCGATCGGTTTGATGGTTTATTAGCTAGCTCACTTCTCCTCAGCCTGGCTGAGGTATGGCAGTCCATGATCCCCATTAGCAATTTATTATTGACTGATATTGATGAGCACCGTGGCTCCTTACTGACCCCTCTGCAAATTCCTGGCGTTCTTTTATCAACATAGTAAACTCCTCCATTAGACAGCACGATTCCGTCCATCATCGAAGAACGCGCCAGGAAAAGTCTTTGAGAACATTACTACGCTTGTACTATGCATATAAAGCTTTATGTCTAGAGGAGGATATCGACATTGAAGTAGCATCTCGCTTGGAAGCTTTAGGGTCTAGAACAAATTGTCTCCAAGAAGTCAACCACGATCTTCATCAGCAAGTTGAAGATCAAATGTTGGAGTACTTCATCGAAGATCTGGAAATGTGGGCCAAGTTACAATACTGGTACGTTAACTTCTAGCTGCAGTCCTTCCCATTGCTGACTTGGTACCAAGGATCGTCTCTTGGACGAGCGATAAGCAGACCGATTCGTTAAGCATTTCATACGATACCTCGTCCTATTCTCAACTCCGAGGCCTCGAGCTAACAAATATCGCATCGCGCTTCCAGCGAGATCTTATTGCCACCATCCATTTTCACTCTCGCTCCAGTATCGCAACGAGCATGCTGCCTCTCTACCATTGTGTCAATGTGGACATATCAAGAATGTTTTGTGATACGAACTGGTGTCTCTGAACTGCTCGCTCCCTGCTATGTCCCGGCAAATGCGATATGAGCAAGCCACTAGGGCCATTCAGTGCTTCGAGGATCGGATTCAGTACATGCACCTCGAGGCAATCTTGTATGGCCCAATCCTCTATGTGGCTGGGATGGAAATGAAAAGTCAGTCCGAGAGGGGGAATTAGTCGTATTCTCGACAATCTGAGGCGAAAGGGCTTCTCGGTAACTGAGAAATTTGAATCCACCATTCAAGAAGCGTGGAATGAGCTTTAGCCATCAGGTCGGTTTTTGATGGCTTTGCACCGACGTACGTATGTAATACTGCCGCACATAGTTTTCAGATAGCCTCTGCCACAATATTTGTTTGAATTCATTTTTTTTAACTGGCTTTCTCATCTGATACTATAAAGGATATTTGGAATAGCGATCCTTTCTTCGTTTGCTGATTTCGGCTTTATGAGGTCTGTTCACGATAAACGATAAACGATCAATGATATTCTCAATTGTGGACTACTTGACAAAGGCGATATTTGATCCCATCAGCCATTCCGATTCTAGGTTTTGAAGCAACTGAAGATAATTAACCACGAAATATGCCTCATACAAACCAGGCGAGCCGGTATTTACCGCCCCATTTCCCGCACCCTACATATAAAAATATTCTAGGCAAAGAACAGGCTATGCCATCCCGTTCTTCGAGAAGATTTGAGAGAGACATTACTGCTGCGAAAAGACCTGGGATCTGATACCCACCATGGCATCATAACTTCTAAAAAATAAACACCTTCCGGAAATGTGGAGCTCTGGAATAGAGGGAAGAGCGTCCATTGGCCCGAAGATCATCTCTTGACATATTCAACTTCCATGCTGAGACTAGCGTGATATGATAAGATCTGCCCTGCCGATTTGGGTAGTGCGGACAAGAGGCTGAGTTGAGGCACTCAAAATGATGGCGTGCGTTATCATACGCAATGACAGAGGCTTGGAACCACACCCAAAATATCGAGTTGTCTTTAGAAAATATTAAATTTATAATGTTTTCCAAGGTACAAAACACCCCAGTCTCTCACAAGAAAACAAGAAAATATGCTAAGCACATGGAAATAGATCTATTATTAGGAAATAAGCCGTACATAATAAAGAGTGCAAGGCCGGAAGGAAACTACGCATTAACTGTTCATAAGTCGGATGATAATTGAAAATCGCCGGCATATCATATATGTATCATCGTGAAAGGGGTCCTAATGCAACTTTTTTGAGCTTCTGAACGATCTTGATTGCTCCACCATTCTAGATAACTTATCAGCATGAGGCTTTGATGGAAAGCAGAGCAATCCTTGCCATAGTAGCAACCGAGATGAAAGCAATGGGACACGGTTCAAACCCACGATCTCATTCTCCTGTATGACGCAATCACAGAAAAGGCCTTTGCACGAATCTTCCATCCCTGGAGAGTAATAGGTCCCATTGCACGTACCACCTTCACAAATCGACGTACTCGATGGGCGCTCGGATAAGTCGTCCAATGACCATTGACAGATCGTCAAGGAATACCTAGGCTACCGGCAATGACATTAGGCTCACAGCCTCGCAGGAGTTTGTTTCCACGAAATAGAAATTGATCAGCCTCGTTTCTGCGCAGATCATTGCTTAGCTTTTTTTTTTGCCCCAGATTTACAGTTGCCCCTTGGCTCTTGGCATTGAAAATTACCCGATGAGGGATGGTTCACGGTTCAAGCTTGGCAGATAAACTTCCTCAATAGGACTGTGGATGACGAAATTGTTTGGTGTCACAAGGTAGTGACCAAGCAATAATAAGGTATTTAAGCCTCCAAAATGACTCTACCTCCGTCCGATCATCAAAAGTTCCAACCTCTTCAGCGACCATGCTCTTAAAAACTTTTCTGTTCCTCGTTGCAGTACGATCGGTCAATGCGGAGTGCAAATGCGTATGCCCCGTTCCTTCTTTCTATTCAATAGTGCCCTTTCAGCTAATTTATTACACTGAATAGACTCCAGCAGATGACTATTGGCCCTCGCAATCCGACTGGAGCTCCCTAAACAAGACGGAGAACGGAAAACTTATTGCGAACCAGGCAATCACCACCCCATGCTTTCAAGGCGCAAACTACGACGCTAAGACATGCGACAGTATCACTGCAAACTGGAGCAGCTCCTGGCTTTTAGAAAGCTCTCCTATTGGGTATAGCTATCCATTGATTCAAACATGTACCCCCTCGAACCCGTCTTTAAATTTGATGTGTGACTTGGGTTCGGCGCCGGTTTTCACCATCAATGCGACGAATGCGAGCGATGTTGCCGCTGGGATCAAGTTTTCCAAAGACAATAACGTGCGGTTGGTGATTAAGAGCACAGGCCATGATGTTGTGGGAAGGTAGGTTGTTCTCCGCAAAACAAGGAACGCCCATAGCTGACAAAGGACGGTCAGATCCGAAGGCTACGGCAGTTTGTCTATCTTAATCAAGCATACCAAGGATGGCATTCACTTTCAGGCACAATATAATTCTTCCACAAAGTGTAAATCCAATTGGACCGGAAGCTCTCTTACCGTTGGCGGTGGGTACGTTTGGGAAGACGTATATGCCAATGCAGCCGAGCACGGTACCATTGCCGTTGGTGGCAGTGATAGGGTATGTCGATCCTCAACGTGATGACGATATAAGCTAACGGTAATTCAGAGTGTCGGAGTAATTGGTGGCTACCTACAAGGTGGTGGCCATGGTACGGCGTCAAGCGATTTCGGCCTTGCGACCGATCAGGTCCTCGAATAAACGGATGTTCTTACATCTGGAGAAATCGTCACAGCCAGTGAATATCAGTATCAAGATCTTTTAATGGCTCTTCGAGGTGGCGGTGGAGGCACTTACGGCTTTGTTGTGTCCGCTACTATCAAAGTTCATCCAACACGTCCGGTTCTAATGCACACTTTGAGCATTGTGCCGGCAGGGGAAAATCTCTCGGCCTTCCAGGATGCCATTGGGGAGGTATTATCCCGCTATCCTCATGTATCCGATGGAGGATTTTCAGGAACGGTTTCCTCCAAAAGAACGTGTACCAGCACACCTTTTCCAAGCTACTGGACAACACCTACTCAGCCCTTGAATCGGGCAAGAAAATTATGAACAAGCAAACAATCGACCACCTGAGCCCCCTAAATAGGACAGCGCTCTATGTCCTATCGAGCTTCAACTATTTTCCCAATTGGTATGCGTTCTTCCAGGGCAGCGGAAGTCATATAAGCGACACGGGAACCAGCGCGGTTCTGCCATCCGGTTCTTTGACAAGCGATCTCTTCTTTCCTAGCAAGAGAAATTGAAGAATCTGATACGCACCTTTTTCATGACTCTAGCTTCTGGAACAAAGCCTCAAAATGCCCTCTTGGAGCTCTGCCTCGTTGGTGGCGGCAAAGTTCTCGACCCGGCGCCGCTCACATCTGTCAACCCTGACTACAAACACGACTGGTACGGCGACATGTACGAGTGGCTTAGCTCTGTTTAAAGGAAGTATGACCCAGAAGAAGTCTTCTGGTGCCATCATTGCATCGGTAGTGACGGTTGGGAGGAGTCGACTGGTGGGACAGTCTATGGGCCCTTGTGCAAGAGGGAACTAATGTTAGGCGATTAACTATTTTGGGGATTCTGTGTATATGTTTATATATCAGTTCTTTGTTCAATCCTTTTTTTTTTTTTATTTCAGCAATCGATTTACTGAAGTAACATTTTCTATTCTTAATCAATCCGATTAAAAGAACATTTACAATGACCACATCATCCCTTACGTATCCCAGGCCTACCTCCTTACTTTTCTCTCTCTCTCCCTCCCTCCCTTTTTCCTTTCTTTGTTCGGATCTAGATGGCCTAAAATGCTTACATCCACTGTTACGGCTTTAAGCGTTTTACATGCTTAAGGTGCAATCTACCAAGTATTGCGCCGTTTCCCTTTCATGTACGAGGTGTCATAGAAGACCTCTGTCTTCCTATATTCATCGATTCATCAATCAATTCATTTATTGCGTCCTTACTTTCGACTTACTAAATTGATTCTCGTCGCCCAGTAGCCATCTAGCACATACAAGGTATTCGTAGTCAATAACTTTCAAAATATATCTTTGCATCCCGCGAGCCTCTAACCCATTCTCGAAATATATGACGCTTGAAGAATCAATAATGTAGACGAGGTACTAATGACTTGGGAATTCTCGATTTGACAAACTTAACCACTGTGGCTTGTCATTAAATATGATTGGGATGGTGTCAGCGAATATGGGGCAATTTTACCGCCAGGATTCAACACCTTGCCGTTTCCGTCTAGATCAACTCTGACGGCATTTCATGGCTTCGAGATAAGCCGATTTCAAAGAAGCCACGTAGTCATATTGCATGTTAAATAGCTTCGTTTCGATCCTCTAGATCAAGAGGATCAGACCTTCATTGAGCCTCGATTCTGCATACAAATTACTAGGCAATACGAAACCTAATTGTTCCAATAGTTATGAGCCCGGAGACCCTTGGTATCGGAGACGCTTACCTTCATTCATTTGATCTCTTTACCAACCCCTTTGCAACCATTTCGATTGTCTAAAACACAAGAATTGAAGCTGCACAACATGAGTTCCACCGCTTCGAAGGTCTCGGTCGTTTTAAACGATCGAAGCGATTGGAAACTATAGATCGACCGGATCCGCATCTCTGCTGGTAATCAGTGGGACTTCTTCAAACCTAATGGCGATAATTCAACTCGCAGCAAGGTCCCGAAAAGGCCAGAGCCTGAATTTCCTAGACAGGAAGAAGGTGAAGCCAGAGATGTCTTCAAAGAACGCTAGGATAGGTATACCGAAGAATTAAAGATAGCTACCAAGGCGTACAACAAATATGACACCCTCAATACGAAAATCATGCAGTATATCGCTGATTCAATCCCTTCACGATATTTCTACTTGATCAGCAACAAGTCATCAGCATACGACCAGATAGTCGCTTTACAGGGACGGTTTAAACCTTCAGCATACGAGGAACAATCCTACTGCCTTCGAGCATACGAGAAGGTGTGCCACGGCCCTAAAAGGTCTCAAGACATCAAGAAATGGATAGAGGACTTTGAGGCCGCAGCAGGAAGCTGTATTGAAGCAGAAGTACCCATGATATCTCAATCAGTATTGGTCCATACGTTCTTGAAGGCGATTGCAGAGTTTGATCGAATCTATACAACACCTGAACTGAAGCAGTATAGAAGCTGTACTGCAGAGGAAAGGGAAACGTTAACTCTCGGCGAAACAATCGACAAATATCTCCTATATCTCGCTGAAGAAGGAACGGATTCATTTGAAAAAACAAACGTATTCGCTACTCTTCAAGGAGTCAGTAATCAGCAGAAGAATAAAGCCAAAAACAGTGCAAGATCTCACGATACTCAACCCTACATTCCTATCTGTATCTGCAAGGCAAAACACCGTTTTTATGACTGCCCCTACGTCGATCCACGCCTACAGGAGGCAGGATGGTTCTCTGACCCCGAAATCGTGAAACAATTTGACTCCTGCAGGTCAGGACCTTCAACGCCTACAAGACAAGCGTTACGAAGGCAGGAAAATAAGATCAAACAGCGAGATGGAGATAGCAAGCCCCCTTCATTCATTTGCGCAGTCATGGCTTTACCTACCAAAGATAAGGCAACCCAGCAAGACGTCCTTACAGTGAGAAAAAATGTTACAAATCAACAAAATGTCTATTCAAATGAAACAGGCATTTTAACGCTTCGGAATAGCTTTATAGCGGACACTGGAGCGGATACCTACGTTTGCAATAACCGGAAGAGATTCAGAGATTTCCGCCGCGCTGCGCCTGACGATTATCTCCGCGCAGGCAACACAGAGATCAAGATAGAAGGATTTGGCACTGTTGACATCAATTTGACTGCTCCTAACGGAGAATCAAGAATAATGACACTTCTTGAAACTGCCTATATCTCTGATTTCATGACGAATATAGTGTCGCTCAACCGTACAGCGAATGCAGGCCTTTACCTGAATCAGCGCCTCGAGGTGCTTGAAAATCGCGAAGGCATCCCGTTTTGCAAAGTTTTCAGAAGATTCAAACACTGGCTACTAGAGGTGAAGGAGGCCCCTGCAGCATTCAACACGATTCAAGATCGTCAGCAAACTGCAATTCAAACGCCTCAAGATAATGAGAAAGCCCCTACCGACAAGGTCAAACGTCGCAGTGAGATGCAACGTATCTCAACGGCTTCAGTAGAGCGTTGGCACCAGCGAATGGGCTACCTCCACGATGAAACGATTCACTACCTACACGAAGCGATTGAAGGAGTAGAGATCTCGTTTAAATCTCGTGATCCACACTGCGAGACCTGCCTGCTCGCTAAGCCGATTCGTCAGATCTCAAGGAGGCCAGTAGAGAGATCCCCAGACGCCTGGGATAAGGTCCATTTTGACCTTATAAAGGTCAGCTCTGCATACAACGGTAACCAGTGGATTGGCAACTTCATAGATGACGCTACAGGCTGGAGAAAGGTCTATACAGCCCCGAATAAGAATGCCCTGGTCCCCGAGATCAAAAGCCTCGTCAAATGGATCAAAACCCACTTTAACAAGACCCCTAAGACCTTTGTCTGTAATAACGAGCAGACGCTCGGACGAGAGTTTATTCTCTTCTGCAAAGATGAAGGAATTACAATATTACATTCGGCTCGCTACACCCCGGAACAGAATGGCTTCATAGAGAGAGGCGGAGGAATCATAACTTCACGATCACGGAGTTTAATGATTAACTCCCGTTTACCCGTCGATCTATGGCCTCATGCAGTTAAAGCTTCTGTATACCTGCTTAATCGCACCCCCACTAAGCGAGGAGATCAGTGGACGACCCCCTTTGAACGCCTGTATAGCAAGAAACCCCGCTTGTCAGGACTTCATCTCTTCGGATGCAGGGCGTACGTGAGAATCCACCGGAAAGCGCTCAGCGACAAGATGACTCCACGAGCCTGGATAGGCTACCTCGTGGGTTTCACAGCTTCAAATTTGTGGAAGATATGGAGCCCTCAAAAACGCAGAATTTATAAAGAAAGAGACGTTATATTTAACGAAGATCGTCTTTACGATCCAACCGAACCGTTTCTAGAAGATATTATCGCTAAGGAGGTGCCTGTACCTCCAGGAACTATAGGAAATCGCTTACCAGCAAGGTTCCTGCAACAAGACGAAGAATCGAACATTTCTGACTCTGATGATGAAATTCAAGAGGTTGTGCGATATCGTGAGGCTCCAGCTAAGCGAGATAGTAAGAATAATCAGGAATCATCTGACCTGCCTACCTTACCAACGCCTGAAACAACACCTGAAGTAATGCCTGAGCTACCTCAGCAAGATTTAACTCGTCCATCCACTCCACCATCCTACGAATCGATTCCTGGAGGATTCCCTGCCGAATCGCCTCAAAGGCAACCTACAGAGGCCAGGGAACCCTCGGGAGGTGAAGACAACGAGTTCAAAGAGAGCTGGTCCCCTGGGGATCAGCTAAACAATCAGTTAAATAAAATGATGTTAGTCTCTGATCCTACACCCCCTGATCCTCGCCCAAGGCAGCGAAATAAGCGAGATAGGGATCACACAGACCTAAACCCGGAAATCAACGTGATTACTGGTAGAAGAAATCGACGACCAGTAGCAAGATACAACACAGAAGAATGGAGTGCAAATTTCAATACCTACTACACCGTTTTCTGCACGGCGTACGCGAATACGATCCCTGATTAACCAAAGTTAAAATACGGAGATCTTCCTCCTCCTCCACGCTTCTACAAAGACCTATATTCGCATCCTTTTGGGCCCGATTTCAAAACGGCCATGCAGAAGGAATACGGAGATCTCGCCAAGAAGGGAACATTCCGTGAAATCCCTAGGTCCACGCAGATGATACAGGTCCTTCCTCTGCTATAGGTCTTCACATACAAATTCAATGTGGAAGGACAGTTAGATAGGTGTAAGGCACGCCTTTGTGTGCGTAGAGACCTTCAAATCATGACTAGAGATGACAAAAGTGCGGCTACGCTTGCTGCAAAGACATTTCGAACCTTAATGGCCCTGACAGGTGTATACGACCTCGAAATAAGAGAGTTTGACGCCTTAAATGCCTTCGTGAATTCAGAGATAGACGAAATCGTTTATACCGAATGCCCTGACGGCTTTAAAGTGCCCGGTAAAGCCCTTCAACTTTTTAAGGCGCTATACGGATTGCGCCGTGCACCTCGCCTTTAGCAGCTTTACCTAGCTGCGACGCTAAAAGCAGTAGGACTTAACCCGGTAGAACAGGATCCCTGCTTATTTACTGACGGAATTGTCATTCTAATCTTCTACGTTGATGACTTTATCGTTTTGTCAAGCGCTGCAAACAAAAGACGCGCAGATGAAGTCATTGAGTTTCTCTCATCGAAATACTTTCTACGTGAGATAGAGAATGCAGACACTTTTCTCGGAATCAAAATACGCAGAGATAGAGGAAAACGAACGATTCATCTCTCGCAGTTAGTCTATATAGACAAGATCACAACAAAATTCAACCTGAAAACGTCTCAACCGCCTAAATCGCCGCTCCCTACCGTTCCAATGACTCTATACAGCGGGAAGGCGTCCCCTAGGCAGATACAGGAGTTCCAGGAGAAAGTGGGCTCAATCCTCTGGTCAGCGGTAATCACGAGACCGGATATTGCAAAATCGGCTTCTGAATTATCGAGATTTCTAGTCAATCCTGGCCCCGATTACCTAGCTGCAGCAAACCGCGTGATTCAATTCCTATACGGAACCCGCTTCTACGGAATCAGATATTCCAAATCAGGCGATCCAAACGCAGGAGAGGTATTTATTATGGCCAGCGATGCAGCGTTCGGAGATCATACAGATAGGAAAAGCTTTGAAGGTCTCGTTTGCCTCCTCTACGGCGGTCCCGTGGATTGGCATACAGGCAAGCAAAAGACCGTTTCAACCTCTACTACAGAGGCGGAATTACTCGCTATCTCTGAGGCAGGCAAAAACGTATTCTGGTGGAAGCGCTTATTCAACGCCTTGCAATTCAACCTTTAACATGAAATCTCTATCAAATGCGACAACAGGCAGACTGTCCGTATTCTCTAGAGCGAGGATTCATCCTTGCCTACACGCCTTCGTCATATAGATATTTATCAACACTGGCTCCGTCAGGAGGTGCAGAACGGTCAGATCGCCGTCGAATGGGTCGCCACGGCTAACATGCCTGCGGATGGCCTTACCAAGATCCTCCCGATTCAAAAATACCGAAACTTCATGAAGATGTTGAATCTGCACGAATTCATCGACAAGGAGGACCCCTATACAAGTGCCTAAACTGGCAATCTATTCAGCTTCATCTACGATTCAGCTGAGGAGGTGTGTCAGCGAATATGGGGCAATTTTACCGCCAGGATTCAACACCTTGCCGTTTCCGTCTAGATCAACTCTGACGGCATTTCATGGCTTCGAGATAAGCCGATTTCAAAGAAGCCACGTAGTCATATTGCATGTTAAATAGCTTCGTTTCGATCCTCTAGATCAAGAGGATCAGACCTTCATTGAGCCTCGATTCTGCATACAAATTACTAGGCAATACGAAACCTAATTGTTCCAATAGATGGTTATAACTTATAGTCTAAAATAAATGGAAGCCACCCACAGTCACGTGTCTCTTGGCATGTTCACTACCCCTCGTGCCTGCATGCCTGAGGCTGCCGTATTATGACGCGCCCGGATTTTCGGGGATTTTCGGAATCCCGGGCACGTCTCGGGCCTCGCATCTCTTTATCACACACACACCACACAATGGATCCCCAAAGCGCTTTAGAGCCTGTTTCGGTAAGGTTAGTCTCCGTGCATGAAGGGCTGGTGCTGACAACACGATAAGTGTAATCGTTGCAAGTCAAAGAAGGTATTAACCTCACGGCTCATCCCTGAATACTACTCAACGAGGACAGATCAAATGTAACCGAGTCAGCCCTCGATGCGACCAGTGTGAAGCTCTCGACACTGAGTGTATTTACTTACCAAGGAAAACAAGAGCTAAGCCAAAACGGTATAGGATTTCTTGCAGGAGAATGATCCCCTTTGAAGAGGTATCTGACAACGGCATAGCTCAGCATCGCACAAGAATGTTATCAACGATATTCTGAAGCGCTTAGACCGTCTAGAGAGTCATGTCCTCCCGGATAAGGACTCCGATGAGAGGGACGATGCGTCCAGTACAGCATCATTAGCTGACTCGGTCATGATCGAGCCCATCACGTCACACCCAGGGAACCCATGTCCCCCGATCTCGCCAAGACCGGCCTTCGGAATACTAGACCGGTTAAAGGAGGGCAAAGTCAAGTCGCAGCTGTCCAGCATACTCTTTCAGCTTCGATATACAAAATTCGGTCTTTTTGAAGATGAACAATTCGCCAATGCGCTTCAAGCTTCATTGGAAGATCTTGAAAGCTCTGAGACCCAAAACGAAGGATACATGCCATATCCACGCCCATTCGTTACGAAGGAAATGGCGAGGAAGTGGTTGAATCGTACGTATTATTCTTCCATACCTCAAGTACCTCGGCTAAATGGCTGCATCAGTCTTCTTTGAAACCCACCAGTTCGGGGCATTTCAACTCGCTTTACCGAAGGATTTCATTATGACCATTCCTGATCTGTTGGAGATACGCCATGTTCAACTGGACAACTTGTCCCTGATAATATATTATAATGTCGTTTTCCAAGGCATGTTGTTGGATCACGACAACATTGAGGACAGAAATTCCTTCGTGCAATACTTCTACCAAACCTGCATGGACATGGTAGAGGGGTGGTTAGATAAAGTCGAAAACACGGCGACAGATCTCTACGCCACCTTCCTCATGGTAGCTATAAGACTTGGCCTTTCATGGAAGTTGAGGCGAAGCTGATAGTGGCTTAGTATTCGATGTCTGTTGAGGCCTTCAACAGTGACTTGGCCTGGGAGATCTTTGGGAAATCATGTACCATTGCTCGAGCGCTTGGATATTTTGTTGTCGATGTAGGGGCCCAAGACCCTAACGATCAGCAAATGGGATTCAACCAAGCAGCCGATGCCGAGAATGAAACGGAGAAAAATCGAAAACGGTTTGAGTTCTGGCACCTTTTACGGACAGATTGCATCTTTCGCTTGAATTTTGGCAAGCCGGCCCTCATTACCCAAGGGTCCTGGGCTGTGAATTTTCCTGATCCGAGCATCGACGGAAATGTCGATGAGACTCCGCGCTTTGTTCAGATCCATTTTCTTGCCTCGATGCGGCTTACTTTCGTCTTGTTGAAATACCTCGACCTGATGAACACCGAAACGCTGCAGGATACAGTTCAATACAACGAGGCCCTCGAAAACCTCGTAGCTGAGGCTAAATCAATCATGACCGGGTGGAGAGTGGTACGTCTTAATAACTACTGGTTTCCCCCTGTTTGAAAGCGACAAAGACCGTTTCTGACATGGCATAGGAGGATTTACTGAATGACACGACGAATCAAATCGACTTGTGGGTCTGTGTAGACATACTGTTCAGCGGATACAAGCTTCTCATCATCCTGTATCAATCGAAGAAATCAGATCAGAGCACTTCGCATGAAATTGTGGATATTGCGAGAACCTCCCTTACCACGATGCAGTCTCTTGTTCATTCAGCCCCGAAAATGTACTGGGGGACAAGGTAAGCCCGTTGCCAACCTCAAACATTTCGACAAGTGATATCTGATTCTCACCGAACGCAAACTGATAGTCTCATTTTGATGTATCAAATCATCCCGTTCCTTATATTGTGCTCCAACGTCATTGAGTCTCGTCGGCATGGCGACACCGAGACCGATCTTGCCCGGATAAATTGGATGTGTGACTTTGTCGATGAGGCAGCGGAAAATCGCATGGAACTGGGCCCGATCAAGATCATAATAAAGGCACTAACTAGTGTCTGTCATCAGGTTCACTTGGGTCCTCATTGATAGTAATCAATATTGCAGCATCCACCTGGCCGCCCGGAGATTCGGGAGTCCAAGAAATATCCGGATTGATGCCTTGCTGCCTACCTAGCGTGACCCGCGGGGTCCACATGGCGAACCCTCATCCAAGACCCGTTCTGCATACTGGGTTCATCTATTAAACGTCCCATTGCCCCGATCAAAGGAAAAAGCAGCGATTCAAACCGAACAAATTTTCTTTTCCGCGAAGAAAGCCACAACAATACACTCTGTTCCCTCTCATTTGGGATGTCCTCCAAAATGCAACAATTCAGAGTCCTAGCAAGATGGCGCCCCCTTAGCTCCGATGAAGCAGGACAACAAGAGATCGAGCGCGAGTACACACACCGAGACTCACACACATCTTCACTCTCCATTGCAGCACTCCTACAGCCACAATCAGTCCCCAGCCGAGACCGCTCCTGGCAGAGCGGGCCATCATTCACAGAGATATTCGAAACAGACGACAATAACAAGACAGTCTTTGATGCGGTCGTGGCACCAATCCTCCCCCGAGTCCTGGAAGGTCAATCGTGCAATTTCTTCGCCTATGGTCATTCCGGCAGCGGGAAATCTCACACCATTATCGGTTACGACTACGAGCATCCTGACGAGTTCGGACTCTGTCTAGCCGCTGCGCGGTCTTTACATGAGATATTCGAGAAGATCAATGCAGCTGATACGACTGCAACACAACTTGGACTGGGAATTCGCATGTATGAACTACGAAAGGACACTGCGTTTAATCTACTCGACGGCCGATGCGAATGTTGTGTTCGGGAAGACGCCGACGGCCGCGTATATATCTGAGGCCAGACAGAGATGCTAGAGGAGGGGAAAGTCAGGGTGCGACCTATATTAACCAAGGCGTGCTGGAACTTCGAAGACCTACGTCGCGGGTTACGAGTCGGACTGAAGTTGCGTGCGACCGGGACGTCGAGTATTCACGATCAGAGTTCGCGGACTCATGCTGTTCTAGAGCTGGAGATCGTGACAAGATCATTGCTTGAGGCCCACGATGCTGTCGTCGAGAGACAGTCGGAGCTGGTGCCGGTGGGAAAGCGTGCGACAGATGTCTACATCGAAGAACACATGCGAGCTCTAATGCAGGACGCAGACGGGAAATATATTCCTAATCCCGACCACCAATTAAACCAGGAGGCGATCGATGCTGCAGAGACAGAAAAAATGGAGTTCGAGGCCCGCGTGAAGAAAGCGGAAGATTACGAGGATGAAGTGTTCAAGACAACGGCACGCCGTCATGTATGTCTTGGGGGCAAGCTTGTGTTTGTCGACTTGGCCGGATCGGAATACTATGACAACAAAAACAGCCTTGGACAAAAGCAGACGTCCCAAGAGAAGCAAGAAGGAAGGTAGATAAACACTGATCTACTGGCTTTGAAAGAAGTCATTCGTTCTCGAGCGCTGAATCAAGCTCGTATTCCGTTTCGATCGTCGCCGCTGACCATGGTCCTGCGGCAACATTTCCAGATGTCAAAGGATAGCTACTCTGCGATGATTCTGACCGTTTCTCCTTCAGCGGGACAATTTGCGGCAACCATGAACACTTTGAAGTATGGAAGTTTGGTCGGTGCGGCAACTGGGAAGAAAAGGTAAGGTCATACAATGACAAATGTGAGTCGAACGTTTCGGGTCCTAAAATCAAATTCCTCGTTTGAATGAGAAGAAGCCTTATATGTCCGGCTGTCTTAAATACTGCAAGTACTGCAACTATTTGGGATAACATTCGTCAAATAAAATTCGGTCAAAATACATAATCATCCATATTCTACAGCATGGGCTAACTCTATAACACGTAGCGGAATGCCTTGTTATCAATCTCGGTTTGATCCTGAGTCACCGGCATCGGTTAGCCTATATTCCTAGACCTGAACCATGGGGCAGGTCAGCACTTACCAGCATTCCATTCTCAATACCCTCTGCCTCCTCGCTACTCTCGTCAAGCGCTGCTCGATCTCTCCGCTTATTCTCAAAATACATGTACAGGTAGAGCGCGGTGATAGAGACCAGTTTGACGGAATATCCAACCAACATCCTGTATCTTGTCAGTTGACTTTCTCGCGCGAAAAATGTATAGAAAACTCACGCAATATAAGCACTATGATATCCCGGCGCCTCATTGTCTCGGAAAGTCTGCGGGCCAATAATATTCCCCACGCAGTATCCAGTGAACAGCAAGGCTCCTGTAACTTGCTTCTTCGTATAGCCAGCGATATTCGAACTGACGAACGTCAAGCTCATACTGAAGCCGAGACCCTGGAAGTAACACAGCCAGAGCGCCACCAAACGGCCCCATTTGTTCGAATCAGGCAATCCGACTAGCAATCCGGATCCGATAATGCAGATCGTGTTGGCAACGATCATGCAGGCGCTTCGAGAGTGGAACTTGTCGCCGTATTTGGTGGCGACGATACCTCCGATCAAGAGAGCCAGGAACTGCACCGCACCACCGGGGATCTGTAGATATTGGGTACCTAGGGTGTCGAAGCCGAAGGATTTGACAATGATCGAAGTGAACTGCCTCATGTGAGCTTTCCGATTCGAAACTTGAAATATGAAATGGTACTTACGCTTGTGAGCGCTGAGTTAGGAACCTGCGCACCAACAGCCATAATAAATAACAGCCAAGTCTTTGGGTCCTTCACGGCTTGCCAGACCTGGTCCCATTTGAATTTGTTGTTCTTCACGCCCTGGCGGTTAATGGCGACTCGCTCAACGGCAATCGCTCGTTCGCGCTCGTTCAGGAATTTCGCGGTCGAGGGAAGGTCCGGGAATATAAGCAGGGCGATGATACCGGTCACGACGGAGAATGCGCCAAAGATCAAGAACACATACATCCATCTCGGCAGACCGGTCGTGATATGTCCGACGGCGTATCCAATAAGTCTGCCCTCCTTTGTCAGCACCGAATCATGAAGAATCAGGTTTCCGACTCACCCTCCGAACATAGTGGCAATGCCGTTGGTGCAGTAGTAGGCTTCTAGACGCAGCGGCTGTTCAATCGCTGTATACCACATGCTCATCATCAAGACGAATCCGGGGTTCACGATGGCTTCGACAAAGCCAAGTAGGAAGCGATTGGTCGCGATACCGGCGAAATTATGGCATGCCGGCGTGGTCATGAGAAGTGCGCCCCAAACTGACTCTGTAAGTGCGCTGCAACTGAGGTATATAGGCAAAGAAAACTTACTGAGAGTAGTAATACTGAGGACCTTCCCAATGGGGAGTTTCTGCAGAGCAAGTCCAGCTGGCCACTGCGCGATCAGGTATCCGAAATAGAATATCGAGCCTTTCTCATGTTAGTGATGAATCGAGATCGACTGAAAACCAAACATACCCAGCCAAGAATATTGAGAGCCCGTAATATGTGTCCCTTGTTTCAGACCATACACTGATGCAAAGTTGATACTGTTTTTATCCAGATACTAGGCCAGTCAGTATCGTTCGGGCTCTCTTCAAACGATATATTCTCCATACCTGCAGCATATAAATGACAAACATCAAAGGGATCAGCCGCGAATCGACTTTTCGGAGCACCTTCTTCGCCTCCTCCGGAGTATACTCTAGCCCTTGATGCTGTTTATAAAAATCATAATTCTCATCGCGATCCGACGACGCCGTTGATGACAACGGTGGTGACGAGGTAGTCGCCTCCGCTTCTTTCTGCGACAAAGCCATCTCGCAAGAAGTTCTCACGGCAAAAATCACCAGTCAACTGAAACTCAACGACGATCCCGATTTCAATCAGGGGAAGACCCTAGCTTTTATAACCAGAGACATAACACAGGCCCCACGAGTCAGTTATATCCCGCGTGGAGCATTATGGAACAATGGAAGCTACGACCCCACAGCCATGAGGACGACCGCATCATCCATACCGCGAATGAAAGGTGGACTCAGGACGAGATGGAGACGGAGTTGATTTCCAAGCCGGAGATCTCGCGCATCCTATTTGGCATTCCACATTGGCAAGCTTGGCCCGCTGCTTAACCGAGAAGCATCTGGACGTTCAACGGTGGATGCTGAGCATTCTGAGAGGCGAGCTCGTTGGGTTGGACGTTCGGCTGATCACGACATCGGACCCATGATTGCGTCTTTGGCAGACCTGCAGGTTCTGGCGCAAGTCGGACAGCTGCCGACGAGTGAGAAACCGGATGTCTTGCAAAGGGGGGGGAAACTCATGTCTCCGAGGAGTGTGAATTCCGTCTCGGTGAGTATGAGAAGCTCAGGACCCTTCCTGTGCGAGTCCTGAGGCATCCAGCTCATAGTTAGGTGTTTGGTGGCGGGTCTTGGCGTGTTGGTATAGGTAGGCCGGATATTAGTTGTTCCGATACGACAGGTCAACACCACGTTAGGGAGATCTGTATTCAGGGTTCATTCTAGATATCAGGCTATTGAGCTATTCCGGTACGGTGTGATGATTTTCCTCGATAAACTCGATAAGTTATATGCAGATAATTTATGACTTTGGTTGGCGTGGAAGGAACAGCTGCCGCCCGGCCGCAGATCAACGGAATACGTCACCCTCACTCGAGAATATGCTCCCTTCACCCTGACGTGATTCAACATTCAAGAGTCTAATGTACTCGAACAATGGGGTATTTGGGAACTACTTTGAATCGGCCATTGACCGACTTATATTCAACCACCGGTGTTGAATACTAGTGGCCGTCATTTTGGTATATATAAAGAGCTGTAATATGAACAGACAGCCGAGGTTCCACCCTTCTAGAAGCCTACCGAAACCGGCGAGAAGATAGTCAGGTTTAGGTTTAAAATTGGTGACTCCGATCAACCGGGATTTCTCTGCTCCTGACAGACATGCACAAGTGTTTAGCCTAAATTAAGCTTTATATCCCATAGAAACTATTCACTTGGTAAGTGAATCATACCCATAGCTGATCACTCCCGTTAGGCTGTATGCTTGAATATGACAGTGACGAGTTTATTTTCTTTTCATGATAATCACTACCTCATTATCTATTCAATATCAGAGTCTCCTATATAGATATACAAGCTTCTAGTGAATGAACCAGGATGGTGTTCACAAGACCGTCTTTATAGAACACAACTTATGAATCTCGAGCCAGGACAATACAAACCTATTGTTTGATAATACAAGACATAATCATTCCATGGAACGGGATGTCTTGTCATAGTCCTCAGGAGGAGTCATGAGGACCATCGCGACGCTCATCATGACATCAACCAGCCGCATCTGACTCACAGCCCTAATTTATCTTCTACAACCATACAGCTCAGCCACCGCCACACCACAATACTAAACACAAGAACAACATTTAGCAAACTCGCCAAGATGTACTCAGCACCCACAATCCGAACAAAGTTCCTCGTTATCTCAGACACGCACGGACGAGAATCCTCCCTCCAGCACCTGAGCACCGAGTGCGCAGATGTAGCCATCCACTGCGGCGATCTAACAACGGACTCGACTCTCGCAGAATTCCGCTCCTCCATCAGCTTTCTCTCTAGTCTTAACACACCCCTCAAGCTCGTCATAGCGGGAAACCACGACTTTACACTCGATACGCCGACATTCCAAAGAAAGCTCGCCCTAGCGTCGGAGATACTCGACCCGGCTCTCGTTAAAAAGGCATATGGCGACTTCGGATACGCTAGAAGCCTCTTCGAGGAGGCGATGGACAACGGAATCAAATTTCTTGATCAGGGCACGCATCATTTCACGCTGGAGAACGGCGCCTCGTTGACCGTCTACGCCAGCCCGTATACCCCTTCCATGTCCCCAGGGGACTGGGGATTCGAGTATTCACGGTCACACGGTCATAATTTTGAGTTCAAGCACGTTGATGTTGTCATCACGCATGGTCCACCAAAGGGAATCATGGATTACAATATGGATCGAGAGCGAGCGGGCTGCCCGGAACTATTCGCTGCGGTGAGGCGCGCGAAGCCCCGAATGCATTGTTTCGGGCATATTAATGAGCAATGGGGTGCGAAGCTGGTGACTTGGCGGAAGGGCAGTCCGTCGCGGGAGCCCTGCCATTTTGGGGATGTGGATCATAGAAACTCGTTTGTGATCGAGAGATTATCAAACTTGCAAGGAGAGAAAGAAGATGAGGAGTATGAAAGGTTCTATCGGACAAGTCATTGTACGGGAGATGAGGGTCCGGTGAAGTGGGAAGAACAGACATTATTTGTCAATGCGGCGATTGAGGGGGTAGATGGAAGGACTCAACCCGCTTGGGTGGTGGAAATTGAGCTTTCAAGGGCGTTTTAGGACAGAGGTCTTGCTTTCAGACGGGGTCTGTTGACACGTACTACCTCTATATATTGCTGCTGAGATTTTTGGGCGAATGGTTTGGATTTGATAAATCGTGTGATATCCTTGGAATAGTAGCGACTGCAATTGGATTTAATTTGCTTCTGTGAAAGGGTTTCAATGTCGACTCTTTGACTCTAGATACTATCACAGAAGAACGAATACTTCGACTCAGCCGTATGAAAACCATCATCTCCGTAGGTTTCTGCGTTTTATGCAAGCTTTATATAATATGCTTCGTCCCTTGTTCCTCGGGAATCTCTGCCTCGATGATTCCCAGCGCATCTCCACCACGCGTCCAAAATTTAATCACCCGCAGACCAACAGACTCCAGTAAGCTTAACCATCGCTGTCGTGTGCGCTCAAGACCGGCACAGAACACCATGACCGCCATGTCTGTCATTCCATTGACGGCGCGCGCATTCCGGTCAGGAAGAATATACTCCTCGATCAGCACCTTGGAATATCCGGGCACCATAGCCTTTTTCAAATGGTCGAATATAATATGGGCCTTGTCGTCGGACCAGTCGTGAAGGACGTACTTGAAGTAGTAGACGCGGGCACCTGCAACAAATCAGTGTAAGTCCACCGGAGGAAGTAAGTAGAAGGCAAGGAAACAAACCAAGAACAGGCTGCGCTTCAGCAAAGAAGTCATAATTCACCGTCTCGATCCCCGCCGCTTCTAGGTCATTCGCCTGCCGAAATTCATCGATGACCGACGGCAAATCCTCAAGAACCAACTTTCCCTGCGCGTCTGGGAATCGCGCCTTGAACTCTAGCAAATCGTGTCCGCGACCACCACCGATATCAACGAGTAGAGGGCGTTCGGGACTCAAGCTCGGTACATCAAGAATCACGTCACGAACGGGGAACCAGTCGCCCCAGAATGCTCGGTTGGCGCGCTGACCTTCCATGAAGCTGTTGAAGCGCGACAATGCGGCGGGGTTCTCGCAGAGCCAGGAAAAACCGTCTCCTTTGATGCTGTTGGTATATTGGAGAGGTGCGTATAGTGGGTCTTCTGGGTTGCGGTATCCGGTGGATTGTAGGTATTCGGGGGTCTTTTGGATCGAGGGGAGAAACTCGAGGAATCTGTCGGATATCCCTGTTAAGAAGGGCCGGCTTAAGAAGAGACTGGAGAGCACCTACAAAGATTCTACGACACCAATGGATGTTCGTCGGGTCATCTCCTCAGAGAGCGGAGTCGGAAGGTAATTGCATGGTTCGGGCTCTTCAGCGAAGCCGTTCGAGACGAGGAGGCGCATGATACGCTCTGTAATCAGTAAGTTGGCCATCTTCATAACTCTCAAGTCCTGAGTATAAACAACTAACCGACTAGCAAGGGATCTGCTGGCTTCGCAGCTGCCAGCTCCTTCACAGATACTTGAGTCGTTGATTTTGTGAGCACCGGGAAAAGGTTCATATCGTGGGCCACTTTAACGGCCATGAGCACAGTAGGCTAATCCCAGAAGCTGTCAGAATATTTCGTCGAAAGCTGACCAAATGAGACTCACAGAAAATGACAACTTTAAGATAGCATCTCTCGGCTTTTCTAGCGCCCGCGCCAGTTGCAGCACTTTTTCGTGTGCTTCGATGCGGGAGTCTTCGACGCCATTAGATTGGAACTCATCAATGGATACCTTGGCCTCTGAGAGCAGATTGCTTATAACTGCGAAGTCCATTGTGTTTTATTGAAGAAAGGGCTTCTTAGAAAGCAGAAGAGGGGAAGAATGCGCCGGGGATGCGACAACGTATCCAAATTCTACAATGGTCTAGTCAGGAGCCATCCCACCGTAACGCACCCTTGGAGTCCGCGCATGAGACGGGCCATTTCGATACACTGTTACCTAAATTAATCACTGAGGCCAGCCTCGTCGCCCCAACAAAGACACTAAAAACGCATCCCCTTAACTAGCACTCGATGTCATACCCCACTACAGAGCAGATCATAAAAGGAAGGAACGATGGACCTGGCTGTCTTGGTGTTGGAAATGGAAAGGGCCTGACCTTCGCCATAGCTTACTATACTGGTCTTAGGGTATATGTGATTGTGCCACGGGGTGGTCGCGTCAAATCCGAAATAGGGACTTCCTCCACCAGAGAAATAGAAGAGCAATTTCCCCTCGGCCCAGGAACAAAAGCCAGAAGACAAAGAAAAAGTCAACGGCAAAAACTTAATGAAGTTTCACGAAGGCAACTGTCAATTCCATCTGGTGGCCGCTGGCGTGGCCGCTCGTTCCAGTTCCACCATTCCCCCACTAAGAGACGCCAGACAAGGCTTACGGAAAACAATATGCAATTTACGGGATCATGATTCGTCCGACTGAAGAGCCATAAAAGTTTCGGCTGCTCCGGACTCCTCCAAGGCGTCTTTGTCCTTTAAGGATCCGCAGTGGTAGGCTAACGGGACAACGCAAGCAGCCCTGACAGGGGTTCGTCTTCTCAAATGTTCCTCTCGCATGTGAATTCTGCATATCCTGTACACCGTACGTTATACGCTTTATGGGATAGAACAAAACAGTTAGATAACGCGTTTCTGTCATTTGACGGAAGAGCGGGACAACGGTCCACAGTCTCCAGTAAGTGGAGCCGCTAACTTGGTGTCTATTGAGGACGGGCAGCCGGTAGCACGGACTACGGGGTATGGTAGCATCCACTCATTTATGATCCTTGTAAGGAGACTCCTGCGCGTCACACAGGAAAGGGTAGAGAATGGGCAATTGGTCTTGTGTTCCGAAACATGATCAAAGGAAACGAAGGAAGGATATGAATAGTCGCATAGCGGTGGACATTTCATTTCCAGGCCCGTGGTAGAATCTACGGATTATTCGAAAATGAATATGAAATGACAGATATAATTAAACTCGTTGTTATACTTAAGAATTCCGAGTTTATGATCGGCCAATACAACATGGCGACAACGGGTGCTCTCTTTTCAAATACGCATGGCGCCACGCACGTTTCCCCCCCCTCCCCCCTCCCCCCTAACTAACAGACAAGTGTTATCTATGGAGTACTCCTAGTGGATCTGATTGATCCATGCAAACTAAAGAAATAGTCCGCCAGATTGATTCCGGCGACCGGATCAGGCCGTGATGCTGTTGTCCAAGGCGAGCTTAAGCCTTAAGGCAAGTCCGGACTCCTGGCCCACTTGATCGTATCGTGCTACTTACTCGATTGGTTCCAGATCTTCTCGTGGGTCCAACTTTCGTGTCTATTCTAGCACACATACGCCGTATTCTGTACTTTTGTCACTACTTACTGAGTATAGAGTTTCTCTGTGCTCCACGGATTTGCGCTCGCTCCTAATCTTCGAGCTTTCTCCATGGGGGCCGTGGGAAGCGATTGCTTTTCTTTTGGCCTAATTCTTCGAATTCTCAAGGGACTATGATTTTACACCGTGAGGTGCATGAAATTTGAGCATTAGTAGGCTCAGGTTTGGGTGGGGCGGAAATCCCATTGTGGTTGGGTTGAGGCTTTGCGTTAGGTCAGGGAGAGAATCTTTTTGTTACAAGAACATTGGACTACAGAGGGTAACTAAATAAAGACTATCTACCTGTGTGTAACAACCACCGTTACCCTGCATTATAATATGTCCGATCAATAAATACCTAAGCTTGCAATGTATCTCGCGTGCCCATATTGAAGTCGATGACCCTACCATGTCGTAGAGGTGACCTACCCTTTCAGCTAATGCATCTCGATTTGCTACTAGTCGTTACTTTCAATCTGCGGAGCAGCTTCGTAAGGAGCACTTGCGGGATTTGCGGATCTCTATGATTTCAGCTGAGGTTCCACTGTCGTATATGGGCTTTAGACACAAATCACTTGGTATCTTCCTCCTAATCCATAGTGGCTTGGCAATGAACACAAGAAAGAAAGAAAGTCGATCGGCGGCATCGCGCTTTAGTCAACCCCAGAGTTCAGGGTCTGGGTCGTACGGTGTAGTCCCTGCTAAACTCGGGAATTTGGGAATTTCGTTAGGGGTTTAGCGACGCTCACCCTGCTGATTTCCCTTTTCTGTCTCGCCAATCTGCTGTGGAATTGTTTCAATATGACCGCAGCAGGGGAAATTCATTCTATTAGTCTTTCTCATTTTCTCGAGTGAAGCTTTCACTCGCGGCGAACCCTCGTTGAAAACATCTATCTCTTCATCATTGCAATGCCAAGGACACACCATGGGCTATAATGGTTCCGCAGAGCTGTTTGCCGAATGGGCCATCGGGCTCGTAGTCGTGGCTGTTCGCGTCTACGCACGATGGTCTGTAGGTAAGAGTCGTTTCTATTGGGATGATGTTTGTCTCGGTCTGGCAACGGTGAGTTGAGTCCACTTTTTTAACATCAATTTATAAGGTCCTCCTTTATCATTGTTTGACTGACCCGTAATTAGATATTCTGGACATTGCACACAATATTTCTATATTACTGTACCGGCATGTCCTTCCACTTTACCGCGCACAGGAACAAATGTTCTAACTATACTAGATGTCTACGGGTCCAACATTGGCCTGACAGAGAAGACGGCAATGGAGGTACCAGATGAAGAAGTGGCGATTCTTCGAAAGGGTTCCATCTATGCCTTTGTGGCATGGTTATCATACATTTTCATGGTGTGGTCATTCAAGGGAGTGCTCATGTTCCTGTATGGGCGACTAACGTAAGTCATATTAGTTGGAAACTTCATTCCAGCATGAGCACTAACATCAAGACATCAGAATGGGACTGTGGCAGCACCGCCTTGCCCAGGCTGTCGGCGTTCTGTGTATCTGCACCTTTCTTGCATCCCTATTCTTCCACTTGTTTATCTGCCATCCGGTGCAGAAAACATGGCAGATCAAGCCATACGCTGGAGGTTCGCCATAAACAACTGCCGTCCATTCTAAGACCATATTGATAGACTGACAGTACCACAAAAAAACTAGACAATTGCACAATCCGCCCCCTCAACTACATCGTCATCGAAACACTGAGCATCGTGTATGTCTTCCTATTCCCTCCACACCATTCCCACTCCACTAAACCCGATCCAACGCAGAACCGATCTCGGCGTCATGAGCATCCCGATCCCACTCGTCCTGGCCGCCCGAATACCCACCCCCCAGAAAATTTTCCTCAGCGTTCTCTTCTCCTCTGGCGTTTTTGTTATGGTCGCTGCTTTTTTGCGCGCCTATTATTCCGTTAAAGACATCACAACGCTTTCCACTGCGCTGGGATGGGCGTCCCGCGAGGCACTCGTTTCGGTGATTATCGTCTGCGCGCCGGGGATCAAGCCACTGTGCACGAAATGGGGATGGTTCCGATCGTACGGATCTTCAGGAAGTTACGAATACAATTATGGATATGGACACAGTCAGGGGCAAAACCGGAGTCAGGGGAATGGCGACAGGTCGAGGGCCCGGAGCACAGTTTTTGGTGGGAAGAGGGGGAGCGGTGCTTTTGGCACTGAGAGATATCCGTACGAGATGGGCGGCTCGGCGGTGAAGAAGAAGAGGGATTCTTCTGGGGAGAGTCAGGAGCGGATTGTGGCCCCGGGGCTTGGGATTCAAGGAAAGGGCAGTGACGATGATATTAATCGTATTGTGGTGACAACAGACGTTACCTTTGCTCATGAGGACTTACATACAAGGCAAACTTAGATGGAACTGTATAATAATGATGCAGTCGAAGAGAGTGAGTCTACCCCGGCCATCGCAGGGGCATAGTGGATCATGACATGGACTGGTTATCCATGAGATTCTCGCGAGATGCTCGCCATAATGGGAATACTGAATCCTCTATTTGAATTGGAAGCTCGAGAACCCTTTCTTACGAGATAACGCGGGAGGTTGTTGTGACTTATGTTTATATATTCCATTTACAACCTCGGATACCCATTGACTCTAGCCCATGTTAATACAGGGTCCGCTTCCAAAAAGTGAAAGACCTTCTTTGGCTGCGCCATTCGAATTTCCCACGGTGAATCTGAAGTAGAATGTCTGGGAGGTCTAATAATACACTGGCCATGGAGATTGGAGTCTATAAGATCCACGTCCCTCACAGGGCCAAATGAGTCCCCAAAATCAAGACTATAAAGAGTAAGCTTCCGAAGACTAGCAACCGACACGTCCGCAGGGGAGACGGTAAGTGAGTCCCAGTCGAACGAGGCTCTCAGTGTCGCGAGAAGGTCTCCCACATGGCTCGCGTCTATGCTTGAGTCTGATGATCGAATGAACCAGGCCAGGTGCGATAAATCGTCTATTGCCTCGCGAGTCATGCCTGGGGCGGCTTCGCATGCCTCGTAGGAGTCATGATCCGTCGATGAGAGCTTATGCACGTTGCAGTGGGATTTTGCCAGAGCGACTGTATTCCCAAAGAAGGTAGTCGAAACATCTGGGTTCAATAGTTTGCGTATGCTGACATATCGAAGGAGCGATGAGTGAGGCACGGAAAAGGCCCGGTTGCGTGCTTGGGCTGCAGAGAGCCAAATGATTGCCGTGACAATATCGTCGCAGCTGAGTCTGAATTTGAGCGACTGCCCAACCTCCGCCAGTCGGGAATTGCACGCCTTCTTGAGTGTCTCGACTTTTCGAGGGCAAAGCACATAACCGCGCGTCATTTGCTCAGTTTGGTAATGGCTCTTTGCGTACGTATAAGCGTCTGAAAACGCCGTATGGTTCTTTGCTGATCCACCGATGTTGCTAATTTGTTGGCGAGTGGCGTCCTGCATCGGAGAGCCGGTCATTGGCGTATCTCCAGCACTCCCCTTCAGCCGGCAGAATTGCGACAGGCCTTCAAACACAGCTTGACAGCCAAACGAATCCATGAAGCGATGATGCCAGGAGACCGATAATATGATGCCGTCGGTCATGATGTTTGCCTGAAACCGTAGCGCTGGTGCTGGGAATGGGGTCGGCGACTGGGGCTTGACCGCGATTAATTCCACTGGTGTTTCCTCCGCCCGCTCCAGAATCGAGATAGGTGCGCTATGAACTTTGACGTGTAGCATGGGACTGGCTTGGAGGTCTGAGCTAGAAGGTGGTTGAACTTGATATGCCCTTTGGCTGGGGCGCTCCGGTCGGGGCTTCGCTATCGTGCCCGCGAGAAACGGCCGTTCCTGGATGAGGCACGACACTCCATTTTCCAGCAGTGCTATATTTTCCTCAATTTTAGTTGTCTTAAATGCCAAAAATAAATGCATGTACGCCTGCATCAATAGGTGGTCGAGCTCCGTGAGCGGATAGGCTTCGAAATAGACCATTATGCCTCTGCATTCGAAGTCCGTGAGTATAGCCCCAACAGATTCACGCGAAAATGAATTCAAAGTTGAAAGCCACTATTTATTATTGATCAAGAGCTATAAAGTTCATTTTGAAATTAGCCTCATGCGTCATAAACCTGTTATAGAAAGTTTCGAGACATGGTTGATCGGGATTCGACAAAGTCTATGTCCAGGCAAAACATAAAGTTTCCACCTAATTATACATTCCTTCCCTAAAAAGCAAGAGTAGCTAAGCCGATTAGCGTCGTAGGTCAAATTCTTTGTGATGAGCTCTTGTGTTGCTTATACAACAGGTCTAAGCAGCGAAAGGCTGAGCATGTTGCATCGAAGAAGGCCTATTTTGTGCGACACGCCTGCAGAAAGTCTTTCTCTTCTTCAATATTACTTTCTGTCTTTTTCGCTCTCAAATAACCCTAAAATATGCTTACTCTGCGGCTGTGAAAATGGCATAAGTGCTCAGCTTTATGTAATTCCATATATACTGACTGATTCATCAATACAACGGATCTTTCGTAGTGTGAATTGTGGCTGTTGCCCAGCCCAGAAAACACCAGGAGCGCCAATCTCATTCTTGCTGTAACTTTGCATCTATAGCCTCAATCTATGAAGCGGCTCAAGAGCTTACCAATATTTCCAGTTTTCAGTCGGTGCCTCTGGTTCTCACGGTATATCGCCATCCCGTTCGTCTTTTTCAAACCCCTGATTCAGCAAGTCCTCTCATCATCACCTGGAGTGACCCATTTGTACTAGCAAGCCTACTGTATGTAATCGTAATTTAGCGCCGATTCTGACGGGACGCTCCATCTCTCTAATAGAGATCTCCGGTAGGCAAGGCCTATATTTGGGTTCCTACAATCTACCTCTAGAGAATACACACAAATCGCACCTCACCAACAAATGATAAAACAATGTCTCGAGTTGTCGGGTATGCTTCGGATGACGACCATCTCTGTTTCATCCATCGTTTTGTTGAACATGTTGCTGGGGACTTCGAACAGGGTTCCCATGGCTCGGAAATGCCACCCACTGGCTCCTCCTACCTTAACGACGCGTTCAAGGCCTTCGAATGTAAGCTTTCTGATGAATCGTCCGATAACTTCCAAATAGATGCATCAGCTACATTATTAGAAAATCATCAGAGGATTATCCGACTGTTAGATTCTCACGTCAAACACGGTCAACAGAGCGAGGTTTCAGTTCTCGCAACAGATCACCTGCCAGTCAGCCGGGGCCTCGAAAGCCCTTTTCCATCGTCAGAGAAGGAGAAATTTGTTCATGATTCGGACGCCTATCGGTGAATTCTTCACACAGTATGGCAGTATGGCCAACTTCCAGTTCGTGACCAAAAAGTCATGACTGATGTCGGAAATAACATTTATGGTTATTTATAACAGTCACTAAAAACGATTGTCTCGACACGACTACCCCTCGTGGCTTTGAATTTTGTCATCAATTGGAACCCCCTAATCCTTTTACAAGACTTAGATTCATCATCCTCTATACCACAGATTCTAGATGAATTGATCTGCCTCACAGGATCGATCGATGAGGCTCAAGCTGCCACTTTGGAAGAGTACATGCGCCAAACATGGCCTGTTACGGCGGACTATATGATAAACCTTCTGTCAGAGCTGACATCAATTCCTCTAGGTAACAGGTGCTCATATCATCCCTTAAAAACGCAAGGCACCAGTCTTCGGGCATTTATGGAAGGCTCTTTATCTCTTCATGTACTGGTCTCTGGAAGCTTTTACTTTATCTCTGATATTGGAGAGCAACTTGGGTGGTTGGCCTCTACTCTACGTGAGCCGCCTTCTGACCAGGGCATAGTAGTCTGCCGCCAAATGATGACCACAGCCGTTCCATGTAACACACCCCAGTCGATTGATGGAACAGAAGTGATAGGAACCTGTTACATGACCGTTGAACCCCGTGCAGTGCCTAAAAACCCCAACCCGCCTGACGGATTCTGCTGGTGTTCTCTTTTCAAAGCAGCAATCTTGGTCACAGGATACCCAATCCTTCAAAGACCGCAGGGCATCAAAGGGCCTGGAGGTGCCTCTGCACTTGATAGCACATTTGATTGGCTCCCGCCAGGCTTTTCAAATCGGGGAAAGATTGATCATGAAAGGGTTCAGCTCCATGCTCGTTGCTACCTTAGTGACTACGGATGTAGTTGTGTGGCACCTTCTATCCAGTGAACCGGCGGGAAGCCGGATTTCATACTTTGACTGTAGGTTGGACGCGATGAATTTTCAGCCACTTCAAGGAATCTCCATTGGAGACCTTGAGCGTCGTCGTCATTTTGTCTAGTGTGGTGCCCATGCTACGGACCCTTGTGGTAAGAGATCCGCTACATCACCCTGCAAAGTGATCAAGACTCTTTTTTCTACCTCAACGAGGAGACCTTCTTCAGCAGCTGTAAGCGAATAAGAGTTGGACAGAGGTCATAGGGAAGCCTAAATAGTCAGAGCAAAGCGAAAGGCGATTCAAGAACATCAACAGAAGAGATCAATTCCAGAGAATTGGAAAAACCTTCACCACTTCTATCGTGTTTTCTCAATTAAAACATTTCTCAGCAAATTATGTATTTGGACATGGAAAACATATTGTTTCAGATCTTCCCACAACATCCCTTATGTAGTCTTCCATTAGTTCCCGCATATGAGAACCTCCCGCATATGAGGACTTCAAAATACTTTCTTATACGCTGTTTCCTTGCCCTAGCGTGTTTATAGACAGGTTTCTTTAGGGGTCAGTTAGTTGTTATGCCAGACATCAAGGATCTGGTAATCCTTATAGTAAACATTCACTTCTTGCTTGCCTAGTAGTATCTGATCTTATTACTGAGATGCTAGACTTTGAACATTCCAGGGATCGCCCATAGGGAAAGTCCGCTACCGTCTTAAGGTTGTTATACATCTACTCAACCGAACAAAGTCTATTAGAGGTGGGGAGTAGATCGTGAACGCTCTGATCTTAATCCCGATGCGCTATAAACTGCTTATTCCTCTAACTTATCTACCCCACCTCATGAATACTTATTCTATAATCGACTTATCTTGTGACTATCAGTACGTACACCATGATCTTACCGCTATCCGAAATAGTAATATTAGTATCTACCGGACAGAAGAATGTAATAATATGTTTCCCAACATGTCTATGATTCTCTTTAAGTTTTTTAAGAGATTTGTGAACGCCTTCTGGTTACCGACTAAATTAGTAACATGAGTAGTCTTAATGCAACCATTGGCTTTAATTTCCTCTTGCCTGAACTTAGCGCTATAATGGTGGATATCTGTCTCGGAACCTTCCCCAATCCCAGTTCATGAAAGAACTCAATTCTCTTAGGCCTTTTCACGCCCTAATTGAAGATTCTTTCCGGGTATCTGTTGTTTCAATCCCCTTGCCTGGCAGCGCTAGTCGTGTTTAGCGTCTTTTTTCTGCCGCAAATGACACGCCCACCTCATCTACCACTACGCACCTGTAAATCAGCATGAAATATGAATCTTTAAGCTATCTATGAGCAATTTATATTTGTCTCACCCAAAGGAGGTCGTGGTGTATGGAAATCAGCCCAGCATAGCCTTATATCAGGTCTGCATAAAGGAACTTTGTAGGTCTTACAGCAATATACTGTGTGAAATTGCTTTGGAATAGTATAACCTCGAGCCTTCGCTCTTTGCACCTGTATAGTATAGAAATGGCACCATTTGCGAGGGTGAATCCATTCAACCTCATGACTACTATCATGCGATGGTTGGACTAAGCTATATCTTCGCTTTCTTTTCAGTGATTCCTCTGATGCTTGTTTGAATAGCTCCCTATAAAGAGCTTTCCGAAATTCAAGATGAGTAATCTCCTTTATACCTTACTGTCTGTAAGCCATCTTTGCAATATAATAAGTATTGATAATAGCTACATCAAGTGTTCAAAAGAATATAGGCCACCAGGAGCGTAAAAATCCTTGGTGAGTTTCATAACTTGCACGCAGTTGATTTGCTCGATCCACGCCTCCCATATGATAGTTATAATCATCAATTAGCCGGGGTATTGGAAGTTCCTTGGTAGGCTGGTCACCAAAAACTTGATAACGTAATACTGTTGATATATCAACTATCAAGTACTACAAGGACTGAACCATCAGTCAGCCAAACTTTTTGATCTGGTTAGAAGCTCGAACGATTGTCAACATTATACTCATACCCATAACGATACCTAGATTCTCTACATATACGTTACAGAGTCCTGGTATACACACCAGAACCGAATAACCTTTAAAAAATTACAGAAGGGAGCAACTGCTGCAGGCAAGTTGACCATTTCACGCCGCTCGGGATTGTCAGCCGGGACAAAGCCTCTATTCCAGCTAAAGGCGCCCAAAATGCTGCTTTTTGAATTTTATTACGGGGCGATGTGGGCTACTTCTGAGAGCTTGATGATCTGTACTTAGTACGAGATCCCTTGTTAACTGCGCTTCTTGTATTGTTTAGTTCATAATTCATATCTAGTGAAATGAGACTTCTTTAGGCTATTACGATGATTTCATCGATGAAGCTGGATATACTAAGACTCATAAGATCATTCACGCGGTGCGAACCGACAACGCCAGCTTTGCCATGCTATTACATGAATACGGTGCGAACATCAACGCTATATTCGCCGATGGGTCGAGTCCTTTAACCACCGCAATCACATATAATAGCCACAACGTTCTATGGCTGCTTCTGGATCGATGGTATGAGTATTCTGTCTGTCCGCGGCTGAACGGACCACATCTACTTCAAATTGCTACACTCTATGCAGATCTAGAAACGATTCGCATCCTGGCGGCCACTGACCATTTCCGTATGAAATATGACAAACAATACACACTGGGAGATTTTGGTAATCGTTTACGTCAACGACCTGACCTGAACGTGACCTGAAAGAAGACCTTGCCTTCGCTTTTGACGACTTGTTGAGTATCATCAATCAGATGCCAACTAAGGGAGAGAGCTCCATGAGGCTCATGGAGTCTGGTTTCATTCCGTGTCTTTCTTTGCGAGTTAATTCTGACGTGAATGAGTCCTACAAAGAGCCCAATAGTGGCTCTAGCTCTGATAGTAGCTTTTGGGATGCGCCCGAGAGACTTTCCCCTGCCGCTGATAATATGCCCTTGCTGGAGAAAGTACCCGCGGTAGGTTGACTTCATGACGATAGCGGCCAGTGTGTGGAAGGAAGAGACTGTTCTGCTCAATTTTAATGACTGATGATTTATCTTCTAATTGGAAGCGATTCAATTCTTGAAGCATAACTAGTTAATTTATGTCTAACCTGGTGGAATGATGTCATATTCACGTTCTAATTTACACAAAAGTCTCATGAGTGCTTGAAACCAACGCGAATTTTCACGCTTATGCGTTAATGTTGAATTCCACTTGTTCTACTGACGATAATGTGTTACAGACGAGCAGTCATTCCTACACTCGCACGTCTGTCACTCCCAAAACCCCGATAATAAGTCTGAATAGTTTTGGCGTCCTTGGGATTTTTCGATGCGAGCTGATCCATGATAGTTCGAAGATGTTCTGTCCGTTCTAACAGCTGTCTGGCTATGTTAGACGTCGTGAAAAGCTGTAGATCTGCGCAGTCTGCGTTTCGAACTAACGCCTCACTAATCGCCCTAGTTCGGTCTTCGGAGAAGCAGAACGAACTTCCGAACGCCACCCAGAGTTGAGAAATCGGATGCTGATTGGGTGTTTTCCAGTTCTCGTATAGCCATATGCGCTTCGGCTCCCATGGAATCTGACGAAGTTGCATAATCGACCGCCACCACTCGAGATACTTCATCCGCGCTCGTTCTCCGCTCACGGCGTGGACACAACCGGCTGTTCCGATAGCCAAATGGCTTAGGAGACGATCTGCAACAACATCGACCGGGACTTCATCCATGTGAACTTCAGCATCAGGGTTTGGAAATCGGGTCGTGGTTTTCATTTCTAAATCTGTGCTCAAAAGGACTGCCGCTGTCGCTGTCGTCAATGGTGTCGAATTTGGAAAGCAATATCCGGGATAGGGGACTTTTTGTGCTGGGCCTATGATGGACGGACGAATGATGAGCAAACTTTGGGCTGCATTCGCATCACCAAACCATTGCAATAATAGTCTCTCGGTGAGATGCTTTGCATAGGCGTATGCCCATGGGTAATCCTCTGCTTCGTATACCCAGCTGGTGCCAATCTTCTGCACGTCTTTCCACTCGGTCAAAGCAGTATCATGCTGACAGGGATTGTAGATTCTCTCATCCACTAGGACGTCGATTCCCTCGCTGCGGGGACCAAGGTGTGCGTTTGCATATGCACTCGAAACGTAGACAAAGCGAGTAAGAACGTGACATGTGAGGGCGAATTTGGCAACTGTTTCTGTGGCTTGGATAATAGTGGGTGTCAAGGTGGTTAGGTCCGTTTTGAGGTTAATGGAGGATGCCGCATGGATAACGATCTCTACATCCTGTCGGACAATATCGATCTGGGCGTCGGATAGCCCGACATTCGGCTTCTTGATGTCACCATCCACAACGATAAGACGATTCGACTGGCAGAGTCTGTCCGCGAATTGAGACGGTAGTAATTTCCTCCATCTGGAATACAGAGCTCTGTTACATATAGCCGTTAGTCTTTTTGCATTAGACAGAAATTTGAAGAGAGGAAGGAAACTGACTTTCGTCCCCCTCTGCACAGCACGTAAATAGGGGAAGTAGCCGCCGTGTGAGTCACTAGTCGGTATACAATGGCAGTTCCCAGGAAGCCAGATCCCCCGGTGATTAAGACGCACTTATCATCAAAATAATCCCACATTTTGGCAACACTCGATGTTCCAGGGCGTCCAGAACATGCATTATCTGTAAACAAAACTTTCGGACTTGAGACATGGCTAGCAATTTATTTCATATGATGAAAACTTGAATTTACAGTCCATTACCCCTCCCTACTTTTAAATAAAATTTTCTAGGTTCTGCAAGTATACCAAGGCAAACACCCACTGTCCACTTTCGGTAAGAGATCCATAGACCCGATTATCCGCTGTTGTGGCACCCGGTTTCGTTCAATATCTACCATGGTTCATGGCTCCGGATGTTGTTTTTCCTAAGCCAATGCCGATGCGGCGTCCATTAATTATTGTGCCTGAACTATGCGCTCATGACGTACTATTTCCAGTTTTCATTTTTTTTCTTGATTTGATGGCAGCTCTCGAAGCTTCCTGACTACATACAGCGCTGAACCCTATCAATAATTAGTGTCATAAAGAACGGGGTAGCAAAGCGACCGTTCCATCGCAAGTTGAATGTAATGTAACCTTGAGTCTATCGGAAAAGTTGAACTAACCCGCAAAACACAACATCCAAGTCGTCCCGCATAGGTAAGTTGAACTTCCCCTGGATACATTTCAGAATCCACATAATCGGAGGAGTTCAGATCGGTCACGAAGTTGATAGGCAGGGTATCGGTTTTCGGGGGTATGAAGAGGTTTCTGAACAAGTGCTGGTTCACTGTTCCGGGTTTCCTGTTTACAGGCCATGGTATTTTTTTTTTCCAAGTTTCTCTCCACATAGGAGGTACCACCCTTGCGCAACTGGAATCCCTTTCCGTCCATTCGATTCACAGACCACTGGTTCACCTTTCGGTACCCGGGTATGGACACAAGCTCGCTCATACAACGATTTTCATTATTATGACCGGACCCATTCCTCCCACGTCTCTTTTTTATATATATATATATATATAACTAAAGATAGTAGAACGGGGACCAGCCCACGTTCAAGAAAAAGAAAGAAAGAAAGAAAGAAAGAAAGAAAAACGACCCCAATCCTGGAACCGATTTCGTCAGAACAATATGAGATCAGACATAGATCTCCGGAAAAGCTTAGACATGGGCATGCCGCCGGATCCTCATCCTCATCCGGCAGCAGCAGCAGCAGCTCGAGCTGGGGGTACTGGCAATTCCAGGATCAAGTCAAACCCGTGCTCAAGCTCAAACCAAAGATAAAGGAAAGACTCACGGGTTGCGAGCCACGGCCACGGTGCTGGTTTCGCATGGCCTTTTTGCACGGTTAATCAACCATACTGTCTTTATGTCTAGGTGATCGAACCTCGAGTCGCCGACGGCCCTATGGTACTGTCAGCAATCAAAGCTGCAATGGCATAGTCAGTCAAAATGGCACACACTGCAGCCCGTTGGCCCCAGTACTCCTCACACTCCAGCATGTGATGGCCCCGTTTCCAGCAGTGGCCGCATCTATCACGGTTCCTCTTCTTTAACCACCACAATCAGTCAAGCAATAAGCATCAACAAGGAAACGCTACATACTCCGCCACCATAGTGGTCTATTCATCCCCCCCTTCCTCCTCAACCAAGGTTGTCTCCAGCCAGCTGGGGATCTGATGAGCGTGGCTCTGATATAGCTAGAGAATCGGATGGAAACGCTTGATTATCTCTAATACTACAACTGCAGAGGTTCTAGAAATGCAGCAGCCCAGTGTGGGTCAGCTGACTGACTAACTACGTGCAGCCTAGCGCCGCAGGCCATTCCAGCAGGCTCCAACAGGATCTTCGATCATTGCCATATCCATTTCGCATGGTTATTGGTCATGGTCGACCTAATTTCTCGGAGTTGTGCGCTTGAAGATAAAATTTCTCCAAAAATATGCCTGAACACTGTTCAGAGGTGTCGGCTCGACAAGTTCGACAAGTAATCTGGAACAGCATCAGCCATCTCACGCCATGATTTATGAGTACTGCTATATGTACTTACTTTTTATTCCTTGGCAAAGATGCCACCAAAATGATCATTCAGTACGGGCCCGCAACCCGACAAGAACGTTTCAAAGCCGACACGGCTCAAAAAGGTTTGAAAGAATTTTCCACGGCTCCTCGTCTGCATTTACCATGAGGCATAAAGCCCGTGGGATTCCACTGACTGGAATTGTGATTTTTATTGGACTGGTCTGAGATGATGATTGTGAGATGTAGAAAGGAGGAAGAAACCAGGAGGGATCTAATGGGGCGAGAGGCATTTAACTACACTACTTTGAGGGCTGACGTGAATGGATAGAGAAGGCAAAGTAAGTCAGTGACTACGTGGAGAGAATCAGGAATGCAAGTGAAGAGATTCGCTCGGTATATTCACAGTGTCGGCAATGACCCCTGAGAATTTTGCACGGCATCCCATTGACTCCTCTTCCTATCCATCTGGCGTTGCGTCACGTTTGCGGTCCCGGGATTACAGCCCCGTGCCGAACCTATACGGTCACTGGAGTCCCAAAAGTTGCGCTTTGGAGATTCAGAAATACTTAGTTGATTGTGCAACTGGAATCTTCAGAGAAAACCTGTATCCCGAGGCACTGAGTCTACTGGGCTTGCGAGGACTTCAGAACTTGAAGTTAGTATTGCGATTTACCACACGAGTCTCTCGTGCTAAACCAACTCATCCAGATATCCGAATTCTCTTTTTCTCCACAACACATTTACCGGTAAACACTCAGCTCTTCCTGGCTGGTGGTCTGCCAAAGCAGTCGTTGAACCGCAGAGAATCGACGGCAAACGTGTCCATCCACACCTTACTTTAGGGTTAGTCCAAGACTTCAACGGACACGAAAACACCATGATCTACGGTGAGCTGGCCCCGATAATTGATGTGATGTATGCTCGGTCCCAGCAGCAAATCATCTCCGAGGAGGACGAGGAGTCCCTGTTCGAACCGGAAGTTTTACCGCCATCAGGACCAAGGGCATTCGAGAGCGATCAAAGATTCCCGATACTACTCCTTTCTTTTCTAAGGCCTCAGCATGGGCGTGTCTTTTATGCATGTATGGATGACGATGAGCTTGTCATTAGACAATCACGGCTCTACAGTTTCGAAAGGCTAGCAACTGCCCCGTTCGATCTCTTCACTCGCCTTTTCCTAAGTCAACCTCTCTCGACTGCTTGAGTTGGCCTTGGATCACTGTTCCATGTTTTTTCTCTGGACTTCTATATTTTATGTCATATAAAGAACGGACTTCGATAATTTCTCAGGTAGCTGGTTGACGAGGTCATGACATCTTATAAAATGGAAGCCTGATCAAATGCAGACTGATGCAAAATCTTCCCATCTAGAGAGTATGCAAATTGTTGCAAAACCAATCCAATTGACTGTTTCTCCTCTTTCCGACTGTCCCTTCCTATATTATATAGACGTTGACTAACAGATTCGGCGTAAGCGGTTTTATGCGCATCCAAACTAGGGAACAAATCAAGATAATTGTATATGGGTTTCCCAAAGCAAAGGAAACCAATCCTGAGTTAGGAGCTCCCTTAGTTCTCAATACGTAGCTAGTAACTATAATATACGCAATATCTTTGAAGACATACTTGCAGAACCCCGCTCTTGATGAACACATTAAGCCTGACATACTTTTAAGCTTAGTCCGAGACTCCATACAGTTGGCAACACCAGTCTCCGCATCGAATCGTCATCTACTGCTACGAGTCTAGGACAAAAGCATCTTCGCGACTGCCAACAGCTGTTGTTCCTCGAAGAGAGACAGGGTTGCTATAATCGTTCTGTCATTAAGCTGTGCAGTTCTGCCTGAGAAGGATATTTCAATACCCAGAGTCAGTGACAACATTCCACTGACAAGATCAACAACTCCATACGCCGTGGTAAAGTAAAATAGCCTCTCTTAGCTTCGCCAACTGCGGGTACTGGGTCCCAAGCTTCTGCGCTTTCGTAAACAGAAATGTTGCCCCTTGATGAATGGAATGCGTTTGTGCAGAAGATTTGATTTCACCATTTTCCTTGACTCTCGTTACGTGAGGGAGAGACAATTCCTCGAAATAGGATTTTGGTGTCTACAAAGGATTTCAGAGTCACGACAGTTAATTTGGGCACTGACGAAGAAATTCGAACATGGAGATTCCCAGTGAGATGATAGACATCTCTCCCAACTAGCGCAACAAGCCCTAAGGGAATGATGTCAAGTGCAATGAGATCACATCACTGCTCGCGAGATACCTCTCCTTAATATTCTCAAAGCTAGAATATTACGTTCACTGTTCTAGTCATCGTCATATGAAAGTAAAAGCGTGGTATTAAAAAAAAAAAAAAAAAAAAAAAAAAAAAAAAACCTCAAATGGCTCCATTGTCGACGGGTATCCCTAAAAGCCAAGAGTGCATGCAGCAAGAGGACGGTTGGTCCGTACGGAGATGATTTGTCGGTGGTCGCTCGCTGGTTAGAAAATGAAAAAAGTGCCGAGGTCTGACTGCCAGTGGGTCTCAACATTTTTTCTCTGGGGCGTTCTGGAAACGTTAGCCGCTGCTCATTCTTATCGTGCATGCTATGAATATAGACGGTCGCTCCTACCTTCGTTTTCTTTTGTCTCTTCGTTCTTTTGCCTGTTTTAGACCGCACATACAATAATACACCGATGGAGTCCATCTCCTCGCTCGTCTCCTCCCTCTGGGGGTCCCTTGGCTTCTGGAAAGCCGCGGCTATTTTCTTCGCTTTGCTGAACCTGAAGACCTTTCCCATGGTCTGGCATGTGCGTTCTCCCTCCCTTTCGCACTAGCTACTTCTCAGTCCGATTCAAGGTTATACTAATATTCCCGCTCTGACCATGTAGATCCGCGTCTACCGCTACTTCTTCAAACATGGCTACCTCATCACCCCCGCCGTGGAGCAACCCGCGCGACCCAGCACCGAGCTGCTCGATCCCGTCAGCATCTACTCGCGTGCCCCGATCATGGAACTCGATTTCAACATGCACAAGTCCAACTCGACCTACTTCTCGGACCTGGATGTCTCGCGAACGGCCCTCATGTCCAACATCGTCGTCAAGGGCGCCGCGCTCCTCGAAAAGCAGCTCGCCGCCAACGGCAAACGCGGACCCCTCGGCTTCATCCTCGGCAGCGTCTACACCAGCTTCAAGCGCGAAATCCCCGCCTACATGAAATACGAGGTCAAGTCGCATGTGGCGAGCTATGACAACAAGTGGATCTACATCATCACGTATTTCCTGAAGCCCGGGAAGAAGGGACGCGTGTTGGATGCCGAGGCCTTGAAGAAGAAGCTGTACGCCGTCTCGATTAGTCGCTACGTGTTGAAGAAGGGGAGGTACACCGTTCCTCCGAAGGACGCGTTCCAGGCGGCTGGATACACGCCTTTGTTGGATATCGTGGCTGTCAATGGCAATGGACACGCGACCGGGGCGGAGAATGGCGACGTGAATGGAGACGTCACCCAGCGCAAGGGCGCTGGGGCTAAGGACGAAGAGTGGGGTAGACTTAAGGAGGAAATCGATCGTGGATTGGATGTTGTCCAGCCGTTTATTAATCAGGAGGACAAGCTGATGGAGGAGTATGTGCACAAGATGACCCTGCCGGGGTTTGCCTGAGGCTTTGCGATCAGATTAGATTAGATGGTACTTATATAGATTAGACTTTGGGATATACATGCATAGAGCCATAGACTGTTCAATTATTTACTTTGATCTTCGCGACGATAAGATTCTAGGGTCTAGAACTATTTACATTTGTCCCTCCATTGCATCATCGAATCAAGAGTCTTGCAAAGTAGTCGACAACGCCTCCCACTCCTTCACTCCCACCCCGGCATATTGTCCCTGCGATCCGGAAGCGGTCAGGATCGCACGAATCGACTTGGTCTCCAGCTCTTCAAACGTCACGACATCAGGACTATCCGTCACCTCCAGCGGATAGGTCCCCTTATTAACAGCCTTGACCCACTTTCCCTCCCCATTCTTATACTCAACATGCCACGCCTTCGGCGGCGCAACCCCTATATCTGAGCCGGCCGACTGGTCCGCAAAAAACACCATGGAAGTCCCATTCAACGTGACCGTCTCATTCCAGGTGTAAACTAGCGTACTCGTCTCCGGCGAGTCCGTGCCATCATACGAGCTCCAGTAGTCCGGCGGCAGGGGAGTCTCGCGCACGATCCCATCATTCAACGCACTGATCCAGTACTGAATGGGGGTGCCATTCTCGGAACTCGCGACCGCCTTCAACGCCACATTATGCGTCGCCGGAGCCGACTCCTTCGGCGCGATGGTCTGTTGGACGGTGTTGATCTTCGGTGGGTTCTGGCTATCATCCCAGGTCAGTTTGTCGAACGCAACACTGCGACGGAAATGTCCGCCACCTTCGGCGTCCGCGGTGTGGTACACAAAGTACCACTCTCCGTTGAGCTCGACCGCGCCGGGATGCGACGTTGTCGACGACACGACGGGAAGGATAACGTCTTGAAACGTCCACGGGCCAAGCGGAGACGAGGCTGTGCCGTACGCGATACAAGCGTGGTAAGACGTCGGCGTGCAGGGAGAGTCCTCGCCGGCATTGTTCGCCGCAAAGAGCATGTAGTACGTGTCTTTGCGCTTCATGAGCCACGGCGCTTCGAAGTACCCCGTTAGGCTTGTGACGTGGATCACGTCGCCTTTGATCGTCACCATGTCCGAGTCGAGCTTGTATCCGAGCAGTTCGCCGAACGTGCCGAAGTAGATGTATACCTGTCCATCGTCGTCGACGAAGACCGTCGGATCGATATTCTGGATCGAGTCACCCGGCGAGGGAACTGACTGCGAAATGATCGGTCCGGACGGGTGCGCGTCCTTGTACGGGCCCGTGGGTGAGTCCGCCACGCCGACACCAATCGCGAAAGGATCTTCGTTGGAGGAATCAGCCTCTTTGACTGGCGCATAGAGATAAAATTTCTTGTCGGCGCCTTGCACGACTTGGGCGGCGTATGCGGATCCCGACTCGGCCCAGGAGAAGACGGATTCAGGGGTGGCGATCTCCGGGTGGAGCGTCCATTCGCTGCCCTTAGGGTCTGGGGATGAGGAGACGAACATGCCCCATTGGTTCATGTCGAAGGCATTTTGGTTCGGCGAAGCAGTGTCGCGGCCCGTGATGATGTAGAGCTTGTCATTGGCGACTAAGGGCGCTGGGTCTCCCGAGTACCAGGAGCTGTTGGACCAGATGGGATTGCCTTTTGACGTGAATGAGATGGGAGAGGAGCCCTCGACTTGCGCAGCGAGTCCGGGGACGTGCAGGGCCAGCCCGAGGAGTAGGCCGATCATTTCGACGTCTGGCAGGATCCGATGAACTTGGGATTTATCCTACTTCTTCAGCATGGTTGAGCTTGAGCTCCCTTATGTATCCACGGTCCATTTAACCGATTCTTCAGTGATCTACCCGAGTTAATCAACTATAAACGAGCTAATGGCTTGGGTCGCGGCGTTCACTTCGCATTGTTTGTCGGGCGTTTCAAACCCCACCAATAATTGCCGGGAAAACCACTGCATGTCTTAGAGAGTAGTATAGCTGAATCAGGGTCACACAACCTCTTGCAAGACACCGAGTCTAACGGGCAGGTACCAAGGTTATCTCCTGTCAAACATGCGACCCTGTTTCACCCCGCCATCCTCGCCCTGCGGAGTACAGTTGCCGACACAACATCCCACCGGAGATCCACTCAGACCATGCTTTAGATACCCTCATTTCCTCTTGTTTAGACTTGATATCCTTTGCCGAAAAATATTAGGCAATCCGATCTTGTAATTATTCATGCCACGGAGCTGTGCAATAACAGCTTCGCCCTCACCTTCCATATGAACAAGTTCTAGGGGTTCTGTGGAAATTAGATTCTGTGCCTGGCGATCCTACTATATAACTGCAAGTTCATTGGTTGGGAGGTTATGCAATGTTCGACAGACCACTACGAAGTAGACTATCAAATGAAATATCCCTCTCGAAGAACATGTTCACCATTGCAGGCCCTGCAAGCGAGCGATCCGCCAATCCCATTTCTTAGACATACCTCAAGGGGCTTTTGTTTCTATTTTATCACATAGAATGCAATCTCTTTCATGGAATTAATAGCCATACTCTGTGAGTTTGTCATTCTGATACCTGCATCCCAATTTTAAAATAAGCCAATAGGAGGTTTCCATGTTTTTTAAAGGCTTGATTCGAGTCTAGACTCTCGCGGGGGGTCCGGAACACTTTGCGATAGTTAAGAAAAACAGGAGGTTAACTATGCAGACTATACGGGTTGGCTTTTTACATTTCTATCTGGCTTGTTAACATTCCGCTCGGATGAAACTATATATATCTCGGCGGACGGGAACTAGGAAGACAAGAGCCACGTCCCCAAACAAATGCCGTCGTCTATAAAAACCTGAAAATATGAAGCCAAAGTGCGAAAGAAGGAGTATTCATCAAATGCTCTTGTGTTGACCATCGCAAGGAGGCAGGTCAGTAGGCATCAACGTTCAGGCAACGACAAGGCATCAGCCAGGCAATAATCAGGCATCAATTTGACCCCACCCGTGACACCTCCCGTCCCGAATGGGCATAGCGCTTGGATGTTTTGGCCCCCAAAGCGCGAGGCGCCGAATAAAGAGACGATCGACTTTTCCTCTCTTTCTTCTATCCGTTATCCATCACCGACCACTGCGTCAAACCGTCCCTTTCTTGATGTCGCCATGGGATCCAAGTCACCTGAACACAACGACCACCATGGCAACGGTATGCAGTTACTCGAGTCCACCTGATCCACCTATATGCTTGGACTATGCTTACTTTCTTTAGATGCCTCGTCCTGCTCGATCAGCAACAACAACACGGGCGGCGAACCTCGCGGCGCCCATTTGTCCCGCGACGGAGATGTCAGTCTTGGGGATGAAAATGGAGATGACGACGACGATGAGGGTGCCGCCACCGCCGGCGTAGAAGACCACGTGGGTGATGGTACCAACAAAGCCACGGCGCAGTCCACCGCGGAAAGCGCCCCCAAGAAAAAGAAACGCAAGAAGTCCAAGAAGAAGACTTCCGCCTCCAAACAGTCATCACCACCACGGACTCCTCTGAGTAAATTGTTCCCGAGCGGTCAGTATCCGACCGGCGAGATCCAGAACTACGAACTCGTGGACGAGAATACCGCTCGCACGACGGCTGCCGAAACCCGATATCTGTCTCGTCATCACCTTCATGACGAGACCTTCTTTAACGATTATCGGAAAGCGGCCGAAATCCACCGTCAGGTCCGACGCTGGACCCGGGAAACTGTTCGTCCGGGACAAAGCCTCACGGATATTGCGGTCGGTATCGACGACGGAGTCCGAGCGCTGCTCGACAATGCTGGTCTCGAGCCGGGAAGCTGTCTCAAATCGGGACTGGGATTCCCGACCGGACTTTCGCTGAACAATTGTGTTGCACACTGGACCCCGAATCCGGGTCAGAAGGATGTTATCCTGGACAGGAGCGACGTGATGAAGGTAGATTTCGGCGTCCACATCAATGGCTGGATCGTGGATAGTGCGTTCACCATGTCATTTGACCCAACTTATGACAATCTCCTCAACGCCGTAAAGGACTCGACCAACACCGGTATTAAGGTGGGACTATGATCAATCCCTGCCCTATTTTAACCGCATGGCTAACATGACTAGAACTCCGGGGTCGATGTCCGTATCAGCGACGTCAGCGCTGCCATCCAGGAAGTGATGGAAAGCTACGAGGTAGAGATCAGTGGTAAAACATTTCCTGTGAAACCGGTGCGAAACATCACCGGACACAACATCAAGGCATACCAGATCCATGCGGGGAAATCCGTCCCTTTTATCAAAACCAAGGATCAAACCAAGATGGAGGAAGGGGAGGTTTTTGCCATTGAAACTTTTGGAACAACCGGTCGGGGCTGGACGTATGACGGTGTACGTTACCCCTATCCACGTGAAAACTCAGGTACTCACATCTTTCTAGCCTGGTGTCTACGGCTATGGAAAGAGCTATTCTGCACCCAGCAAGTTCTCGTCCTCTCTCGCCTCGGCCAGATCCCTTTACAAGACTATCAATGACAACTTTGGCACCATTGTGTTTTGCCGTCGCTACCTCGAGCGACTTGGCGTTCAGCGCTACTTGGCAGGTGTAAGTACTAACCGTGTTTTTCTTTTATGACTAAACAAGAAACTTATCGGTGTTAGATGAATGACCTTATCAACAAGGGCGTGGTGGACGTCTATGAGCCAATGCTTGATACTCCGGGATCATACTCAGCACAGTTTGAACATGTAAGCTGATCCTCATTCCTCAAATGTCAGTTTCAATCTAACATATTTCAGACTATCTTGCTGGGAGAGACAAGCAAGGAAGTGATCAGTCGGGGAGATGACTATTAAATGTCTTCGCAACATTTGTTTTGCCTTCCATTTACTTGGTTCTGATTTCGTTCTGCTGCTTTGCTTTTCACGCGATTCATGGTGGTTGATGCATGCAATTGGTTTTGCTTGCTTTTTAACCTTCACCGAAGTCTATTTGCCTTTGCAAATAGTCGCCATTCTCGACATAGTCTATCATTTAATTTCATGTCGAGTATTGTTCCCTTACTAAAGCGCTTTGGCCAACCGCTTGGTCCGCCGAAAGATAAGGAACATTCAAACTACATACGACAAGGTTCTTGTCTGAATCTTTATTTCTCGCAAATTTCCCACACGGTTCCACATATTGTAGCTTGTATCACCAAGGGTCTTCTTGCTTTGCGCCCACATGACAATGCACAGTAATACAACATACCTGGTGCATAGTGGTACATTGCCAAGGAAGTAACAATCCTATTCGACCTCTCCATCTACGCCATTCTGGGCATGGGCATTGATGAGCAAGTCGATGGAGAGCAACCGTCTAGGATTTTTAATTGCGAACTTTTATCTCAAAGGTTTACAATTGCTCATCGCCACGAATGTCTATCAATATATGATTGTAGAGCTGTGATCGTTTTTCCATTTTTTGTTTCCCTTTTCTTTTCAATATATACACCTATCTTATGAGTACTGAAAGCATATCTTATGATGAACTATGTAGACAAGGGGCTTCCCTCAACGCCGCCTGCTCCAGAGCAAACCACTTGTCCTACAGATATCTCAGATGAAGGATGAAGACCGATTCAAACCAACTTTTTCTACATTACCCACTACCTTTTTGTGTCTGATACATACGACCACAGGGTGTGGAGAACAGGGCTTCCCGTCCGCTCAGCCGTACTTAAGCCACACGCCGGCAGGTTAGTAGTTGGGTGGGTGACCACCAGCGAATCCCTGCTGTTGTATGTAATTTATTTTTGCTCTCTTTTTTTGCTCTTTCAAGCGATTTTCATACACATTTTTACTGCCAATCTACTCTGACCTATATGAGGGAGAATTAATTGTTGTCGCGACCGCTCGTCATGATATGTATGGTATAGACTTAGAGAAGATCCAGATCGGGATAATGTCCCGGACTACATCTTGTGTGACGGAAGTACTGTGCCTGGAGATAAACATGATCTGTTGTATTGGCAGGCCAAGGACTGGTTGGATGGGAAGGATATTGAAGTCTAGCCCAGTTTTCTCAGGAGAGAGAACTCTGTGAGCTTTTTAAGAGATATCTGAACCACTAATAATCCTCTATAATTAACATGTGTATCCGATTCATACTTCTCAGTTACGGCATTAAAACCTCAAATCCCACAGTTCCGCGCCTGAATGAACACCGAAGAACTTTTCGACGGTAAGTATCCGCGCAATCTTCTCGGAATGATTTCTCTCTATCTCCTCCCCGGTACGCAGAGTACGCAATGCCGTGGGAAGCATGAACGCGGGAACAATCTTCACAAGGTCCTCGCGGAGACGGCGTAGAGTGAGCTCGCTTCCGGAACATCGAGCGAGAACGCCAACCCTACTGCCCACGGTCTTGTCCATTACAGGAAGAACGTAGACTTCCTCTATGTATGGAAGCTTTGATATGGTATTCTCCATGTATACGACCGGGACGGGGCCACCGACAGCTTTGATGACTGCGTAAAAGATGACTCCTTAATACGCTCCAATAGTTATGAAGTTGGGAGATAACTTACAATCGCTGGACGTTCGGCCATCGAAGATATAATAGTCGCCATCTCGATGAGCAGTGTCGCCCGTTATGAAGGACCCTTCATTGTCAACCAGTTCATGATATGGGGGCTGGTTATGGAGATAACTGCATTCATTGGAGTTAGTAGGGAATGCCAGAGCCAGGTAAATGGCTGTTGACGGATCGTTCTATCACGTACCCCTTGAATGTGGAATTGCCTTCCACCAAGACAGTTCCGTGGTCGCCTTCAGAAAGCTTGATTGTGTGTGTTGAGGACCGGAGCTTTCCTATGCATCTCTGTCGATCATAGGAATCGCTGTTAGACTATAAATTTGAATAATTGGCGGAAAGGCTCTTACCTCTAGATTAATAGATGCCTCGGGATCCGCGGTGGTCAGTACTCCTCCAATTTCGGTACTTCCCCACGCGATGCTCAAAGGTGCACCGAGTACATCCCTCCAATACTTTAGTAATGATGGCACGGGCATGGATCCACCAATGAAGCCCATTTTGAAACTGCTCAAACTTTCAAGGTATTCATTCCTCAATGGAGAGGTCTCCAAATGACTCCGGAAGTACCTCGCAAGGGCGTCGTAGAAAGCAACGGTTGCCGTAACAGTAGTCACGCCCCCTTGGCGAATTCGCTCCCAGAGCACATCAGGGCCAGGATTCATTCGAAGCACGGAGACATGTCGCCCGACAAAGACAGATTGAATTATAGCCCATGTTCCGGCTATGTAAAATGCCGGTCGATGCGCGATGGTTACTTGGTCGAACTGCTTTGGAAGTGTAGTGAACAGACGGCGATCGTGAATTGCTCCCTTGGGCATGCCCGTGGATCCCGAAGTCCAATAGACCCAAGCAGGCCGGGTGTCGGGAATTTGGAATGATTCATCAATACCGAAAGACGTCGGAGAATTTTGCGACGTGTTAAAAATGATAGACAGCACGTCAATCGGGCTTGAAAGACTGGAGTTGGCGCATTTTTGAAAAGCGGCTGCTTGGTGTTTGTAGTCGCGGCCTGCCAAAATGCATCTGAGGTCGCATTTCTCTGAGACCCTCGCATAGCTTTGCTCTTCGATAGTCAAGGCTGTCTGATTATCAGTCCTCTCATCGTGTGTTATCTTATGGCACAAGGAGTAAGCCTACGAAGAGGAATCATCACGCCTCCGAGTGCCAGGGTGGCGAAGGAAGCGACGGCATACTCATAATTCGCATGTCCCACGTAACCAATATGGTAGTTCTGTTCAATGAGTGATTCAATGGATTGATCCTGTTCTTTGAGAATTCGCGCTAGCTTCAATCGCATCTGTTCGACATCGGTAAGAAGTTGATGATAGGTGGCTTGCACGCCAATCGTCGGGTCGTCTATAATAATTCCATCCCTCTCTTTGCAAAGTTCAAGCAGCCTTGAAAACACACCATCGTTGGGAAACGCGCCCTCTGTTGTGTGAGGCATTTTGGATCTAACACTATTGGATGTGCAGACTTCGAAGTTTGAGGAAGTTAAACAGATGTCAAAGGATTATTTCACATAAACGGAAGAACATGCACACTTTCCGAAATCGATGTATGTACTACATAGCAATGACACGACTTACGGGGCGCTCCGTAGTGATTTGATGCATCGCCAAGCGGGATCTATTCAGAAGATCAACTGGTAGTGCGTGTCGATCAGCCTTACTAGTCGATTTTATGGGGCCAGGGACCAGGTGCAATTAGCAAATGGTACGGAGTTAGGAGCAGTCGACCCACGATCAAAGCCTAGTGTCCCCACACTTGTCGATCTTTTGATCTCGAAATGCCCGTGAACACCGTGGTTCGTGAGATCACATTCACTTGATCGGACACGTAATCTGAGGCAACAATCTGATATATTCGCGATTAGCTGATGAACACGGAGTAGTGGGTAGGTTCGGGCAGTGCCTGCATAGAATCTACATAGGATCGTCGGTTTCCAGTTCCATAGCCTACGTGGCATTCGATTACATACGAGTCGCGACGCCTCGATTTGGAGCCGGAGAATAATTCGCTGAAAGCTGTGCGCCCCCACTAGTTGATTGATGTTCACCGCTCGTTTTTGTCTCTCTTTTTGGCGGTGTCGCTTCATCTTCATTCTTTTTTCTGGGAACCTGCACAGGTTCCTGCTACTCTGTTGTTGACAAGGGCTGTTTGTGATTCATACCTGTAGGAGCGGCAGCCACGCAGCACAGCCATGTCTCTAGTCCATAGCAGCCCCTACTCGGCGAAAATAGGGATGGATGATTCTCTCAAAGTTCCAGACACCGAAACTGACGAGGGACGGGAGGTAGTGAATTATGAAGTCGACTGGGATGGCCCCGATGATCCGAATAAACCAATGAACTGGCCCAAAGCGCGGAAACAGGGGATTATTGCTGCTGTTTGTGTAATGCGATTTACCACGTGAGGAAGTGATTACATTAAATTGGAGAAATAACTACTTATCCGGCATTACTGAACAGCTGCTATTCAGGAGGATACTTAACGCTGTAGGGTTGTTACGGCGCGCCGCTGCGCAGCACGCGGCATTTATGGCCAGGGTAGGGAAATGGCTAGTTTGGAACTTGGGTTTCTGCGCTATCTCGAGGTCCAAGAGATGACGAAGCTTGTCCAGCTGATCGGTTTGGGCAACGCTAACGAGGTCCTCTTTCATCGTGATAGATGTGACGGTCTACAAAGGAGCTTAGTAAAAGACAAGTTTGTTTCTGACTCATAGTCAAGAATTTTGACATGGAGAGGAAAAGCTATCTAGGAGGGAGGATCTAGAGCTTCTATATACTGCCCGAGTCTTGGCCTCAGGCAGGAATGCCTGCAGAGCATCCAGGAACCTTCCTGGATGCCTACCGGAGGGTCCCTCGATCCTATACTAACTAACCAGAACGTTCCTCCGCACCGGGAAGTTCCCTGATTTCAGGAGGTCACAATAGATTGGTCCGATGATCAGACCTTCGCGACAGTTCAATGCTCCATATAAGTTTACTAGGCAATACGAACATTTCATAAACCAATAAATTCCTTGTCTAGATGCTAGTAGCTAGTACTAAATAATATAATACATTTTCAGGCTGTTACAGAAACACTCTATTCCGCAGCTATCTTAGCATGAGGGGATACCAGCTGTAGCCGTTCACCTCAGACCCCGATCCAAAACAGGAAGAACCCATCCCTTTAGTTTCTAGTGTCCCTTGATCACCTCTTTGTTGTCATTATCTGGGTTAATCCGAGTCACTTTGGTAACGGCCGAGCTGAGGTTTGGCCACTCGTATTAATCCCACACAGTACCCTTATGCCAGTCAGTGCCCTTAGTGTCGCTAGGTAGAATAATCACCACCTCGCCAGCGCACAACTCCGCCATTGCCTGCAAGGCGCGCTTGTCTAGGACTTTGCGATCTTCGCCCTTCCAATCATCGGGTCAATTGACGTCTTTCCAATTTGTTACGGAAACACTATATTATCCCTGCCGCCTGGGCGCGCCGGGATATCTTACCACGGTGTTTCCCCAATGACTTCAAGATAGTTGAAGCACCCAGAGGAGCCAGCGGGCCCCCGAGATCTCGTTTAGATAGGAATACATTGATTCCTGGTGTTTCCACCGATGACATCTACATCCTAGTTGAGCGAAACGATGAGCCTGTAGCCGATTGATAACTCCCTGCGCCCCGTTTCCCCTGAATTCCACAACACAATTCATGGCGAGAATTCGGTACTGGCGATTTTCCGGCTTATTGCGCCACTGCGTCGCTTTATTTGAGTAACCCTGAGGTCCGGAGTAGAAGAGGCAGGAGTCCTTCAATGTCTTGTCTTTGAGCTCTTCCTTAATCCTAGCGACGCTGGGTACGCCGTCATTGCAGCTAAGACCATCGGCATCGTCTCTGGCATAGAGATTATTCTCTTCACCGGCGTAGTCATCCTCCATCTCATCATCGTCCAGGCTTCTGGGAGGATGCTGTCCCTTGTCTCCCTTAGCATCCTTGTCTCCCTTACCACCCTTGCCCTTTGGCTTGCGGTGGCCAATTGGTTTTTTGGGGCCCAGAGTAGAGATTGGAGGGGGAGAACCCTTAGGCTTGCCGGGGGGGTTAGGTTTGGAATGAGGCTTCTTCTTCCGGAACTGAGAGAAAGCCTCCAAATAACGGCTGACATTCGTGAAGTCGGTCAGGCTGCGACGATCCAGATCGTTCGTCATCTTCGAAATACACATTGCCCAATCCATCTGCCTGATCAGCCATCAAATGACCTTAAAGACTCTTTTTTGGACTATCAAGATATGAACAGTTGGCGACATATTACACATGGCTTCCACAATGGCTGGACTTATTCTGAGGCGCCGCTGGACACAATATAAGTGCGACCTGTGAACGTCATCTTACTGGAACTTCACAAATGAAACAGAAGAGATGCGGCTGATTGGCCGGGGTTGAGTTGCGAGTGTACATAATTCTAATGTCACTCGACAATGCAAGTTAAGGGAATGTGCCGTGCCTTTGCAAGTGATCTGCATATCTGCCCCTTGCTTAAGAATGAATGCTACAACAGGCACTGATTTAATCCATCCCTTTGACTGTTCTCTTCACTTAGTCCTCTTAACTGGTGATCTATTTTCGGGCAAAGCCAGTATCAGAGCCAGAGAGAGAGAGAGAGAGAAGAGCCATGTTCTCAATACTGACTGTGTTCTTGAGCACTGTAAGCTCTCAACCACCTCCCCCTCCTACCTTTTTCCCCGGTTGAATTACTTACATTATCAGGTGGCCATTGCCACGACCAGCTCAATCGTTTACAATCTCTACCTCAGCCCGCTTTCGAGATTCCCAGGACCTGCAATATGCGCCGTCTCCCGTGTTCCCTACCTATGGTACAATTGGAAAGGCAAGCTTGTGCATTGGGTCCACGGCCTCCACCTGAAATACGGCGACGTGGTCCGCATTGCCCCCGACGAGCTCACCTTCATCAACGCCGAAGCGCATAAGGATATCTACGGGTTGGGCTCTCGAAATCTCAGAGACCGCCGGTTCTACGGAGAGACGCCAAAAGGTGTACAGGATATCCTGCGGTCTGATGACAAGAACCACGCGCGATTCCGTCGGGTGTTGAATCATTCCCTCTCCGAGCGGGCGATACAGGAGAAACAGCCTATGATACGCTGGCATGTTGACAAGCTTGTTGAGAAGATCCGCTCCTCCTTCTCCTCCGCTGCTACTCCCACGCACGAGTTCGACATGACGCGATTCTATGACCTGACGACGTTCGACATAATGGCGGAGCTCTGTTTCGGAGAGCCGCTTCATATGCACGAGAGCGACGAATTCCATGGCTGGATGGATAGCATGTTCACGATGATCCGACACGCGGCTGTTTTCCGCACTGCGCAGTATTTCCGATGGACATTGATCTTTGTCCCCGTCGTGATGGTCGTGCTGGGTCCTCTGATGAAGAAGCAAGAGAGCTATTTCAAGAAATGCCAAGAGCGAGTCGATCGCCGGATGGAGTCGAAGCTGCCCCGGAAGGATATGTGGTCGCATATCATCGACCTTCCGAAGGAATTGCAGTTGACTCGCTCCGAGATGCATTTCAACTCGCAGATCCTAATGGTCGGAGGCACAGAGACCACAGCTACCCTTCTCGCTGGAATGACCTACTACCTCCTCCGCAGCCCTAAGATCATGGAGAAGCTCTGCGCGGAAATCCGCGACACGTTCAAGACCCAATTAGATATCACCCTCAGCGCCCTGGCCAAGCTGGAATATCTCCATGCCTGCGTTCTCGAGGGCCTTCGCATCTTTCCCCCGGCTCCTATGGGAATGGCTCGTATCACTCCACCCCAAGGAAATGTTATCTGCGGGCATCAGATCCCTGGTAATGTATGTACTGTATAAATACTTCGCTGGTCCCTCATTTGTCCCCCTTTTTGCTACCCTATATACTAATCAATTAACTACTTATTACCCAGACCGGAATTTCCATCTACGGAGGATCCATCGCATGGAGCCCTAAGCATTTCAAAAACCCCAACCAATACGTCCCAGAGCGCTGGCTAAACGATCCCGAATACGCTCAGGATAACCGAGCAGCTTTGCAACCATTCTCATATGGACCGCGCAGTTGCGTTGGACAGACGTATGTCGACCTCTCCCCAGCCCCCCTCTTCTCAACCTACCTAGTTCCTTCCTTCCTTCCTTCCTTCCTTCCTTCCCTCCGTCTCTATCGAGGTCAATCTCACAAAGCTAACGGGTACATTTTTTTTTTAGTTTCGCGTACCACGAAGCACGAATTATTCTGGCCACGCTCCTCTGGCATTTTGACATGTCCCTATGCGAGGAGAGTATCGGCTGGCCTGATCATCTGACTGTTTACATGGGATGGGAAAAAGAGCCTTTGATGGTTCGTATGCAGCCTAGGCAGGGTGCTTCTATGGTGGGTTAGTTAGTTAGTTGCTGGAGCTTGGAAGACATGGAGTAAATGAATGTAACCAAATGACTGATCCTGGATTTGGAGTCCAATAGGTGCATACCCACAAGACATATATTCGAAGTAGAAGAATGGTAATATTATGCCAGTCATCAAGATTACGAGTCTTCTATTTGACACTGGTCTCCTACTCCTGCCATCCCTTCACGCGGCTTATCGCGGGTGCCTGCTAATATTTTCGATCTTATGGTTGTTCAGCATTTTCCCGCAGCTGATAACTTACAACATGAATTAAATAACATAATGTATCAAACCCCCGGAAATTTCGCGTAATCCCGCCCGCCCTTACCGATCGATTACTGCCAAGCGGCTGAATATTACTAGCGTAGTTGCATGACTTTAGAAACACACCTCCGTAGCGAGAGCTGAAAAAGAGAGCAAAGCCACTAAATGTGGCGACTGTACGTGGCTAGGTAGCAAGCGACACGGAAGCCGAGAGACTCTGCTTCGACTTGAGTTGCGAGAAATGGCTGTAAGGAAGCGAAAGAAAAAGAAAAAAAAGAAAAAAAAACATACAACAGCAGGGATTCGCTGGTGGTCACCCACCCAACTACTAACCTGCCGGCGTGTGGCTTAAGTACGGCTGAGCGGACGGGAAGCCCTGTTCTCCACACCCTGTGGTCGTATGTACCAGGAATAAATGAACATTTGCTATATTCTACTATTATCTTTGGATCTGCACAACCAGATCCTCTAGATTATTAGTGTGGGTGGAATTGACTGTTACCTCCTGAAATCAGGGAACTTTCCGGATTGTCACTTCCTGAGCCAAGGAACTTCCCGGTATGGATGAACCTTCCTGGATGCATTCTTGCCTGAGGCTCTGGCTCAGGCAATACATAGAGGTCCTAGATCCTCGCTCCTAGATAGCCTTTTCTCTCCATGGGAAAATTCCTTGACTACGAGTCATAAACAAACTTGTCTTTTACTAAGCTCCTTTGTAGGCCGTCACATTGACCTCCACATGCTTCCATCCAAGGCATCCACTCTTGCTGTTTCGTTGAATAGCGGTAGACTCTATCAGAGATGCAGATTTATTAAAAATCGGTAAACACTGGCTCAAGGAACACTTTATTCCTTATATTAAGAACCGGAGAACAGGCCAATATAGCCTCTTACTTCTTGACGGATATGACTCCCATTGAATACCTCAATTTGATAATATACGTCGTCAATACGATATTATACCGATCTGCACGTCCGCCAATCGCTCTCATCTCCGTCAACCGTCGGATATAGCCTGCTTTTCACCATTTAAAAGGGCCTATAGCAATCTTATTGAAGGCTTGTACGAATAGGATATTATTATATCGATAAAGTTGACTTTCTTGATATCTATTTAGAAGCTCACATCCAAGCCTTAAAGAAGGCCAATATCCAGAGTGCTTTCAAAGCCTCCGGAATTGTTCCTTTTGACCCGGCAAAGGTTCTGGATAACCTCATTTTCTACAGAGAGGAGAGCCGGCCAAGCAGCCAAAGAAGTACTTCAACTATTACTAAGACGCCTTTGAATTTGAAGCAATTCAAGAAACATGAGTTAACAATCTCTCAGTTACTTTAATAAGCAGATTCTCTGGCTTCACCTATGCAAACTGCGTTATCATACATCTTTAAGGGAGCAGAGATAGCCTTGAATCGGGCGGCTCTCTTAGAGCATGAAAACCTTCAATTTCGTGAGACTGTTGAACGACGAAAAAGAAAGCAACAGCGCAATCAACACCAGATGCATGGTCTGGATGGCTTCACAATCCAAGAAGCCCGTGAGGCCTTCGCCAACGCGCAGGCTGCGGAGGAAGCAGCTGGTGATACAGGACCTCTAGATAGTCAGCCACGTCGGCGGGCGCCGCCGCGGTGTAGTCGGTGTCATATTGTTAGACATATACGTACAAGATGCCCGAATCAAACTATCTAACTCCGGGCTTCTAAACAGTTTAATTTAAATATGAAAAGCTTCATTTTTGGTGTAAGAATCATATAGGTATATACGCTGGCCCGCCAAGCCGGCCAAGGTGGCCGACTCGCTTGCCGATTACGTTAAGGCGGTTTAGTCATCTTCCGCGGCCACAATAAATAAACGCACGTGATACACCTTCTCTTATTGGGTGATAATTCATATTGGGAGTGGGGCAATATTCGTGGAGATCTGTGGACTACGAATGCAAATGCGAATAGCTCGAAACATCACAAATATGTATTCCTGCCGACCCCTACAGGACGTGCGGCTGATCCAAAGATGCTGGACAGAAAGGTCCTATACTATGCATCTCACTTCGTGAAAAAAAATCAGAATGGCGCAGAAGGGGGTGGATTGGGAGTCGGTGCTAAGGCAGGTATCGGGCTGGTGTTAGCATAGCGGCACTTGCAATTGTGGGAGGGCTATTATTCTTCTTTTCATCCTTTTCCGTGCAGAGGAAAACAAAGAAAAGCGCCGAGAGGAGACGGAGATGGAAGGGGGGTAGCGACACAAAGAAAGTGGACGGGAACAACATCGCCGAGGTGGAGGGCGCTCAACAAATGACTTAGGGGCAGGGGTTGAACGAGACGCAGATGAACTAGGGTAACAAAGCACCTAACGCCAAGATTTGCGAGAAGCTATGACTATTGGCCAAGAACGAGTTCACCTAAAATGAATTGCGGCGCAGCTACATAAATGAGGGTTGCAACTGTGCTACATAAAGACACCCCAGGCCCCTCACCCCCGCCTCTTGAGCATGTCCTCTGTTCCCAATCCCCAATCCCCAATCCCCAAGCCCCAATCTCATCTAAACTCCCGAAGATAATGGAATCTAACCCCTCAACCCACACGTCAAGTGGCCCGAAACGACCCAAAGTTTCAATCCAAAAGGCAACCGTGATCAAGTTTGCCGAAGTGAACCCCAAGAAAACAAACAACAACATCGACCAAGGGATCCTCGACAAAATCCAAAAATGTCTGAGCCGTGCCAGACACGCATCCGCAAATGAAGCAGAAGCAAAAGCTGCTCTATTCCTGGCCCAGAGGCTCATGGCCCAGTACAACGTCACGCATGCAGATCTGATCGCCAATGACGACATCGCCGACAAAGCGCAGTATGGAGGTCGGAGTGTGGTTTCCATCAAAAACGCCATCGATTGCACCAAGCGAGCCAAAAGAGAGACGTTTGTCTACAAATTAGCCAGTGCAATGTGTATCCTATACGATTGCAAATGCTATTCAATGGATAAGCGAACCTCCATTGAGTGGTCGTTTTTTGGCATTGCGGCAAACACGGTCACGGCAGCAGGGGCCTTCGAAGCGGTGCATAACAAGACGCTCCAATGGGCATGTGCGTACAAGGGAGGGACGCCAACTTTCAGCTATCGCATTGGCCTTGCGGATGGACTGGTGAATATGGCGTATCGGACCAAGAAGAGAGAGCTGATTGAGGTCCGGCGAAAGGAACTGGATATGATTGCTGCCAGCGATCGAGAAGAAGAAAGACAGCAAAAGGAGAAACTTGATCGTATTCAATGGTCGGCACCGTTAGAAGCCGATAATGATGATTTCGCGGATAATGACCATGGACCGGTCATTATAAACCCCTCGGACAGCATGGATGTCGACGAGGTCGGGCAGGTCAGGGATGGGGGTGGAAGAGCCGATTTCGATGAAAATGATGTCAATCTGATAGATCTGACGGGGGATGTGGACGACAATTTGGAGAGATTGATTAAACGAGAACAGCCAGAGAACTTGAATATGGGCAATATTTTTCAACATCCGGTAAAGTCCGAGCCTTCAGGTACGGCTATCAAGGACGAGGATTCCTCGACTTCTCCGTGGGCCTCTGAGACACAGCTAGTCCGGTTCCGTGCCATGTCCGAACAGATTGCAGAAGATTATGTCAAGAAGCGAAATATCAAGTTTCGGAGGAGAAAGACTCGACCTGTGGCTGCTCGACACCTTGACTCTTATCGTCAAGGCTGGGCGGACAGCAGCAAGATTGATATTCCACTCCCTTCTACTGTGGCTTAAACTTTACAATAATTAGGGTCTATTGATAGTTAATTATCTAGTCATCATTGGCTAATCTGCATGATATCTGCAAGTATAGCAGGGCTGACATGTATAAATCTCACTCGCGGCACAGTAACGCCACATGACCCTGTTGATATGACTACTTCGAAATAATCTTAATATTATCCAAGTGCGATATATATAGATCAACAACCCTATCCCAGCTTATGAAGCAACGCAACTCTATCAACTAATCTGAATTAAATCAGTAACCGCCTTCCATAGGGTACAGTATTACTCTTTGCTATCCATCGTCTTCCTCCTTCTCCCGATCAAGTCTGAGTATATTTTCCCCTGACGTGGAACAGGGTAGTCTCGCAAGTATACAGAAGATGATCAACCAGATAAACGGCCTCGAGCAAGCGGCAGCCAACGCAGGGTCACCCACAACTTAGTCCAGACCATTGAGGGCCATTTAGAGGACTTCACCAATAAAGTCACTAGAATGCGGTCCATGGCGAACCACGCGGCCAATAAGGAGATGACCGAATTGTATTGTCAACGCATTTAACTGGAGATCGATAAACTCAGCCACCTTATGAAAGAGGAATCCAGTCATGCGTCATATGATGCAGACAATCTTTAATCCCGGCAGGGAGAACAACTCCGATTTCACATTTCGCACCGATGGAGCGCAGACAAAGTCTATACAGGAACCTCTCCACGCCGCTGCTATGGAAAATCGAAAATGATGATGAAGGGTAGCAGCGTGCGGATCAGACGCCATATAGACGATTTAGTGACAAGCTGCTTTAGGAAGGCACTGAGGAACTTCCAACGTTGTGCTATACCACTCTCCCACGAATGGATGTACACACGATGGTATCTGCAGATCTCTTCCATCTGGGAGTCGTCAGCTTCCATAGATGTAATAGCGCCCTCGATACGACGCAATCCACACTTGGCCGTCTCCCACCCCCGAGGTTGCGAGCAATGGGTTGGAGCCCCGATAGTAATGGCCTTGATTTCATGACCACATAGTTCTCAGGGGTTTTTTCCAACCCGGTGTGAGGTGCCCAACACCTTTTTGCATATCCAGTCTTCCGAGACTTCACTTTAACTGATGCATCGTACTTTTCCGTAGCCGGGTTGCCGATGAAGGAGTAAATGCCCATTGCACCAGACCGGACTGCCTTTGATAAATAGGGCGAGCCTGTTTAGAGATTCGATAAATTTGAAATGCATATTCTGGATAAAAGGATGGATCAGATGAAGGGGACGGTTTTCTGCATGGAGGAATTGGGACGTAGCGGCTTTCTGCTTTTTGCGTCGCTGCCACAGCTCTATACCTACCGGTGCCCCACGATTCCGACAGGAACAAAGGGAACGGCTCAGCGCTGCATGGGGCTGCACGCAAGGTAAAATTGGACATGGCAAAAACTAAGACTGGAGAGCGACCAATACTATGGGAGCGCTATATATGACGGCAACGCTCCACTGATTCATGCGGTGGATCTCGGATCGAGAAGCGTGATTTGCCTTCTCCTGGACTCTTGCGCTCTTGTGAATTTCCAAGATCCAATTGCATTGTGGGCGGCACATGCAGAGGTTTTTAAAAGTTTATTGCGGCAAAGGATACTCAGGTCAACAATGCTCTTTGATGCGATGGATATCGTGAATCGTGAGAACTATATATTTCAACTACGTCCTACACAATCATGCGCCCATGGCCACTAACAAATCTTTAAAACCATTAGCCATGGAATTAAATAGGGCTAGTTTAGGGGCTCTTTTATTGCTTTTAGCAGAGAATCTATATTTGAACTTTATTATTTGCTGTGCTAATGTGAATGCTAATTACATTTGAGACGATGGTTGGGCCATTATTTGGAATCGAAATTTCAATACCTTAGCATGGTGTGTGTTTCTATGAAAAAAAGAAAAAGGAGAAGAAAAGAAGAGATGATAATAGAAAAAACAAGCAAAACAGTCTCAAGTCGAGATTTCAGATTCGATCGGAAAATAGATTGGCTGCTTCTCAAAAATAACAGCTTTAATGAACAGCCTTGATAGCCCAAAAGGGATTAACTCTGTAAGAAGGTATTCCCATGCATGCAGCCTCTTCTACCTTTTGTATTGACCAACGATGCCCTTCATGAGGACACGCCCATACTCTGTGAGCGGCTTTTCCCCATAGAGTGAGTGGTGCCGATCGAGTACTTTTGGGTCTCCGATAATTGCCTCATAGAGCATCCTCGCGATAATTTCGCACCCGAGATCTGCAGCATAACCCAGCGCAGTCCGACCAGATCGGTCCTCCGCATCAACTAGAGCAGCTCTTTGCAGCAGCATCTGAACAACAAACACGCTGCAACCGATGACACCAAAAATCAATGGCGTCTGGTGGCCAACGAACTCAACTGAATTGACGTTCGCACCTTTATTAAGAAGCATACGCACCACCTCCTCCTTCGCATACATTGCAGCACACGAAAGGGCCGACAGCCCATAGTCTGAGTATGAATCGACATCCACTCCAATATCGGTCAAGTACTGCACCACGTCTGCGTGGCCTCCACAGGCAGCAAAATGCAGTGGAGTGAATCCGCGGTCTGCCTTGGACCTGGGATCCGCCCTATACTTGGTAACGAGAATGGATACCGTTTTCCTATGTCCATTACTGGCTGCCAGGGATAGCGGTGTGCGTCCACAGCTGCTTTTGGTGTCTGGATGCATCTCTGATTCAACTAGACCAGGAATAATGTCAGCTAAGCCAAACCAGGCCGCGACATGCATACCTGTCATTCCATCTGGAACTTTCTGGCTGTATTGAGGGAGCACGGGCTGATCTTTCTTCAATCTTCCGTTATCGGTGGCCAACATCTTGACGTGATAAGGGCCGATTGACTTGAGAGTTTGAACAGCAGCCCAAAAGCAAGGCCCACCCCCAAGAAACCGTAGAACCTCTTGTTTCAAGGCCCTGTACTCTCTAAAACTGAAGTTCGTCAGATTTACGGGAGACTGCCGGGGGTTCCTATCCCAATTAGGCTCGATATCTGACATGAGTTGGGTAGCTTTCTGTGCTTGGAGTCCGGCCTCTCGCACATGATGTCCCCAGTAGCAAGCCGCGTACTCATGGAACGCGTTCGCTAGCTGTCTGGTCTCGAACTCTCCGTCGGAATTACACATACCACGTTGAAAGACGCGGAACTTTAGGTACGCGACGCATGCCCTGGCAATGTCGGTTTGAGTATTTGCCATCACGTCAGGCATTCTTGTAGCAAGGTACTGCAACGATCTTCCACCAATAACCTCAAATACGCCAGTAGATTCATCCAGTACCAACATTCCATTCGATACATCTTTCATTCGATCAAGATCTGGTACATCAACTAAATTCCCTTCTTGAGAATTTGGGTCAATTGAAACAGCATGCTGGAGCTCCCAGGCTGTCAATTTGCGTTCAGCAAAGTGAGTCCAAACCAGAATTCGCCGGAGTAGAAATTCATTGTCGATGTCGTGTACAGTGCTCATTGTTCTTAGAGACACTCTTTCGAGAAAGAAAGCTGTTCAAATAAGCCTTGTACTACCAGACAAAGAAGCTCACACAAAGCTCACTTGTGTTGTAGCCTATCAAGAAATCTCCGCCAGAAGATTTTGTCAAAGACCAGAAGCTGGGTATGGGGTGATGAATACTGTACATCTTTTTCAAGGCGCTTTGGGTGGTATTTATGCTGTCAACAAAATTACTTAAACGGGATATCTCCGTTAACACAGGGCACATCTATACATTCACTTTCTGCAATAATTAACTTTTTTTTGGATAAGATATCCAGGGTAATCATTTAACAGGTAAAGTATTCAGTATTTGTCAACGGCACAGATGGTTCTTGTTATGTAGATAGAACAGCAGAAAACTGGTGCACTAAAGATTAAACTGTTGCCATATAGCTTGGCACAGAAATATGTCGAAATAAACTCAACATTCATACCTATGACTCCCCCTGGTTGAAAATGTCCTATTTCTAGACTTGATATCCAGCAACATTTTTCTTACGAATAGAACAGATATAATCACCTACCATAGAATATCAGACTTCTCCTAGAAGACTGAGCCTGTATAAAATCCACCATTAGAAATACACAGACATGGGTAATACCATGTTTAGGTACCTCTTATTGGTATAGGGTTATAAATATGTCGCGGCTATGTTGAATGCTGATCGATTTCAATCGCTCTTCTGATATTGCCTAGTCTTGATGTATAATATAAACAGTTCAATTAACAAATCAGAACTTGGGTTACTGGGTTAGTCGGAAAGTGAGTAAGTAACGAAATGTTTGAACATGCTTTTCAGTTTTCTGAGCACTAACAACGTACATACCATCGAAAATAGTCTTTTAAGTGCTTCGATACTTGAGATATTGTCTTTCTGGCAGTTTTCAATGCCTCTTGTAGACCTTGAGTAATGGAATACTTCACCACATCGGTTTGCTCTGCGACAGAAAGGTCATGGTCGATGAAGACGTCGAAATAAAAATCTTCTCTAGTCAAGAATGAGGCCAAGCCATGCATATTGTAGGAGTTGCGTTTCTGACAATTCTGAAGTATGCGCCAGAACACCTACTGATCCAAAGCAAAGTGGAGAGCTTTTAGTCGTTGTAGGAGATTGGGAAGGTAAAGCTAATACTCATAAATATGGTGTCGATATTTATTGTCGATTAGCCGACTAAGCATAAAGAATTAAGATAAAAAATGTACACAGAAGGTAGTTCTGGGAGCATTAATAAAAGAAGCCCAGTTAGACAGTATTCGTATCTCTTCACCCTGTTATCCGGGCATATCCCGGTATACAATCGGGCTTCGCGGGAATATACTATGGGTGCAAAGGCGTATTGGTGATTTTTTTCTTGACTGATTGTACATCAAAATTTGTAAGATTAGATCGTGATGTACCTTGCCCATAGACCAACCAAGCAATATATATTGAAATATGTTAAACTCGAGAGCGATCCACTTTACCATGCAATTTGCTTAATAGGCTAAAAGACAGAGACATGGGGCTAAAAAGGGTCTGCAATACAACATGAGTGAAATGACTTATGATCATAAATGGAGGATGTCTTTCACTCATGCGCTTCAATGAACATATATTTCTACTTTATAATTATACTCTCAAAGTATTCATAGATCTGGAATTGACACTGAGAAATCTACTTTGGGCGGTTTATCTACTTGGGAACTTCTTGATATAATATCACTTAAGGAAAGTTGAATTATTTGTGATGAGACATATTGATTGATACTGTTCACAAACAAACGTAGAAACTCGGAATTTCAAATTTTTTTTTTCTAGTTTCTAACCGTTTGCCTGTGCGTTTTTTTATTCTTTTTCTCTTCTTTTTCACGGCTTTATGTTTCGCTTCATTGTCTTAGATACTTGCATAGCTTATACAAGCTTCCTTGGGGTATATCAAATACCACTAGCCTTCCAATGACTTGGTACGATACTCCTTCTCTTGTTCCATGTTCTTTTCCAGGAATTTAATAAGGTTGGGAAGGTACTCTTCGACCTGTTTCTCGATATCACGGCTGGAGTCAACATAGATAGTATAGACACGATGATAACATGCAGCCGGGAATAGATTAGGCTTTTTATTGCAGATCTCGAAGGTCTTGATCTTCAAGCATTCGATAACGCTTTGGATGTATTCCAGGCAGGGCAGATCAGGGCTCAAAGGCCCTATGCACAAGAAGGTCTCATCTTTCTGGGTCTCAGTAGGAACCGAAGACATCTTGTTAGGTGTGTGGATTATGGATGAGTCTGTTGCGACGTTGGATAATTTGATGAGAGCAGACGTGCAAGCCAGAGGGGGTGCCTGTTTTATTATGAAACACTGCGATGTAGGAATAATTTATAACTTTTTCTATAGCTGACGTTATGGGTGTTTCCAGTGTATGTTAGGGTAGTCCCTTGTGTCTAGTGGGACCTTTCCATGAACGAAAGGATGTATTGATGTGGTCTGTCTTTCTTTTCTACTACACATCTGGACCTTCATTGAAATAAAGAATCGAAAATCGTGCTCCTGATATGAAAGATTCCGGCCATTTAGAGCACGTTGGCCCACTCTAGCATTTGTTCGTGCTGACTACAAAACAACCCTTCCAATAAGCATCGTTTCTTAATAGTATTAACTTACTTCACGAAATAAGCCTTGTAGTTGGGAACTAGCTAGAAGACGGGAAAGTGTGGACGAGATAGTTTACGAACCATTGCTAAAATCGCGATCAGAAAACGCACTTTCCGTATTTTCCGATTTAGGTAACGTCAAACTTTCAAGATATAGCTAGGAGGTAGGAAATGATGTGAAAACCCGATAATGTTATGTTTTCGGAACTGGCACGCTGAGAGTGAAGTCCACCTCCCGGTTTGTATTCAATCGAGCCATCAAAACCCTTAATAGCTTCAACTAAACACAGCAATCTATCAAGATAAAAAGAAAAGTCGTAACAGCCTACAGATGTATGGTTAATTGAACAGGGAGACGCTTCCTAGTGCATGTCTTGCTGCGGCTCTTTGTATACTAGATAGGCCAGGTGAGAAACAAAAAGAAAGTCTATTATACTTACGAATGATATATAGGAGTTGCGGATTCAATTTATTTTGGTGAAAAGGATGTTCCTGCTACGATGCAGTGGAATATTGCAATAAAGATACCAGACGGAAGTACCCGCTTTTCATCCTCTCGCGCGAGAATTGAATCTGGGAAGTCTAATTGTCGGTTGACTTGGTCATTGCCCTAAGCAGATATCCTATCGATTCAACGGAATGTAGGTATATGCTCGGTGGGTAAAAGTGAAGTTCCATTCTAAACTACTAGCTTCGTCGAAGATATCATAGCTGCCCATGCCAAGGAGTCATATGACTTAGGCATGTCAGCTGAATAATGGTTCCAACAGATACGAACTGTAAGTGCATCAAGGAATGGCAGGAGAAGATGAGGTAGCTTAAAAATATATTTCATAGGCTCGTGACAGAAACTCGTTTTATGAGTATGCCAGAGAGGCCCGTGCCTGAGAGTTACTGATTATATCACTGAGAATATATAAGCAACCCTACCGATTCATCATATGTACTTTGAAACGTAACCGACTCTATGGACGACGTTGCTAATGTAGGCTGTGGGATTATGTGAGGTCCGCTATACTGGAAGCTCTTACGAGGAACAGGGAAGGAAACAAACCACTATCAACCATTTCAATGACTTCGATGATTTTTCCGTCATCGTCAAATTCGACGAACCATAAATACTCGTTGCGGAAAGGTTTTTCGTCGACAGAAACACCCCGAGAAGTTAATTAAACCGATCGATCCCTCTCATGTAACTAACTAACTTTAACTATAAAAGGTCTGAGTCATCCTCTAGTTAATGTTATCGATCATTGAGGGTTAACGAGGATCTACCCCCACCCCCACCCCCTCTGTTGTTATGTGTAAGGATGATAGTTAAACAAATTTCTTCACCAATTTTTTCGACATAATGTGGTGACTTGAGCCCAGTGGTGTACCTATGAACTAGTTTAGGGCCCAGATTCTTTATTAAATAGATGCACATTACGTTACGACACAAACTCAGCTACTTAATGAGATGCTGACAGCAGAACCGAGAAATCGCCGCAACGAAGGTATCTAATGACGTGTATTTTCAAGGCTCCCAAAATAACGCATGCATTTTGCGCAACCTGAGCCATCTATAGTAATAGATGATGTCAATATTACCTGCGTCATGCGAGTCAATAGTATCAAACCTACCCTACAAATACGTATCGTGTTCCGGCTCACCTGCCCATCAGTTCACTTATAAATAATTTCTGTTGTAAGCTTAGATTTGGAACTAGGCTCTTAATGACAGCTATTCTCAATATCTAGTTCTTATACCGCCCAGGTTAAATCAATGTTTTGTCGAGCTAAATCCTTTTTTTGACAGACGATATGTCCTCTCAGTGCAACATCTCTCACTACGAACCCAAGCATGCAATCGTTCGTGACCTACGAGATTACATCTTCCGTTCACAAGAAAGAGCTAGAGCATTCAGATTTGCGATCTCATCTGCTCGTGCGAAAGAAAATAGCGGACAGAAAGAGATGAATACAGAGGGCGTCTATGATCTTGATGATTACCTGCGCTACTGTGATGACCTCCTGAGATGGGCTCCAGACGTCTCTAGCCCTGGCGATACACTTCTCCGTAAGCTGCTTATATTTTATTGGGTTTTCGAGCAGCCATCTCTCAGATATTTGCAAGCTCCTATTCTCCCGTCTACTTCAAACACCCATCTATCCTGGCTTTCATACTGGCTCGTCAGCTATGCCCGTGAAGTGGGACATTGGATGGATACTAGCGAGTCAGCCGCGCACGTTTAATCGTTCTATAACAATCCAATTTACAGACATGATAAAGATCTCTGGGAGAAGCCCACTCACGGAAAATGGAGATCATTTAATGAGTTCTTTCCCCGCCGCTGGGCCGATATTAATGTTGGCCATCCAATCGCTGTCGAAGGTGATGATACGGTGATTGTACACAGCGCTGATTCGACGTTCGGCGGTAGTTGGAATATCAATGACGGGTTTGTCAATATCAAAGATCATGCTCCCGTTGCGAAGGGGGTTAAGTGGCCTGTTGAGGCGCTACTTCAGCGATGTGGACCAGACTTCAATAATGGTAGTCTGATGCACGCATTCCTATCGCCGTACGATTATCACCGCCTGCATGCCCCCGTCAGCGGGAAGATTGTGGACATCAAGAACATCCAAGATCAGGTCTATTTTCAAGTCACAAGGAAGAGAGAAAGTGACAGGCTTGTCCCTGACAGAGGACTGACGCGTGATCCTGAAGAAGTTTCTCGGCGTCAGGATAAGAGAAAGACGGGACTAAGAGAGCTGGATTCTCCAGATGACGCGGGCTATCAGTGGTGTCAGACCCGTGGCCCTATCATCATCGACACAGTTGTTTACGGCAAGGTCGTTGTGTTGCCGATCTAAATCACCCAAGCGACAACTACTGTTGGATCTAGCTCAAACAGGCTCTCACGACGAGACGGACCCGCAGGTCCGCGGCTCTCTGACTTGACAATTAAATCAGGGCAATCGAGGGCCGATTTGCCGCTTCGCGACTAACTGCGGGCAGAATCTCCACACGCTCCACTCTCTCCAGGCCATTGCCTGACACCGTCATCGGCATCCACAATTCCGCAAGGCCTTTCCCCGCGCCGTTGCTTTTGCTGCGGTGCAAAATGCAAACAGTAGACCAAATCCCGTCTTGCCGATATTTTCCCGATGTTGGCTTTTAAATATGGCAAGATCAAAGGATCTCGAGACGAGCCAGCCGTCATCGGATATTATCCGAAGAGAAAAAGGTGTCTATAAAAGCGCTGGTTCCGAGTCATAGGATTGAAGTTTATTACCCATGCTCAGAAGTCTGAGGTGAATCGTCGAGATGAAGGTTCTTTCACTTTTGGCCCAGGTTGCTCTGGTCCAGAGTACGCTCTGTCTTGCTGGATATACCAATGAATCGGAGGTTCCATACTATGGCCGAAGTCCAGCTGTTTACCCGTCGCGTAAGTCACTCAAAACAGTAGGGGTTTTCTTTATGTCCCCCTTTACTCAGTACAGTGTACGGAGTATGCAATTGCAAAACCTCCTCGCTAACTAGCTCCGTAGCAATCGGAAACGGCTCAACGAATACCGCCTGGGAAGAAGCCTACCAGCGTGCCAAGACCCTAGTGTCTAAACTAACCGTGGAGGAGAAAACTAACCTGACTCGCGGTCATGACGGCCAATGCGTGGGGAACAGCGGCGCAGTCCCCCGCCTGTCGATCCCTTCGCTTTGTTTCTCCGATGCCCCTGACGGAGTGCGTGGCCAGGAATTCGTCTCCGCCTTCCCTGCCGGCATTCACGTGGCTTCCACATGGGATCGCTCGCTTCTGTATCAGTATGGCTATGCCCTCGGCGAGGAATATCACGACAAAGGGGTCAATGTGGCCCTGGGACCTGTCGCAGGTCCGTTAGGGAGATTGGCCCGCGGTGGAAGGAACTGGGAAGGGTTGGGCGCAGACCCATACCTGGCGGGAGTGGGCATGGGCGCCATTACCAAAGGAATTCAAGAAGCGGGTGTCATTGCCAATGCAAAACATTGGCTGCTGAACGAGGAAGAATGGAGACGGAATCCAGGGGATATGGGCGAGGCGTTGAGTTCAAATGTGGATGATCGCACATTGCATGAGCTGTATGCGTTCCCTTTCATGGACTCTCTCAAGGAGGGCATCCGCAGCGTGATGTGCTCGTATCAACGATCGAATCACTCTTATGGATGCCAGAACTCGAAGCTCCTCAACGGTGTTCTGAAGACTGAGTTAGGATTCGAAGGGTTTGTCGTCAGTGACTGGGAAGCACAGCATGCGGGCGTCGCATCTGCCAATGCTGGTCTCGACATCGTCATGCCTGATGGTGGCTTTTGGGGCCGGAACCTGACTCGTGCTGTCAACAATGGTAGTGTCACCGCAGACCGATTGGACGACATGGTAACTCGAATCCTCGCCGCATGGTATTTGACCGGACAAGACGAGGGTTTCCCTGCCCCGGGGATCTACTCGGAGGCCGAGAAGCACGATCCCATCGATGTGCAGCGCGATCATGCCGACCTCATCCAAGAAATTGGCTCTGCCGGTACCGTGCTGGTCAAGAACGTCAACAGCACGCTCCCTTTCACCAACTCGACTAGGTTTTTGAGCGTTTACGGCTACGACGCGACTGTCAGCGCATCGCCATGGGCTAATCCTTCCCGATATGGTGGCGGCTACGAAGTGAACTTCGGGTGGACGACCTTCAACGGCACTCTCTTCACGGGTGGTGGCTCTGGTGGCAGCACTCCGCCGTACGTCGTTAGCCCGTTCCAAGCACTTCAGGAGCGCACCGCTCGTAATCGCGGGACTCTCCGCTGGGACTTTTACTCCGAGAACCCCACGCCTGCCTACGTGAACAGCGACGCCTGTCTGGTGTTCATCAACGCGTACGCATCCGAGGCCTTTGATCGAACCTCCCTCACGGATGAATTCAGCGATAACCTCGTCAAGAACGTTGCAACTAACTGTAGTAATACCATTGTGGTGATTCATTCAGCCGGTAAGTGGCCCCATTGTTTTTATACCGCAGGAATCTCAACTAACACTAATTCACACAATCACAGGTATCCGTACCGTTGACGCCTGGATCAACCATCCTAACGTAACCGCCGTGCTCTATGCCGGCCTACCGGGCCAGGAAAGCGGTCACTCACTTGCCGATATCCTTTACGGCGGCGTCAATCCCTCGGGACGTCTACCGTACACTGTGGCCAAGAATGAGTCCGACTACGGCTCTCTTCTCAACTCCACTATCTCCTTTGATGCTTTCCCGGAAGTTAACTTCACCGAGGGTCTATACATCGACTACCGCGCTTTTGACCGCAAGGAAATCACTCCTCGCTTCGAGTTCGGTTTCGGTCTATCCTACACCACGTTCAAATATTCTGACCTTCACGTGAAGTCCACGGGCAATAGCACATCAGCTCTTGTGGACCCGAGTATTGCTGTCGTGCAAGGCGGACATCCGGAGCTTTGGGATACATTGTTCGAGGTAACTGCGTCGATCACTAACACAGGAGACGTGGCTGGCTCCGAAGTCGCACAACTCTATGTTGAGATTCCAAACGCGCCGGTTCGACAGCTTCGAGGGTTTGACAGAGTGCCATTGAAAGCCGGGGAGACGAAAAAGGTCACTTTCCCGCTAACGCGTCGGGATCTAAGTATTTGGGATGTCGTTGCGCAGCAGTGGAGGCTTCAGGCGGCGGAGTATAATGTTTTCGTTGGCGCGAGCAGCCGCATTTTGCATTTAAACGGAACTTTGCAGGTCGAGTAAGGTGGAGAGGCATTGTTTTTGGTAATGAAACAGAAGTGATGTGAACGGTATTACATGGCTTGCGATGTCAGAAGCTATTTTTGTTAACCATTAGGAGTGTCATTGAAATGAGCACATGTGTCACGTACCGGAGTAGGAATTAATCTATCTTACTTTACTAAAAACGCATGAGACCAGGAAAAACACTAAGCTTCATTCAACTAGGATAATGCAATTCTTTGCTTACGTCTTTCCTTTACGAGCACATCCCTATTGGTTTCTACCCAATCAGTCCAATGTTGTAACTTAGGATCCCCTGACAAAGAAGCGGGGGTAAGAGCAGAAATATCAAAGCTATATCCGATAGGCCATTGTGGTACAAAATTGATTTATATAGATTCATCTATGAGAAAAGCTTCCCTGATGAAACCTATACATTTATACCACAGGCTCCGCCCGCTCCCAAGCGACCAAATGAGACTCGCCTACCGCACCCTTAATTACCAACACCAACTGATCAACGGTATCCAGGAACTTCACATAGGCACTGATGCCAACACAATACCGGCGATAGTTCTCGTCCCTCAGCATCTCCGGCGACAAAATCATATCCAGGGAATGAGCGCGCCAATACTCCATTGATCGCTGCACCAGCGGGGTAGGTAAGAGCTCCGGCGGCGCATCGCCTGTTTTGAGTGCCTGTTCACAGACGCTTAGCACGGCCATGACCTCTCCGATGCAGCGATGGTCGAGTAGACCGGTCAATTTCGCCAGTCGGTCCCGGTATTCCCGAGGTAGGGACGCCGAGAGGTAGAGCAATCTGCCGAGATTGCGGTTCAGACCATGGCAGATCCGTTTCACTTGATCCATGGTGTCGCTGTCGAAGCGAGAGCTGGAAAATTCATATCGGAGAAGTTGGATGGGGCCGTCGAGCATGACGAGGGATTCGGCCATTCGAAGGGAGATCGGCTCAGCTAGAGCAAGGCCATCTGTTTGATTCTCCTGGCCCCAGCAAGAGAGGAGTAGGGCGTAGTGGTCTGATATGGTGCGGATAGTGGTGGATAAGGTTTTGCTGATGTGTTTGGCCGCAGAGGGAGGATGAGGGAATAGTTGGACTATGATGCCAGCACCGATGCCGATCAGAACGAGCAATAGTCGGCGCCAGAAGACGGTATAGCCGACACCGGGGTTACCGTAAGTCGGGATGTGTCTGTGTTGAAGTTAGCTGCCGCAGAGGTTCGTTTTGGCGATCTCCGGAGGACTTACGTATCATCGAAGCTATATGCAACCACGAGTAGGAAGGTGGCACCACCCATGATACCCCCTTGAAGAAGGTTTGGAGGTAAATATAGACGGACCCAAAGAAATATAACGAGCATTACTCCCATAATAGCCGCAAGGCCGTATGGATTACCCGGGCCATTTGCAGATCCGATATACCATGCCAGCAAGCCCAGTACACCACCCGCGACGGTCCCTATGACTCGCGCAATGACAGAGAAGGTAAAATCGGCCATATAGGGCACAAGGCCTGTTTGCGCCATGATCAACGCCCACATGCCTTTCTCGCGGTAGTAAAACCCAGCCGTACTGGGGATGGCTGAGATGATGCCAAGAGCAATGGTCACGACTACCGTGCGCAAGGCATACAGTCCCTCATCAGAGGTGAACCAGTGGTATGTCCCCAAAATTACTCGGCTCACAACACCCCGGCGCTTGGTGCGGTATCCACGACTGAGTCGTAGCTTCTCTTGAACCAATTTCGTCTGATCCACCTCCTGTTCCGGATCATCATCGGCCGCTTGAGCCATCGCAGGTGTTTTGTTCCCCTTGCCTGCTAGCCATGTGCCGAATGCTTTCAGGCTTAACGGCCACCAAACGCGAGTCTTCTCGCACGTCTGGAAAACGTTTAGAATTTGGGTCAGGAGGACTTCCGTGCGATTCATCGTAGTGGACAACAGTTCCTCAAACACCATACCAAACACGATGGTCCCGATGCGGTGGTTGCGATGTCCGCCTTCGTCGTCTGACGTGCTGTTCAATGATGGTCCAAATTCGTCAACCAGAGTCTTGGTAGTGTTCTCAATAAATTTTTTGCGCGTCGCACGAAGATCCTCGAGGGCACTCTGGGCTCGCTGGCTTAGTTGTGCCCGGTTGTCAGATGAGGGACGCCAATACCACGTTTGGCGATTGGCCATGCGAATGCAGTCACCTGCCGCTGTAAGGGCGACCACGCAAGCCTCAATAGCTTCAGATGCAGTCCCGGTCAATGCTTGAAGGGTTTCCGCCGGAATCGGATCGGACTCAGAAGTACGCAGTCCATCGAGTAGACGCGCTGTTTGTGAGAGTTGGTGTCGTCCCACTACGCGTGCTTCCTTCGTCTCCCCTTTCTCCGATTCGATTTGATCCGCGTATTTCAGCAAAACCTCCTTTGCGCGCTCTCGCCCCGAGAGCCGGTTGATGTGAAGTTCGAGCAACGAAAGAGTGGCAGAAATCGTCTGCCGGAGCGGTTCCTTGAAGGTTCCGACGTTCTGAGCTCCCCAGCACCCGACGGAGAAGTCCAAGGGTAGGAAAGCCAGAGCTGGTTCCATTTTCCGATACGCGCCAATGATACCGGCCTGCGTCTTTCGCAGTTGGTCGACATTCAGGTCCGGGTCACGTTGGCCCAGAGTGGCCATTGTAAAAGCCAGAGGGTGCGTAAGCAATTCGATGATGTCCCCCATACTAACCAAGACAACACTCGACGTTGACTGTGGAAAGAAGAGAATCGAGGATGCGAACCCCAGGCCGATCCCAACTGCTGCCGGTTTGGCCAATGTCAAGGGGAGAGTACCCGAGAACGAGGGAAGCAGCGGAGTGAAGAGCAGAAACAGGTCCGAGATGATGATTGCAAATATCGCCGTGAAGGTGGCTTTGGGGTTACTGGCCCGGAGTCGAGCCTAGAAAGGTTGAGTTTTGGTTCTCCCAGAAGTGGTTGGATATACACATACCATGAAATAAATGAAGGTGCAAATCATACAGTAAGTCACGGCAGTCACCCGTGCGTCCAGCATGTGCCCATCGTAGATCAACACCTGAGCTACGCTGGTGACTGGTTCCCCGGTCGCGTTGGCTCGTTGCTGGGCGGTTTGTTGCAACGCCATCAATTGGGCTTGGGTGGCTTCTGCCGGCCTGGCCGCTAAAGCGGCCTTCGTTGTGATGACGCCCCATGCCCAAGCTAAACATATTCCCAGATACAGGGAAAATGCTCCAAGGAGGTAGATGAATACCACAGTGCTCGGTGGAAGCATCAACAAAACCAGACTGGGGAGAATTGGTCAGAACGTATGACAGAGCAGACGAAAGGGCGTCTTACCAGGCGAAGAAGGTCGCAGTTCCCAAACTTGACAAAGAGGGCGTAATAATAAACAAAAGGCAAGCCACCCACGCTGCTATCCAACAACGACATAGGATCTTCAAGTCGCGAGCGTTGAAATGGTCCAGGAATGGCGGCAGGCGCCTCTTCTTCCCGGTCAGGACCGTCTGTTGAAGGGTCTTCATGGGGCCTTCATCCCCCGTGGATGAGGAATTGGCAGTGTTTATCATCAGTACAGGGCGGATTGTTTCAGATAGACATAGGGGTAACTTGGTGTTGAGGGAAAAGAGAATTCGCGTCGATCATCTGTCAGATGTTAAACAGAGATAGGGGGTTTGTGCGCATAAGAGGTTATGCATGGGTTATGCAAATATTTTGTGCCGCATGCGTCATCCATTCCGCTGAGGTAATCACAGTGCGGGGGATCGCCCATACAGTTGCCACTCTCTACAGATATGGCAGATTTTGATTCAGCTTACTCGATGTAAAACGTTCAAGACCTCCTAGTCATACCTATTGCACATCAGATTCTTGTCGCAGACCAACACAATATCCTCGTATTTGCACCAAGCTGGGCAAGAGCACTCTTCGACTTCCCAATCGCGTCATCGTCAAAGAAACTAGCCTCAACTCTCCAACGTGTCTGCGTGGCGTCTTCAATGTCTTTTCAGAACCCCTTGATTGTCTCTACATTATGCCGGTAATGGAAGGACTCAGTGTCGATCCAATCCATTGGGTAATGACCACCCAGTGAGCTTCCGACCTGTCGTCCAGTGACCATAACGCCTAGCTTGTCACGACAGAGTTTCACCAGCCGTATAGCAGCTAAAAGCCCAGTGTCGTAATCCCATAGGTGGAAAAGGGAGCTCGCGAATATTGCGATACCCCACTGTCTCCGAACTTGGCATCGTCTGCTGTCAAATCTCCTGTGGCAAAAGTCACTTGGAGGCTATCACGGTCCCGAAAGAGCCGGTAGCCTAGGTCAATGAAGGGCTTCTCCAGATCACAGCCATATAATCAGTTGCTGGGAATGCCGTGGTCAACGAGCGAGCGGATCTCCTGTCCCAAACAACAGCCGGCGTCAAGGAATTTAGCGGAAGGGCTCTCTCGAAGGTGATTTAGGACCTGGTTATAGAACGGCATGCGGCGGAGGTTGAAAGAAAGGAATCGCATCTCCCCTATACACGGGTAACGATAGACATAGAAGGCCTCATCACGCTAAGAGGGAGGTTAATATACTAAGACGGCTATGAAAGGTTATAAGGGGGGGCTTACTAGCGATAAAACATGTGGAAGGACCTCTTCAGGTTTGAGTCCACTGTATCGTTCCAGCAAATTCTGGGCATCCGCGTTTATGCTTCGCACGTCCTCGTCGTACCAGTCTGGTGCGTTTTCGTGTGGAGTCATGGCGAAGGCACGAGATGAGAAAGTCTGCAATGATGTGAGGAAGTCTCTAGCTAATGAACTACCCAATGTCCAGACCTGCGAACGTAGCAGGCTTAAATATTGTGCGGCAATTAACGGGACTCGTGGACTCTTGGGCTCAGACGTCAATCAAATACCCTTTTAACAAGAAATGTTGACGGGTGATCATAGAGAATAAGCCACATTGACGGTTCACTGCTCCATTTGCGCGTGTTCCTCACCAATTAGACAGGAGACCTTTCGGGAGCTGAACTACAATCCGCATCATCCCTTGTTCCGCGTGCACATTTTAGAAGGCTTGTTTCCATGCTAAGCATAATGTAGCAAGTGTATTGGAAAGTCAGCATTGCTAGCATTGACAATCTCACATTCAATACTATCTGCGCGCCAATCTCCAGTCGTTATTCCGGAATGGTGAATTCTACACATTGAAAACCACTATATAAAATATTTCTATTATTGGATATCGGTTCCATATGATCATAGCGTTGACACAAAAGGTACTCTATGTTGCAAGATCTCAAGGCTATAATGATCACAACTGTAATGCAATCAATCATCAATCAAGTCTTCACAATGTGTACGGCGCATTTCCCTCGGTTATAGCCGGTCAACAAAAGTGATCGCCGGGTTCCATTACCACATACAGGCAATTTGAGCGCCAAGCAAAATAGCGGTAAATCCTTGGTTGATCGACAACAATCCCTTGATGTTTTGGAAATCTCTCTGACTGAGATGATTTTGTGAAGAGAAAGGTATAAGCCATGAGTGGAATTGAGGCTATATCATCGTTATAAGAGAAATATAAGCATTTTCGGCCTAGATAGTTCTACCATGCTATCGTCTAAATTTTAATTCCGGTTTTTTTTTGGATTTTTCGCCCTCATTAACTGCTGTTCCTAACAAGTCAAGCACATTATATATATCGTTAGTGAGAATACCATCAAAACATATATTTCCATCCTGGAATCCTCAGGATATTTTTCATTTGGCATGTTCTGACATATTTATATGCTACCTAATACACACTGTACAGAGCTTCCAACTTCACTCACACTTTCGTCGAGCGCATTCGAAGGTACGTTGTTTTATTGATAACGGGATTCGCATCAGGGAGAAACACTCCCTCTCGTTTATCCCTGGTAATTGATTCCGGTCGGAAAGGCCTCTCAGTGAATCTCACTTAATATTTACTGGCTAGAATCGAATATTACAACCAAATACGTACATTTATATCTACTTTGACAAAGACGGGGCTCAAAGGTCTCGATTTTTTATTCGTCCCGGGCAGAGGTTACTCCCACATCGACATACAACGGCCAATAACTTGATACAAACATCAAGAGAGTGAAAATATCAGACGCAGATTTATTTGGAAAGAACGCAAAATTAAAAATTTTCAACCAGACAGATTTGGACCAAAAGCCACGTGGGGATGGCACTGAGACTAGCATGAACTATTGAACTTTAACAGAAGCCAGACCAGCCCTACGGTCTTATTTTAGATCTATCTAAGCCTACTGGCGAGGTACTGAAACTCAACTTGTTGATAGTAGGATTTGTTGCAAATTTTCCAGATCGAAATCAAGGAGGGGTTCCGTGATGGATGCATTGACCGAAGAACCAGCGATCGGAAATTCCGACTAATAATCTGGTCCGATCATGGCTTTAGATCTCTTCTCCACTCCACTAAGCAGTAACGGAATACACACAAAACAATGAAAGTCCGCCACCGTGACGTCCACTAAGCGTGACAAATACTCAAGTCCGGGTCGTGACACTGGTCTAATGCGACTAGAAAGCAGAGAGATCATAGATCCGGCGTGGCGTTCGACTTCTTCGATAGTCCTCCGTTGCCTGGATCTCATGGAATAATTACATAATTAGCTGCGGTGGATTGATTCGGATCAAATCCGAAGAACAGAGTTTAGGCAAATCCTTTTCGTTTGTTCTATTTTTGCCGGTGCCTGAATCGGTTTGTTTTCATCAGGTATCTACCCCTGACGGCTGACAGGGGTTAGTATGACTCGTGTATGTTGGTTTCTTAGCTCCTTGGACTTCATTGCTAGTCGGGTAGTCTTAGATTGAATATTCTCTTGGTTGAACGATGTGGAACTCGTGGTGTAGGTATAATGTTTACTTCGAGGGAATTTTAGTAAGAAGACTCTTCCTCTGACCGGGAGACCATTTGTCATTTTGTTCTTCTAATGTCTGATGAACGACAAAAAGGCGACTCAACTGCACTTTTTTGACTCCTAGTTTTTTCAGTCCCTTTTTCGTTTCTTTCAAATCTTTGGTCTCTAAGCGGAATGGTCAAACAAGAAGCCCAAAACAGAAAAGGCAACGATGCACCGAGGAAAGCCAATATGTAGAACGGACCATCGAGCCTTAGTACTCAGTCGTAGCAGCGGCCATATCCGTTAACGCCATGTCTACCGCCGCCATGGCCTCTTCCTCCATCGCTGTTAGAATATCCATTACTCCCGCTATACCCATTTGAGCGGCCATTTCCGTAACCATTGAAGCGGCCATTCCCGTACCCATTCGAACGACCGTTGCTGTATCCATTCGAAGCACCATTCCCGTACCCATTAGAGCCACTACCACACCCATTCGACCGACCATTTCCGTGCCCATTAGGGGCGCCATTGTATCTTGCCCTTTGTCTATCGCGTTCGGCATCAATACTAGCCGCATGCTGCTGGGCCTCGAAAATATCGTCTTGGAAAAGCCGGATTATCCACCTGTAGTTGTTGATATCTTGTCGATCGATAGCCAGAGCCCAGGTGCTTCCGGCCCGGCTGCCGGAAGCAGACGTGGTGATTCGCGCTTGGCCCCGCTCGATGGCTCTCAAGATGTCCATGTAGAACTGCGATTCAGTGCTCTGCCGCGTTGCACGGGAACCCAGAGAAACATATCCTGGAAGTAGGGATCGCCTCTGTGAGTGGGTGTATATGCATTGATGACGGGGCTGCCGTCATATCTTGGGTGATACATTTTTCACCGGTTGGTATTGGATGGAAAGCTCTGGCTGGGAAGACGGTCTCTGACTTTGGCGTCACGCGCGGTCTTTATGGCGAGGAAAATTGAAAGGGTATCCAGAGGGCATGTAAACAGTTCCTAGCAATCTGCCGATTGCATTTATCTAAGGTTGTCTGGGGACGAAGGTACAAGTACCAAGGCAACTTCCATCCTCTAAATGACGTATTGAAGGCAAGACCCGATTATTCAGTGGGACTGGCGACCTAATACCCTGTAATCTGCGCTTTATTCCATGATAGAAGATACAGTGAGATTCCGGAGGGAAAGGAAAGTAGTTTGAGCCGTACAAAACAGGAATGCTCCATGAATATGCGTCTAGATTTGATTACCAGAGCGAACTGAAGGACGGACGCGCGGGAGATGAAGTCCAACATAGAGAGGACAATATACACTACAATCTACTCGAAAAACCGATTGAAGAAGAATCGTGCAGTTCATCAATTCTATCTACATATTGTTACAAATCCTATACACAAACCAACCAACCAACCAACCCATATACTCCGTCTCCATCCAAAAAAAAGGTACAGAGAACCACAAACAGTACTATAAACCTGATTCTATACAGAACCTCCCCAGATACCCAAGAACCCAGGAAAAACCACCAAACTACCTCCCCTGATCATTTGTAACCGAGATCTCCACCTGCTTCTTAATCCCCCGTTCCATATGCTCAGGCGAATCCCTCCGCGCACTCACACTCGTATTATGCGTATGCTGCGTGGAGTGCGGCTCTAGTATACGTTCGACGCTCCCCGTCTCGGTCTTTGTCCACTTTTTCGGCCGTCGTGACTGCGCGGTCTCGTTTCCCGCCGTGCGACGATTCCCGCTGAACGGACCCGTCAACTCGTACGAGCGCGTGAACCCGCCGCTGGAGATCTTGCGCACGGATGAGATGATCAGAGGTCGGATACACGGGATCGAGGAGGTGATGATGATCAGGGAGTTTTCGACGTAGCCCCATCGGATGAGCTCGACTGCTCCGGTGGACCCGAGGTTCGTGACGCTGGGGACAGAGTTGAGTTTGGTGGTTTTGACGATCGAGGCGACCATTGCGCTGTGGGTTTGGGTTAGTGATTGTCGGTGGAGAGGGCAGAGGGAAGGTGGGATAGAACATACACGATGCCGAGACTCAGTAGAACGATTAGACTGATCTTGATGCGCAGTTTGAGGTTCAGATTCCAGAATACGACGGTGGGAAAGACCGCCAGGAACAGGTCCGTGAAAGAATTAAAACCTAAGGGGAATTGGTTAGTCGACGTCCTCTCATTCCCGACGCGAGTGCCAAGGGAAACCAACTGTTGGAGTAATAGGCGAAATTGACGACCGCTTTCTGATCGGCACACGTCGTCTTGACCGTCGGATCCCACAGAATATTAACATTGCGACACATGCTAAGGGGCAACACGGCGGAGGCGATGTTGCCGGCAAACTGGATAATCAAGACCGCCCATAGCGCAATCTGATAGTTCTTGTTCGGGCTGAGAATCGGAAGGAGGTAGAAGATGAAGGCGGAGCGGGCAACGGTCGTGCTGATGGTGACGATTGGGATCTGGATAGCGATGTATTTCAAAACGGCCATGCGATCCTCGCTGGATATCGTTGTGAGGTCTTTGCCGAACCCACGCTGAACGGAGAGGGTTAGGAAGACGCAGGAGACAATGGCTAGAATCTGAATTATGGAGTGAAGAGTGGTTAGAGCATGTACCGGAATAAAGTATGAGGGTGAGGATAGAATTGAACATACTGCCGCAATCACCATGAGAACATCGTCTACGCGGAAGTGGCTGATCTTTATCTTAGCAAAGACCCGTAGAATGACGATCACCGCGGCAATGACAACGGCGGCCCAGATGCCTCTTTCTAGCTCGGGTCCATGATTATCTCTAGCATGTAGCTGATGGGGTGGCATGTTGTTGCCGCGTCTTCGCTCGGTGGGGAAGCGAAAACAGATGAGAGTGTCCCGGGAGTCTGGGAGGATTGACAGAACTCCTAAGTCTATAACATTGTTGAAACACTAACAGCGGGTTGAGAGGAGGGAGGGGTGGGATAGAAATTGCAGCCGGGGACACCCGTTTTACTTAATACAGGCCACTGGAAGAGCGCATCAGGTACCTCGCGCCTTGAAATTTAGACTTTTGGCACAAAGTTTGGGCGATGGCCTTAAAAGAATTCTTGTTGGCTCGCCCAAGTGGAAAAAAGAGCAGAAGGATAAAAAGCGAGACAGAAAAGGGCACGAAAACATTTCAAATTGGCAGTCTATAATGCTCGCTCCAAGGGTGGCTTGCCAATAGATCGACTTTCAATCCCCGGATGCAGGGCTTGACAAGCCTCCTCTCGGCAGTAGTTGCGTCCGCCTGACTGGCTGGGTTGCCATGGTGGCTAATAAATTGGACTCAGAAGGACCTTGGATCATGAATATAGAGGGCGGTGGTTTATGGTTCAGCGATCCAGAAGGCGAGTCAGTGGAGCCGCCAGATGGAGTCCAGGATTTAAGCGACCTGAGAAAAAAGGCAGCAAAGTGATGGTGGGGCCCCTGAACTTAAACGAGGGGATGCGGGCGAATGATAGCTGTGGAGAGACCCACTAAAGGCGCCGCAGAAAGTCAAATGTGCCTCTCAAGGTTTGGCCTTTGGACGCAAACAGCATAACTGCCTTTTCTGGGTTTTTCTTCCAGATTAACTTTGTTATGCGCTGTTGTCGGTCTCGTGGGAGGGAAAGATCGAGAGACTACATCTTACATGATGTAAGGCCACTCTCTTGTACCTTGTGACGGTGTACTTAGAAGGAGTGGTAGGTACCTGAATGGCAGTCGGAGCGTTGATATCCCCGGGTATTCAGGAACCCTTCCCCCTGGACATATGGAAGACTCGTGCTAGTGACTCAGTTGGCCTTGGCCGTTTCTCGTATCCGGTCGTTAGCCGATTCATGTAGACTAGGTAGATAGTAGACACAGGCCGACGATGGCCGCGGAGAACGCAGCCAGAATCAGAGGCCTACGGGTCTAGCGGCCATTAGTAGTAGGAAAAACAATGCCACGCTCCGTATCAAGCAGGCTAAGAAATAAGCCACCTTTTGGATGGTCCTCGTACTGCTCTGGGCAGGGGCTGTGGATATCTCGGACAAGTCGGCCGGATGCTTTGGCTTGAGGTCCGACCTCCCAGGTACAGTCCCACCTCAGTCATGGCACTATCTATATGAAGTAAAATTAGTCCTGACAGTAGTCAAGTGCGGCGAGTCCGACTCTTCGGTAGCTCACGATAGCCGAGTTTCTGTCCTTAGTCCTGACTCCGTAGGCCACGTTGTACGGTCCCGTTGAGGCACTCCGTTGTCCGTCTCCGATCGAGGACATCGATCGAGGACCTCCGACCCGAAGAATAACCCAGATTCACGCTGGCACGGTGAGCAGCTTGACTCGAGTGTTGTGGGGATCAGATTGGTGTGAAAATAGAAACCTTCCCAGTGAGATCTTTAAATTTATGCTCGAGCTGTTTAATATAGCAAATAAATTAAGGAGAGCGCCAACAACGTTGGATTCTTAATTCACGCACCATCGCAGATCCCTGCGTAGAGATTAGAGTAACTACTCAGTAGTAGGGTGATCAATCTCATACTCTAGTGTCAGGCTGCAAGGATGCAAGGGGTGAAGCGTGAACCCAGAGAGGAAATTAGGGCTCGTAGCTGGCTCCTGCGCATTCCGGGCGGCGCCGGTGGCGGCGAATGAACTCCAGTGAATCGAAGCTTGGAGAAGAGGCTGCAGGGGCCAAAACGCACCGATTGCCAATGGTTGTCCGGGGAGAGCGCCACCAGTCACTGCGCGTAAGACATTTCATTTCCTCAATAGTTAAGTGGAGCTGCACTATGGGACTTGGGCGCACTGCTCACACGTGGATCTGGCTTTTTTTTTCTCGGGTGATCCGGAGTTCGGCCAGATCCCTCTCATCTCTTTCCCCCCCTTGCTTGTCTGACTGTTGGTCTGTTGGACGTCTTTTTGCTACACGCGCTAGACGCTCTGAGGGAACATCTCCGGATGCGGTTCGTCCTCCGACTCCTGTCCCAGATACTCCCCCGATCCATGTCTGTGTAATCTGAGTACTCCGTCTAGCTGCATCTATGGGAATCGTCCGATGATGGTCTAATCCGAGGTCCAGTCATTTTTTCTACATTTCCTTCGCTCGTCTGTTTTCTTCTCACCGTAGCACCATCCTGGGTCCTCTTGCCTTCAAATGATATAAATAAACAACGGCCTGCTCATGATCGACAATCTTCTTTCCTTTATTCCTTCCACGTTTTAACTTAATCTTCCTCTGTCACATTCCTCCGCCCCCGGAACCATGAAGACTTCTTGGGCTTTGGCTGTCGCCACGGCCGCTCTCTCGCCGGTCGCTGCGCAATGTGCAGCTCCCTCGGACTCTTCGTCCTCTTCGTCCTCGACCTCAACCCAGTCGCAGTGTCACTGCTTGCCTAGTGACAGCTGCTGGCCTTCAACAGAGACTTGGAACTCCTTGAACAGCACCGTTGGTGGTCGTTTGGTCGCGACTGTGCCTGTTGGGTCGCCATGCCATGATCCCACCTACGACGCCGCCGCCTGCAAGACCTTGCAGGATAACTGGCACCATCCTCAAGTCCAGTATGTTTTCTTCTTTGGCCCGTGGCACGCAACCGCCCTTTCTAACATAATGAGCACAGCCTCGACTCCTCCTCGTCGGTTATGCAGACCTTCTTTGCCAACCAGAGTTGTGACCCCTTCACGGCGGAGTCTCGCTCCTGCGAACTCGGCAACTACGTGAGCTACGCGGTCGACGTCTCGTCCAGCGACGACGTGATTGCTGCTATTCAGTTCGCGCAGAAGAACAACATTCGCTTTGTCATCCGCAACACTGGTCATGAGTATGTCTTTGAATTACAGAGTCTGTTGACGAAATTCCGCTAACAACGGATTTAGTTACTTTGGCCGCTCTACCGGTGCCGGTGCCCTCTCCGTTTGGATGCACCATCTGCATGACGTCGAATACCAGGACTGGTCCGACTCCAACTACGAGGGCCCTTCGTTCAAGGTCGGTGCTGGAACTATGGGATACCAGATTCTCGACGCCGCCTCCGAGAAGAACCTTGTTGTCGTCACCGGCGAGTGCCCCACGGTCGGTGTCGCCGGTGGTTTCATCCAGGGTGGTGGCCACTCCGCGCTCAGCACTACCTTCGGTCTCGGTGCTGATCAGACACTTGAATTCGAGGTTGTCACTGCCGACGGAAAGCTTGTCACTGCCAACCGCTCCCAGAACTCCGATCTTTTCTGGGCCCTCAGCGGCGGTGGTGCCGGTAACTACGGTGTTGTTATGTCCGTCACCGTCAAGGCTCACCCCGATGTTAAGGTCGCCGGCGCTGGCCTCCAGTTCACCGCGGCTGGCATCTCCACCGAGACTTTCGACCAGGCCGTCTCGAAGTTCCACTCCCTGCTCCCTCAGATGATCGACCAGGGCGTCACCGTCATCTACCAGATGACTGCCGTCTTCTTCGCCATCAACCCCGTCACCGGTTACAACAAGACCACCGACGAGGTCAAGTCCATCCTGCAACCTTTCTTGAACGAGCTCTCCGACCTTGGCATCAACTACAAGGCCAGCTGGACCGAGTACCAGTCCTACCACGACCACTACAACAAGTACATGGGCCCTCTTCCTTGGGGTAACCTCGAAGTCTCGACCTACCAGTACGGCGGCCGTCTCGTGCCCCGCAACGCTCTGGACAGCAACCCGTCCGGCATCGGCAGCGCCCTGCGCAACCTCACCCAGCAAGGTGTGATCGCCGTTGGCGTTGGCCTCAACGTCTCGTCTCCCGGCGACGTTTCCAACGCCGTCTTCCCCGAATGGCGCCGCGCCGCCGTCACCGTGCAGTTCGCCACCAGCTGGAACGAAACCGCTCCTTGGTCCGACATGATCGCCGACCAGGAGCGCATCACCAACGAATACGTGCCCCAGCTCGAGGCCGTGACTCCCGGCGGTGGCACCTACCAGAACGAGGCCAACTTCCGCCAGCCCAACTGGCAGGAGACCTTCTTCGGCGAGAACTACTCCCCCTTGCTCCAGGTTAAGCAGAAGTACGACCCCGACAACTTCTTCTACGTGCTGAAGGGCGTGGGAAGCGAGGCTTGGACTGTTGCCGAGAACGGCCGTATGTGCCGCAGCGGTAACTAATGTGAGATGCGAAAAAGCGGTGATCTTGAATGACTCGGTTTTTTTTCTTCCCTTCTTATTGCTGTACTAGTATACTAGACCATCGTTCAGAGATACCTACTACCTGCGATAGACATTTATAATTCTAATGAACGTTACGTTCGGGTTATTTTTACTTCAACCATTATATTGCTATTTGAACTGCTGTAATTTAGACTAGTCTCCTGGAATACTTTAAGCCCAACCTGAACGATCAAATTCCGCACACTCGAGAAGGACCATGGCAAGTACCCAAGGACAGCCAGAGACCGCCACATGGTTGACGTCTTTCATTCCTCAATCTTATTCATCCCACTTATCCCCGGAAACGGAAACCCTTCTGTCAGCATGATTTGTCACTCGGATTTTCCAAATGTAGACTGAGTCGCTCGAAGAATAGCTATTCTCAAACCAAACAGATGCCCTTATTGCATCTCGAGCCAACCAAGTAAGCAGCAAGGTATGCTAACGTCCTCCAACCTCGGCATAACCCCCAAGGTTGCATCCTTCCACCACCACAAAACCATGCGCTCAGCTCAGTGATATCATTATATATCATAATTAGCTCGGCGCTTCCAAACGGGTAAAACAGCCGTTCACTCAGTTTTTGTGCGACCGAAAAAGTTGAAACAGGATCAAACACCCGCTCGTTTCGCCTTGTTCGCCTTCGAGTCCAAAATTGGGTTTTTGGTTTTCGTCGGCATTTGGACCACAGACGATCGGCGTGATCGGCGGTGGGTCAAACGTGTTCGCCGTTCGTTTCTCACTTCTGTGATCCATCCGCACGAACTACGGAGTGCGGATGCCTCGGAGTGATCGGCGGGTTGGTGCTGGGCTAATCATCAGTTTAGTTCGTTCTGGTGATTGATAAAAGGATGATCATGGCGCATCAAGGGGGAAATGAGTCATGTAGACTGGACTTACTCGCTTGAACTACTGACATATTCACGGAGATATATGTGCAGTATTTAATCAACGGGCTCTAAGTTCGACTTGGAAAACGGCGCAGGCAACATGACTTGTCCTGCATCCTTTGGCTGCAGAGCCCAAGTGGCATGATTTCACGTCTGGCGATCTGCGCCTGAGGGTTTCTGCCCAAAGACCGAGCTTTTCCATTTGATTTCTAAACTTGATTCCTTTACTCTCCGAGAGAGAAATAATCAGGTCTGTTAAGATGATTTAGAAATATGACATCATTTCTTCAGTTCTCTGGCACACGGAAAGCAGATTAGGCATCGACCTCGTATCAACCTCAGCTGGATGCCATACCTACCTATGACCTAGAATATGGTAGAGCGTGCCTTAACTAAACACTGGGCCAATAAATATCCTTCCGTTTCTTCCTGCGTGACACGGAAAGCTCCAATGCAGCGCTTAGAGGAGCTCTTGCGTCGGTCGCCAGCTCACCACGCAGCAAACAAGTTAGTCATGCATGGCCAATTATAGCATCAGCATCTCGGCGTCGCGTTGTCCAGATGCTCGAAGGATGAAAGCCCTAAGGGCCCGAGTGCGGGGTATCCGTGTTTTGTCTGCCCATTCTCAGCAAGGGTTGAGGAAGGTGCGACATGGGTACTATATAGGGCGGTAGAAATCATGAATTTTATACTTGATTCTCAACATCATTCAGACACAGAGGAACCAGAGCAGACATCGCAATGAAAGATCGAAAAAAGCATGCCAAGAAGCAGACGATAAATCCCACACCTGTCGAGATGGACGATCCAGCCCCAGAACCGGTGCCAGAAGCACCGTATCCCCAGTGGGACGATATCCCCGAATATCCTCAACCGGAGATAAGGTGACCCCCACCCCCAAGTATACACCCATTGCAATGAGCAGCCCTAAATAGCAACCGCAACAAAAATAGCCCCTACACTACCAAAGCCATCACCATCACTATCGGCATCCACAGCTACGCCGTCCCAGAATACTTCCTCCGACCGTACCTAGCCTTCGAAGTAAACCAATGGACTCGCATCTTCCACCTCTCTGACATCCACGAAGACGTCGGCCACACCTTCATCCACTACTTGTACACAAACACTTACGAGACCACCAAGCCCATTACTCACCTCCAAGACGATGTCGACAGCCCGCCCCGCGCGCGCGAATTCCACCGCGCCATGCACACATACCACGCAGCGCGACGCTACGGCATAACAGGCTTAATCGAGCTCGCAAAGACATACATCCGAGTCTTCGACATCGACGTCTCAACACTCTACATCCTATCCGTTGCACGGGAGATCTCAACAGCCCTCCCAGCAGACGAGGTGTGGTTCTGGGAATACATCCGCGAAAAGCTAGCGATAGCATTCGAAGACGACGAAGCGGGTCTGCGACAAGACATCGCATCCTACGGGATCGGTCGGGACCCGTTCGATGCTTTTTTAGTCACCTCCGTGCTGGACATCTACGCGAGTGCGTTACCGGGGAAAGTGCTGAACGGGCACGTCGAGACGGAGACACACAGTGAAGCAGATGTGTCGGAGACGTATGAATGGGATTCGGACCCGGAAGAGGACCCGGTGAATGGGGAGCCACATGCAATTGATGGCCCTGTTCCTGAGAGTCCGGGTTATGCTGTCGAGGGGGAAGCGGTTCCGGAGTTGGAGACGGCGCGGTCCCCAGACCCCGTGGCTATGTCGTCCTCGTCTCCGTCTCCACCACCTGCGTCGCCCCCAGCTGAGGCCGCAGACGACTACGATCCGTGGGATAATTGGCCCGTTCAAAGCAGATACAACGGCGCCTATCACGGGCCGGCGACGGGGGTTCCCGCGCGATTGACAACACTGGTGGAACAGGAAGAGCAATCAGAGGCAGCAGCAGCGGAGGGAGAGGGAGAGGGAGAGGCGTTTCCCGTGGAGGATAGCAATATCAACAAACTGATAGATGGTTTGGATTTGGGATCCAGTATCCCGTCGAAGAAAAAGAAGAAAAGGGGCCGATATTACGATATCGCACCTGCACCTGCGGAGTATCCGGAACCTGTGATCGAGGAACCGCCGCTTGAGTTAGAACCAGAACCTGAGCCTGAGCCTGGCATACCCCTTCCTGAACCGGCCGTTCCGGAGAGGACTGTGCCCTCTGCAGAGTCTCCTGCACTCAATGGGAGTGGCAATGGATCGATTGGAATCCCAAATCAGGATTTCCGGTTCTATTCTTCGGCACAGCCCGTCGCGACAGCCGAGTAGCATCTTGTCCTCCTCTAACCTACGTGGGCTTGTTGTTTGCTCATGTCCATGGTCCTTGTACTCGTTACTTAGACTTTTCTTCTTTTTTGTGGAGTGAGCGAATGGTGTGCTGGTGGAAAGGGTTACACAAAAGCATTTGTTAAATTTGATTAGACAGATACCTATGCCCTCTCAACCCCATGTAGAAAATTGGGACGCCGGCGTTTTTGTATCAAGTCTGATGATCGGTACATTGTACACTCACCAATTGATTAACCCAAATGGTCCAAACATTATGTTTTCTTCTATATTTACCAGAAGACTTGTGGGATTAAGCAGATAGGCCCCCATAGTCCCCCTACCGTCTTCTTTATAGGTATCTTTGTGTTGAGCTTCTTGATGGTCACGAAACGAGTGCAGAAAGTCAGTAGATGTATCTATTATCTTTGACACCTTTCCTTTAATCCTTCATTGCCTTTAGTTATATGTATATGAGATTTTGTGGAATACAGGTTTGCCCGGTTGAAAGGCGAAAATGTCTACACCGAAAACGTCCAAGATCAACGCAAACACTTTTACCAGTAGATGTTTTACCTCTCCCCCGCAATATTTCTATATCAATGACTCTGTTCTCAATCACTTGCCTAAAAGTATATTGAAAGTGAGAAAACAGCAATCGGTTGTGGCATATGTTCCACACTGGCTCTAGTCCTGCCATTTAGCACGGCCATGAGTGACATGACATAGATTGTTACCAAGCTTTGCATGTTTGGTCTGCAAATGCAAAGGCCACCAGAAATATAACTATAAGAGCGGCAAAGCTAATCACGTGTGCTGTTGTCGGTGTTGGTGGGCCCTGAGGCCTACTGACCCCGCTTTTTTGATCCCGCTGAACGGGTGTCCCGTCTAAACATTTCTAAACGCTTTCTAGAAGGCCGTTTCCGGTGTGAAGACGTGAAGTCTTTATACACATATCTATTCCTACAGGTTCTATCACAAGTCCTATTGTACATATCCTACCCTTGATGAGCGGATCATTCGCAGGACAGAGGTTAGTTTGAATTCTCAATCTTTAGCAAAACCCGCCTCTAACTCACGTATTTTTCAGCGCGATATCTAGATCCCCCGCAAGTTGATATCGCGAGCATACCGTGACCATGAATCTTACTTCAACGAATCTCAAACGAATGGTCGAACGAGAGGAACAGCACATGCAAGAGAACGAACGACTCCGCCAGTTCATATTACAACAAGAGAAAGCTCGGGCGCAGAGTGTGGAAGCTGAAGTCGAAACGCGGTTGAGAACGACAACAGAGAATCACGAAACAGAACTCAACGCCCTTCGCGGGGCTCTATCGGCAAGTGAAGAACACTCTCGAGGTCTTGCCGATGCAGCAAACGCCGATGCTGAGGCCCGTTGGATATCGACCACAAACGACCTCAGGTCGCAGGTTAACGAGCTTCAAGCCCAGTTAGCTACCAGGAACGATTGCGAAACAGCACATGTGGTGCAGCTTGAGAAAGATATTTCGGCTGTCCAGCTTGAACGCGACACTTTACGCAGAAAGCTGGGACTTACCCACAGAAACCTGGCACAGGCTCATGATGACCATCAAAAGGTGGCAGTCCTTGAAGGTACCGTTACAAGGCAATATGACGAGATCGTGGGCCTGAGTAATGGCCTGCTTCAGCTCAAAGACCGCAAGTTGAAAAAGACTCAAGACTAACTACGCCAGGCAACGTCAAACAACAACAAACTTCAAGATACCCTCCAAGGCTCCACCAAGAATGCAAAGTGCGAGGCAGAAAAGGCCAAAGCCGCACATGGGATCACACAAAAAGAATTGAGAAAACAACAGGAGCACGTTCAAGAGCTGTATGAAGAGATTGACGGCCTCGAAGACCTGGTAGAGGAAATGCGAGCAGAATCTAGAAGATCAAAGGCAAAGAAGCACAGATTCCTTCAGAGACGCTGAATTGCATAGCTGGAGCCATTTCTGGCTAGGTAGTCATACTGTTTATTACCGTTCATGTACCATCCTGTGTTTCGTTTGAAGGAGTTCCGGGTTCAATTGTTCTTTTTCAGTTCTGTTATCCTGGAATTTGAATTGAATATGCTTGTGTTGGCTCTATGAAGGGCTTTTCGATAATGACCGAATGCTAATAAATCCCCTATCCACTCGCGATAAATTGACCGTTATTGAGAGTCGATCCCCCAGGATCGACGAGAAATCTGGTCAGCCGGCAGATGAGGTAATGAATGACTCGCGTAGACTCGCCCAATCAGAACGAACCCTTACTTTGGATGGAATGTAAGGTATGGCGTAGAGCGCCCATATAGGACTGAGGTTGGCTTGCAGCCGGTCATTCCATCGTCTACTCACTGGAATGTTCGATTGATAACACTGAATTGAGTATTTAACGCGGCTTTTCCCTACCTGCAGATACTCGCCTGCCCAACCCACCTTAAACTTCCCAATTGAGACATTTGAATCCGAATCCATCCAACATGAAAGCCATCATTGTGACTGGGGCAACAGGGAAACAAGGGAGAGCTCTGATCCGCAACCTCATCTCCAAGGAGACCCCGTACGAAATCCTCGCCATTACTCGAGATCCCAGTTCCGCATCCGCCGAGCGTCTCGCCAAACTATCCCCGAAAATTCGACTGGTGGAAGCCAATCTCGACAATCCCGTGGATGTGTTCGAGAATGCACGCACCGCCAGCGATAACCCCCTCTGGGGCTTTTTCAACGTCCAGGTATAAATCAAAAACCAGCATACGATGACTCTTGTTTAGCCAATTGCTGACTCAATACTGACCAAGTTGTAAAGGTTGCCATCGGAAACACTACCTCTGAAGAAACGCAAGGAAAAGCGCTGATCGACGAAGCAATTCGCCAAAACATCAAGTTTCTAGTCTACAGCTCTGTCGACCGCGGCGGAGACGCGACCTCCTACGACAACGCCACCAACATCCCACACTTCATCAAAAAGTACAACATCGAGCACCACCTTGTCGAGAAAACCAAAGGCACAGACACAGAGTGGTTCATTCTCCGACCCACTGCCTTTTTCGAAAACCTCGTCCCAGGATTCATGGGCAAGGTATTCGCCACGTCCTGGGACATGACACTAAAGAGTAAACCGCTGCAGTTAGTCTCGACAAGCGATATCGGGTATCTGGCGGCGGAGGCGTTCATGAATCATGAGAAATACAAGGGAACAGCGGTGTCGTTGGCAGGGGATGAATTGACGTATGAACAAATGGCCAAGGTCTTTAAGGAGAAGACGGGGCAGAAGGTGCCGACTACTTTTCGACCGGTTTGTTCGGTGTTGATGGCGAGTATGAAGGATTTCGGCCTCATGTTTCGCTGGTTTCGAGATGAGGGGTATAAAGCCGATATCGCGGATTTGAGGGCGAAACATCCGGAATTAAAAGACTTTGGGACGTGGTTGGAGAAGGAGAGTCAGTTTATGAAGCATTCATGAATTTCTCCGCGTAATGTTGCCAAAGGCTTCGTGCAGATGATATGGTTTTATAATAGTTGATAGTAATAATTAACTTCAACTTAATTTAGAACATTATTATTATTTGAAACAGCAAGCAGCAAGGACAAACTCTAAATGATAGAGAGAAAAAAAAAATTGAAAGAAAATGAAAACAAAAGGCTTATCCAGGCTACAACTTGCCCATGGCACTCAGCTGCGATACCAACCCAGCAGCTCCAAAAGACCCCATAGTCATCGCCTGACAGACTGTCTTCACCGGTGTACCACAATCACCCATTGCAAAGACGCCAGGAACGCTAGCCTCATTGAAAGGTGGGTTCACCTTGATGAAACCTGTGGGATCCACGTCGAGACCCAGCTGCTCATGGAAGGGACCGTTGACCTTGACCGAGGGTGCGGAAGCCTATTGATCACACTTGCGTCAGCTTCTGTACCAGATAGACATTGAATCTTATGTAGATGACAAGCTTACTAGAAATCCTTCCTCTCTGATCTCACCGTCTTCCAACTGGACGATAACATTACTCTCCCCTTTACGTTCAACGGACGTGATTTTGCGCGACTCAATCGTCAAAGGCTTTCCCTCGAACTCGTCTTTCAGTTGCGTGGTGAGGTCCTCATCTCCATGTGAGTAGATGGTAATTCGCTCGGCCAGTGGAGCAGTCATGCGAGCAACGTGCAAGAGCATGGCAGGCAGTTTGAGCGCGCCGATCGCCAGAATGCCCACGGACGAGGCACCGCGTTCTTCGTATCCGTGGCAGAATAGGCAGTGAAATCTGCGTATATGTTAGCTATGATCTCCCTTTCTCATTGTTAAACACTCGTGCAGCATGTCTAAAGGAGACTCACATCAACTTTCCCCACAGATCACCAAACCCCTTAATATCAGGAAAGATGTCCGTAGCCCCAGTTGCAAGTGCAAGTTTCTTGCCGTGATACTTGTTTTGTTCTTGATCTATTAATTCAAACAGCCCGTCTGCTCTTTTCGCAGCCGATACGATGGTCGCATCTTTGAAGTCAATGGTCTTGTATCTGGACACGATGTTCTCTCTTGCGGCGGCGCGAAACTCCGCTGGGGGCTTATGGTCCCAACTCAAGACGTTATGCATTCTATCTGCGGGAGCATTGCGGTATTGCTTCGAGTCGAAAACGAGTGCCGAGTATGTTTGGCGCGCCAGACCAAGGGCTGTTGAGAGGCCTGCTGGGCCGGCGCCGATAATAAGGACGTCGTAGATTGCTGGGGCTGCCATTGTTGTTTTGCTTCTCCGTAAGTATCTAGTGTAACAGAGTGTTTGGTTTCTATGAAGTATCACATTTCTCCCTGATATGTCGAGACTTTTTATATTCAGAGCCTGGTATACAGTTTGCGAGAGTGCGTGTTGTCTTGGCGAGACTAAATGTCTCCGGAAATGTCTCCGTGAGGGTTCCTCGATCTAGCTTCGGTCCTTTACCGTGTTTTGTGCTCTTATTTGCTCCCAAGGTTCTGCGCCACTCCTCCCTTGAAGTTAAATGTCTTATTCATCTCTATGATTCGCCATTATTCTTCTCAAGACTTCGCAATCCTCGGATTCACCCGATATACACCCCACAAGATAGCCCTTACTGGTTCCAAAACATGCGCAATCTTTCCGATATGTCTCCATCGGGACAGGGTCAGGGGTTTCAGACGTCAGGATCAAGATTATCCACGGATATGCATTTTCCGAGAAGGTTATTCTGTAGATCGGAGACTTCGCGGAGACATACGCACCGGGTTTTCTACACGGCTTACTTTTACCTCTCGCCGCTTTTAGTTTACTGAGTAAGCCTCACAGTGTCTAGAATAGGTTACTTACTGAGCAGGAGCTGAGTAAAGAAATAATTAGTCCAAGTAGACGAAAGTTAAGGTAGTAAGCCTAGAAGCCAGCCTGTGGATAAGAAAAAGCACAATAACTAGTTAATTAAGTTAGTTAGATTATGCGCTTTGTAAGCAATTATTATACCGGTAGTTACTGGCATAAGATTCACACTAAAACCTCGCTGGTAGTATGTCAAGAACTAATGCAGGACTTATTCTTATCATCGACTGTATTCATTTTCTCTAACTCTAATTTAATTAACAAACCCATCAGCTTAGCGTAGCTGCGTTGATCGGATTAAAGAAAGATGACTAGAGCAAAAATGATTCGTGCATGAGGTTTCGTTCCATGTATGCCTACTAATATTTCTACCTGCGGAGTTCAATTCTACCTCAGTGGTTCTTCTAGTATCAGATAAAACATATTTTTGCTACTATAGGTGTCTGTCTCTCAAAAGGATGCCAGATAATCATACCATCTTTCCCATAGTTCTAGTAAATTCAGTATAACCTCTCTAGATGGAAGGTGAAATCTGTAAATACAGCACAATAGTATTCCATCAAGGCAAAGTCAGATAATTGTACAGTCCCAGGCCGAAGGATACCACCGCACCTCCACCCAGCATGGTGAGTGGCTCCGCTGAAAGCTCCCCGCTACTATAGCAGATCAAGTTTGTGATCACCTCCGCGGCATCCATCGCCAGTCCTGCCAGTAAGGCTCGCTTTACTTCTCGGGTACCATTGGGCTGGTCCAGGGATCCAAATTAGCGAGGTCATAGTAAGAACAACAAATGGCATACCTTGTCTTTCTCCTGGTGAGCAGTGAATAAAAGAGCCCCAATAATAAGGTCTCTTGCTCCGACCAAGTGTGTCAGAACCTTCGAAGATGGGCCGTATGAAAGAGAGAAATTGGCAGCGGCAATCTTAGGGGCCAAGAGGAATAAGACTCCGCCCGCCATTCGGCTAGTGGACAATAGAGTGAGGGTGATTGCCATTATTGCGTTTTGGTAGAATCGTCAGATTGGTAAGTGTTGATTGCAAGGCGAGAGAATAGGATAATTACAAATATATGGAGGGGAGAAATAGAAGAGGGGGAAGACTAGGATTACGGGGGAGTGCGCGAAATAAAGAACAAGTCGTGCAGGGGGGGCTTTCCCGAGTCAATTTGAAGTCGAACAAAAAACCCCAAAGAATTCGGGGGGCTTTGACGAGCATCTTACTGTTTGAACTTCACTGTGATTGTCTTGCATACCGTGTACATACCGTGTGTAAAAATATTACCAAGAGATTTCCAACTCGAAGGATTGCCATCGTACCATTTGATCATCACTGTCATTGTTCTACTTAGGATGCGCGGGGAAAGCCTGCGCTCCGGCTGCGACTTTACGGTAACGGCAGCTCTCGACCCGGTGTATCTGTAACTAGGCACCGTGGCTCTCTGACAAATCAAACCACTCGGGGTGCCCTCAACAGTGTAGCCTGGACAACGATGGCCTACGGGAAGACCCTCTCGGCCCGGGACGCCGCGCCCGCCTTTTCCTTACGGTGGTGTGATCACCTTAGGCACCATAGCCCGTCTGCCATTGTTTCAGCGATCCTTCTGGAAGAAAAGAGCTATTGCATTACATCCCCAAAATTGGCTAGATGCTGTTTCGCCTCCTTCGACCGATCTGGAGACCGATACGTGGCGCTCGAGTACCCCACGTGAATTTCTCGGTGGCAGGTAAGGGATTATTGAACATGCAAGCAAAGAGGGCCATCCACAATATCTGGCGGCTACAGTTCTAGTTGCGAAAAAGGCCATTCCATTTTCAACTTGGAATTGAGTCTTGAAAGTAGATTCATATATGACACTACTAAGATAAGGAGATAAAGCTATGGAATGTCGTAGACATTCAATAGCCCTGCTGGATGTAGGTACATACATTGGTGGGTTCGGGCTTATCTTACCCTTCTAGGAACAATGTTCAATGGGGCTTGGCATGGCTCTTACCCATTTGCTTTTATGGGCTTTCTTCTTTGTTTCCTTTCTTCTGTTCTTTTTCTTCTTTGTTTTTCTGTCATTTAGCTGAATGATTCTATATCGTGTAGGTTGCCTAAATTTCAATTTCTTCGTCAGCCTTTAGATTCTGTACGTTTATGTCCACCTTTTTTTATCTCCCGCGGCCTGCATGTTCTTTGTCAACAACCCTCCTCGGTCATTGAAAAGGCATCGAATCTCAAAAAAGATCCGATAATAAAATTACGAGAGAAGAATGACATAGGAGGTTGAAAAACGCAAATCAACACCAGTTGTACATAGCTCCGAGTTGACTGGCACAACCAGAGCATGGAGTCCAATGCTCGGGGGCCGAATGATATTCTGTTCGATCGGAACCAACGGATGTTACATCTCATTACTTCATCTTAAGCATCATCCCGGAGTATTGCTTTATATAGAATTGCCGATTGGATCGGACAAAGGTAGCCTGCCTACATAGACATGCGCGTCATATCAACACGTTTTGTTGCTCGTGTACTTCTTAGGTTGAAGTTCTAAATGCGCCCTGGATGAATTTAGAATATATGAGGCCGACCCGTCATCTTGCTTCGTCTAGGCGTCTTGTAAACACAATGTGCGGGGTTTCCAGAAGACCTATGGCTTCATTTGAGCCATCTTGGTAGGTGATCTGCAGAGATAATCTTTACATGGCATCTGTCAGTTTTTCTTGGGCATAGTAGAAACAGGGATAAAGTGGCTTAGTGCAAATGGTATGAGTGGCGCATATCTGGATGTTTTCAATCTAGTAGTCGTTCTAAAAGACATTCCGATGATCGATATCTCGTTAGCTAAACTTGCTTAGCGCGGGGATTGCATTGCATACACGTCAGTCTATCTCATGAATTTGCAATTGATCGTTAATCCCGGCTAATGACAGGCTACATATTGAGCGGCCTGAAGCTCTGACCGCAAGCCGGCGTACATTATCCTTGTATCAGACAGTTTTCCAACTCATCTGTTTTCGTGCAACAGATTCGTCAATATCATTGTCGAATTGGCTACTATACCATGAGCTCTAACTAGCTCCCAGATTCCTACGCATTCAATGACAAACGGTAATTTGGTTCTGGTTGAACAATGAGACAAACATGAGGTAATTCGCAGGCATCTTTCTATGACACAGGACACACTTTTGACATTGAATTTACCTTTTAATCATTTATAAAAAGTAAGAAAACAAGAGAGGGGATCTCTATAAAGACTGACATTATTTCCCGCGTTCTCGACTTCAGGACAACCCAACGATTATATCCTCCAGAGGTTGGTTCATCAGTACCGAGGACTCACCCATAAAGTCTAGCTACAATCTAACTTGTGCAGTACTCTTGACAGAAGGCTAGCCTTCAATTCAACACAAAGCCCACTTCACCAGCTTTCCAATCATGAAGATCACTCATCCCAATGGCAGTCGATCCGTCGACGTCACCCACAAATGGAAGATCGTTTGGGACGATGTTGTCGAGTATGTACTCTAAACCATTCCTGTTTCTTTCATGCCAATTGTATAAAAGCCTAACTGAACTTCAGGAATGACCCTCATCATGTCAAATTCTGGCTCACCCACTCGCACAATCCTCCTTATCGCAACCCCGTTCGACTGACCGAGGAGATTAACATTCACGAAAGAGATCATGTCGAGATCGATGGACAGCATTTTGAGCATCTCCCCACGGGGTAAGACCAATTCCTCCAGCATTCCATTTCCAACACACAGATAAGGCTAATCTCTCCGTTTTTGTTTTCATATAGTGGTGGCTACCGCATCTGGGCTATGAGGGTTGACGAAGATCCCGGCCTTCAACCTGCGCCTATTTCCGAGTCTCATGAGCTTGAAATTAAGAATGAAAAGCATGAGTAGTTTTTCCGCTTGGGAAATAGAGCACAACGGACCTTCAAAGTTGGTGATGCGATGTCCAATCTTGCTTTTAGCTGGTTGGATATATTTTGTGCCTTGGTATGGGTTTTCTCCTATGATAGGTTTCCCTGTACTGTGATGCGAATGCAAAGGCAGGTCTATGATGACTTGGAGTACAAGCATATATTACATCAAATCCTTCATTCCCAACTTCCAAACGCCTATATCTCCTAACATGGCCATCAAGGACCTTGCAAGTTAGGGCGGTTCTGGGCAGGAGACATCTGCTTGAAGTAGGCGGTGGATATGTTGATAGAGCGTAAATAACCTGGCGGGACCGAAGGTACTGCCGGCAGTAAGGATACCCCGATCGGGCTATCCGGGATCACGCCATCGAAGGGCAGTCAATGAAAGTAACCAGGCCTAGGCGGTCGGAAACTGCCCGTCTGCAACAGCCACACCGCCCGATATGCCTTGTAATTTCGGCCAGAAATCGGCGTCTGAAGGCGGACAAACTTGCCCTCCGAAGAATGGATTGACTCACTGATTCTCCCGCCCACTTTCATTCCATTCCTCCCCGCCGTCTACTGTCCTCTGCAAGTTTCTCAATAGCACAACACAATTGACAAGATGAAGAGAGAAGACGTTGTTTACTTTGGTGCTGGGCCCGCTGCCCTGCCGACGGATGTGCTCGCTAAGGCCGCCGAGGCTCTGCAGAACTATGACGACACCGGACTGTGAGTCTAATGCGGGGAGAAGAATCTCGAATGTCGCGTGCGATTCAACTAACGGTTTTGATTTGATTAGGGGTGTCGCGGAGCATAGCCATCGAAGCGGGATCGCGAATGACATTTTGAACACTATGAAGGCCGATTTGGTGTCTTTCATGGGCATCCCGGACACTCATGAGGTCTTGATCATGCAAGGTGTGTTTTTACTTTGACCTCCTGCTGTTTGGGTGATCACATGGCTAACGCTGTGAAGGTGGTGGATCGGGACAGTTCGATGCGACGTTGTATAACTCGGTTGCGATCTGGGTCGAGAACCAGCGCCAGAAGATCTTGCAGAACGGGGAGATCAGCGAGGAGGAGCTCGTCAAGCAGCTACAACAGAAGGTGCAATCGGAACTGCGCCTGGACTACCTAGTGACGGGATCGTGGTCGGCGAAGGCCAGCCAAGAGGCCGGGCGCCTGCTGAGCACAAGCAATGTGAATGTTGCGACCGACGCACGGAAAATCAACGATGGCAAGTTCGGCAAGATCCCCGAGGAGTCGACGTGGACGCTGAGCGAGAAACCCGCGTTGGTGTATCTGTGCGAGAACGAGACGGTGGATGGCGTTGAGTTTCCCCGATTCCCTAAGGCGTTGGAGTCTAAGGCCGCGGATGACCAGACGGTCGTGGTCGGAGATTTCTCCTCGACGATCCTCTCGCGTCGCATTCCCTTTGAGCACTTCTCGATTGTGTTCTTCGGTGCCCAGAAGAACCTGGGTCTGCCGGGTATTACGCCCATAATTATCAAGAAGAGCTTGCTGTCGATTCTGAGCCAGGCTAAGCTCGATATTGTTCGTCGGGTGGGACTCCCCGTTGCCCCTACGATCCTGGACTACGCGGTTACGGCCAAGAACAACAGTCTGTACAACACCCTCAGCATTTTCGAGTAAGTCTACTTTTCCGTCTTTCACTAGCCAATGCTAACGATCGGCAGTGTCTTCGTGGCTGGTCAGGTCCTGAAGAAGCTTCTCGCCAACTTCCCCGACAATGTTCAAGGCCAAGAGGCCGTGGCTGGAAAGAAGGCCAACTCGATTTACGATGCGCTCGATGCGTACCCCGACGTGTACAAGGTCGTCCCCGACAAGAGTGTTCGCTCGCGAATGAACGTCTGCTTCCGGGTTACCAAGGTATATATTACATCAAGCCCCTTTCACGCGAGATAAAAACATACTAACAGTACCAGGGCGGCAACGTCGATGAGGCCGAGAAGGCTTTCCTGAAGGGCGCCACGGATAGAGGATTGCTCGGTCTTAAGGGCCACAGAAGCGTTGGAGGTATGTAGAGATTCCTGACGATACACCGTGACATGCTAATGAAGAACAGGTATCCGTGCTTCGAATTACAACGCCATCCCTGAAGCTGGCGTTCAACAATTGGTGGCATTCTTGAAGGAGTTCGCGACAACTGCATAAACGGCGTCCGCAATATGTTTGGTTTTTAACATTTTTGGTACAGGAATGGCTTCAACACTGGGATATACCAACTAAAATAGAGATTTGAAATGAATGACGTGTTTATTATCATACAAAGAGAGACTTCCCCACACAGAAAAAGGTTTTCCTATAGACCTGGCCATTTCATAAGACTAACACCCCCATCCATTATAACAATCATGCTTTGCTCTCGACCACTGGTTTTAGTTCAACCTCTGCGACAACCCGGGAAATAGCAACTCGTCAAACTCCTACAATGTCGTCTGGAACTTCACCACAAAGTGTCACCAGCACACCACGTCGGCAGACCTGCAGCCTGCCAGCGACGGTCGACGATGATGGAAAACTAGCGAAGGAGAACTTACGTGGGTCTCATTGTGGATGCGCAGACGGCATCGACGGTCGCGGCTGCCATTGTCCTCTGCGTGCGTCTGTATGTGCGGATGAGACTCATTCAAAGCCCTTTGTGTCAGGTGAGAATAGCAATGCGGCACTTCAATTAGAAGGAAAAGTCTCACCATAGCAAAGCCCTAAGAGAAACAAAGACACACTAGTTGAATGTTAGCAGTCAAAATGTCCATTGATTTGGTATCTGCTTTTCTTTCTTTTTTAATCTACCAGAGCCATTCATGAATGTATGATAACCTGTCTTCACGTTGACGAGACAATTGTACTAAAGAAACTAACTTAGGTTTCATATTTCTTTGTCTGTATGGTATTGCCTAGTTCCATATGTTGTGATCACAACATGATTGCAAGACCTATTATTTATTTTTGTTTTATTATGATTTCTTGAAAGATCAGGGTACGTGTTTGTTTTATTTGCTTCTCAATAGCCATAAGCGAGTTGATAGACGAATAAAGAAGAAAGCGAAAAAGATCTCACAGTGGCTCACAAGCATTCAGAATGGAATGTCAACCTCGCGCAAACAAAGGAATTAAGTAGAAGTATGAACATAAACCTTCAAACTGTGTTGGATTTCAAGATGTAAACCAAAAACTTGTGGAGAGTAGAAGTGTCTAGCAGGATAACGAATCTTAATCTAAGTAGTGAGTGATCAAATTCTATACCTGGTCACATGTCATCCAGTAGCATACACTATGATAATATTTTGGAGTTGCTAGTGTTGCAGATGGGAATAACTCCAGAACCTGTCATAGTCCGTGCAAGGGCCTGCTTAGAATCTAAATATCTGTCAAAAAGGTAATAACAAACTAAACCGACATCTTATTGTTATGAAAGTTAGACTTCTTTTGCGCTGTTTGTAGTAGGCGAGAACAATCAATTTAGAACCATGGATACATGTCACTCATTTCCGTAATAAAGCAGTCCTTTTGTATAAAGGACAAACACGTACTGTAGGCAGATAGCTAGCTTTTTAGCAAGTTATCCACATGCATAGACAAAGAAATTTTGCCTGTATTAAACGGGAAAATCCCCCCAAGCCCACGACTGCACCACCTTCCTGATTTGACTGGCCATTATAATTCTATCGGTCCTGAGCCCCTCAAACAAGAAATCGTGAAAATGCCGCGTCGACTATATCCCAGGCCCGCTAAAGCCCGGGAACGTCAGTTCTGGAATTGGACCCGACTCGGATGGACACAAAGCCAAAGAGATCAATTTTTCGAGCTACTGCTAGAAGGACTCTATGATTTGAACATTCTCCTGCTGGACTTGCGGCTAACCGTGAATAGAATCCGCGTGAACTTTTATCTCGAAAGCCAACTCGAAAGCATAGCAAGAGAGATTGATGGAGAGCCAGAGGGCTTGGATGAGTTATATGAAGCCAGAGGGCTGGAGTTAGTGAGACGTGTTCGAGTAGCACTCACGGCTCGAAAAAGGGTGTTCTTAGCCCGGATGAAAGCACAGGGGAAGCCGGTGAGGCCTGGCAGGCCAGAAGAGGATATCCATAGAGAGTTCAACCGGACTTATGATATGGATAACGAGACAACAAGCACCTCAACTAAGAGCAATCTCAGTCATAGAACAGGTGACCCGCCAAACATTCGGTGGAGGAACGGCAACCGGATTGTTTTAGAACCATTTGATGCTTTACCTAACGAGGGCGAGTTAGAAGAGGAAGCTGATGGTGATGTAGAAATGGAAGCTGAGGCGAATGTCGAGGACTGGATTCAGGACGTCCAGGGTGCAAATGCGGGGGATGAAGATTCTCCTACATCTAGCCGCGCCGAGCTCTGGACCGATAGCCAAGAAGAAGTTGACACTCCGCCAAAAGAAGAAAAAGGCCACCGACCACTGTGGACCCAAGAAGAATTACAAGATGAAGCTCGGGAGACTGCCAGGCAGAGCCCTGACGAGGTCCACAGCCAAGAGTCAAGTCCTCCGCAAGAACACGAACAAGAACAAAAAAGAAAGGAAATAGAGGATGATGATAATTATGATTATGATGATGAAGAGGAAGAAGAAGAAGAGGAGGAGGAGGAGGAGGAGGAGGAAGAAGAAGAAATGCAACTGGTTGTCCAACCGGAGTCTGGGCCCGGTGAGTCTTCCATTACACATCAACTATTTAGACCTGGTAGTCTCGAAGCTAATCGTTTCTCTGGGGGCTTTAGCAGAATAGAGAGCTTCCAGTGGAACTGCTCGAGATGGTCGGTGAATATCTCGGATTTGGCGATTTGCACATCTTCAGTACGACATCCAGGACAATACGGACAGTCCTTACACGTGCGCGAAGGAGACGTCTCGGCCAAAACCCTCTGGCATCAAAAGAAGATTATGATCGGTACCTCGCCATGGTCAACGACGACGGACCATCACGTTTTCATTTGGTTTACAATCCTCAAGCACCGTATGTTGAACAGCCCCTGTTGTGGGCCGTTGAGAATGGATGGAGTGGAGTTGTGCGGGCCTGCTCGCGCGGTCAGGGGCAACTTTTGAGATATTGAGTCGGTATGAATACGGACCCCCGGTGATGTCGTTTGGGGAGGCTGCGGTTCTACAAGCAAATGTAAATAGCGACCGATTGTTGCCAGAATGGATATGCGTATCGGGTGTCTATTTGGAAGATCTTCTGAAACTTGAGTCGACAGAACAATTTTTTGAAATGTGGCCGTCGTATCTTCTGACAGAATGACTCCGTCTGGACCTGGTAATGAGGCTATATAGTCCATTTATGCTTATTCTAGTAATGCTCTTATACTCGTTTCGTGATCACCCCATGTACATACTACACAAAACGTCAGAGGAGGTGGGAAAATGGCGGCATAAAGTGAGATTTCACTCTCCGACGGACCAGCGAGCTTTATTTCTTGGACTTGCAGGAAAAAACGATAGAATTATCGTAATCGAGATTATAAAGCGTGTGCTGCAAGCGAGAGATTTCTCCATACTGCTATGTCGAACCAATAGCTAGCAGGGTAAGAGACTAGAATATTCCATCTACGTGAGCAAGATATCTTTCATACAAGAAACGTTGACTTTATAAAAAGATTCGACTGTATCATACATACACAGAATGGACCAGTCCGATCTACCCACCACAATGAAGCAGGAGGAACTATGTACAGTACTTTGGACCGACTCCTCATATCCAAGCTCGGGGTGGACGAAGAGCAAAGAAAAGAAAAGAAAAAAAAAAAAAAAACCAAAAGCCCCATCCCATACATAGATACACCTCCTCCTCCACTCCCACTATCTCGCTAATTCACTAACTCACTCACCATCCGAACCTGATCTTCTCCGTCGAATCCCGACCAGACGAAGCATTTCCGTCCAGAATCCCACAGGTGGCGTGGTGATCGAGTTCTCGTACGCGTCGATGGCAGGCCTCTCCCAGACGAGGTCGACCTCGTGCGGCTTCACCCACTTCGTTCTCTTGAACACCTTCCAGAAGATGAAGAGACAGGGGGCGACGATTTGCATGGTATAATTCGAGAAGAAGTTCGCGACGCTCCAGGGCGTGAAGGACGTGTATCCGTAGAAGATAAGCATGATGCAGTGCACGCAGATGCCGATGTAGGCGCCGTAGGGCTGGAAGTAGCCGTAGTAGGGTCTGGTTTTGCGGTCGACGCCTTGCGCCTTGCAGGCGTAGTAGTAATTGAGGAAGGTGATGGACATGACCAGGAAGTTGATCATGCCGCCGCCGGTGACCAGGTTGACGAACCAGGTGATGGCGGTGGCGGAGCTGCTGCCGACTTGGAGGAAGGAGAGAAAGGGGAAGATCATGACGATGCAGAAGCAGTAGATCGGGACACCTTGTTTGTTGCAGTAGCGGAGGAAGTGGGGCGCGCGGCCTTCGAGCGCGAGACTGTAGAGCGAGCGCGTGGCGCAGTAGGTGTAGGTGTTTCCGGCGGAGAAGATGGAGGTGAAGATCAGGGCGTTGACGATATCGGGAAGCACGGTGATGCCGAGATTCTCCATGGCCATGACGTAGGGAGAGCCAGCGGCGCTGTTGCTGTCGCCGCCGCTGCCGAAGTAGAGCTCCACGAGGGCCGGGTCATTGTATGCGACGACGATGCTGACGGCCAGCGAGCCGACGATGAAGAAGATACAGAACCGGTAGTATACGGTCTGAAAGGCGGCTTTGATGTACACGCTGGGTCGCTTGGCCTCGGCGGAGACCATCGAGATATATTCGGGACCGACGACAGTGAAGCCAGCGCTGAAGAGTGCGGCGAGAAAGCCTTGAAATCGTCCTAGATCGCCTTCGTTTTGAAATGTGGCGAATGCGCCCGGATTCTGCCAATGACGGAAGCCGTAGGCATCGTGCTGGGGATTCCCTCCGACCATGGTTATGAAGGTGAATGCGAAGAGGATAAAGATCAGCACCAGCTTGCCTCCGGAGAGCCAGAACTCGGCCTCTCCGTAAAATCGGACGGCAACGATGTTAAGTGCGCTATGAATGCGAGGGTCAGTTTAATATTACCAGAATAGCTTCCGGCCCATCCAAACAGCGGTCAAGGAAAGGGAGGAAGAGGGGAGAGTGAGAGGATTAATTCTCGGAGAGCCCAGCGCTATGACAGCAAGCCGGGGCAGAGGGGCGCAAAGTCCCCCAGGAAGTCGTTCTTACGCATAACAAGCGATCACCGCCGCACAGACGCCAGCCGTGGGACCGGGGTTCGAGACCTCTGAGTTCCAGAAGGACATGACCAGACTGAGGGCGGTGATCTCGAAGGGAATGAGCAGGGCCTCGTAGAAGAAGAAATTCCATCCGGCCATGAAGCCTAGGGCGTCGTCTACCCAGTGACCGGCGAGACGGATAAATCCGCCCGAGACAGGCATATACGTATTCATTTCGGCGATGGAGTTATTCACGAGGGCGAGTACGCCGGAGTACAGGGTATAGGCGATGAGCAGGCTGGCCGGGCCACCTTTGGCGAGACCGCCACCGATACTGATGAAAAGGGCAGTTCCGATCGAGCCACCGGCGGCGATAAGCTGAATCTGGCGGTTATTGAGTCGGCGCTGTAGGCCTCCCATACTCTCGCCGACCTCGACGCTGACGCCATCGGTAGAGGTGGAGGGGTGGGATTTAGGGTCGAACTCCTCTTTGGGTGCCATTTTGGCGAGAGGGAATGGGCTTCGCGATGCGACAAATCGGGCAAGAATGGACGGTCACAGCTTTTGGGGGGTGAATCGCATTGGATTAGTTCGGAGAGCGACGCGTGGGGAATTATGGCGCAAAGGACAGAACTCGGGACGCTGGGGGAGAGTCGGACTGCGTGTGGAATGAAAGAACGGGCAAGGAAGCTATGAAGATAAACAAAGAAACAGGAAGAAATACGCGAGGAGTTCAAGCGCTTCTCTCTTATCTCTTTTTTTTAACGTTCACAGGGATCCGTTATCCCAAGATGGTGAAGATAAAAACCAAAAGTGGGAGATAGCGCGAGATTTATCGATCCATGTTTATATACGCGACGCTAGTCAAGGACCGATTGAAATTTTCCGCCTCCTGCAGCTAAAAGATGAGTGCAGTTCACGGCGTCGTATTCTGAGGTAGGATAGGTCGACAGAGCCATGGCCCAGCGTTGTTAGCCAAGCCCTAAGTCCGTCCAGCCAGTCAACCCGCGACTGGGGAAGGCGCTAGCGTTCCATGTGGCGGAGCTTTGGACCCGGGGATTTGGGGGTAATTAGTTATTAGTTATTACTACCTAAATAGTAAATGGTGATTCCCTCTTGAAGTGCCCCTCTCGGGTGCAGGCAGAGTACTTGCTTGCTTGCATGGGGAATGTGTCCCATCAAAGGTAATCCAAATATCCGTGCCCGTCGAGTACGGAGAACAGGTGGCAAGATGGGGTGGCACAACTGATGAGAGAGGCTTCCCTGGCCAAGACGCTTATCTTGGACGTCTGTAAGCCGAGCAATCCCAGTTGGCTCTTCCAGAAAAGCCCAAGACCCCCGTCGATAATATAACTTCCGCTAACCCATTTCCTGTGCCGTCCCAGCCTCGCTAGGCCACTTTCAGGTAGCACGCCACATCCCCGCCTATACCATGAGGCATTATCCAGTTCAAAGAACCGGGTACGTAACCCAGACCACAGCAGGGGTGTGAAAATCTCGCATCCTCGCAGTGTCCGTCGCGTGAGTGTGCCGGAGAAGACCGCCACGGCGTCAGGGGCGTTGACGGGCGAGAAAAGGGCGCTAGCGATACGGGGCAAACCCAGATAAGAGAAAAGGAAAAAGAAAGAGAATCAGGGAAAAAAAAAAACGATCAAGCACTCGGTCCCCCTGAAACTGTAGTAGTCTCTATCCACCAAATATTCACTAATTAAATTCAGCCAGTTTGATCTTCCACGGTACATCGATCACAATCAATTTCCGAACAAGCCACCTCGTTCACCCATGACAATCCAAATCATGTTTATCTGACTGTCAACTGTCAACTGCCAGAATGTTCGAGCCTTTGAGCCGAGATCGAGACCCGGAGATAGCCGATGGCCTGCCATCTGCCCTTTCTAACCATCGATCATCGCATGGATCCTGTCTTCGAGACTCGGTCAGAACCTGCGATGGGCCGATCGCATTTACGGCTTGAGAACTTTCTGGTTTACATTCAGCCCTCGAAGGGAATGTCCCGGCGCAAGAGATTAAATAAATCCTCGTTTCACTTTAACGGCAACAGAAAAGAACTGCCGCTGCTAAGCGATCTTGAACCGCGTGGGAGGGTTGTCCTTCTGGAAAGCTTCCTCCACAGATTAACAGCAACTTAATCTATCGACCCTTGCTACTTTTATGATGGAAATGTGCTTAATTCCTATTGGCACGAACCAGCCTGGAGGTCGCGTCTCACATGATGTTACTGCAAGGATACTATGGCAGCGCAGCTCCTTTGGTGTTCCATAAGAGTTTGGGATTTTGACTGAACAACAGTCGCATGGATCGAATTTCCAAGAACATCTTGAACAAATCACCAGGTGCTGGCGTCCAAATTTTTTTAAAATCTATAATGCCATGCAGTATGACCAAACATTTCGGTCATCGTTTCACATAACCGTTGGGTGCAAACCCACCATTCTATCTATATGTACAATGCACCCAAAGCACACAATTATGATCAGCACTTCTAGAAACCCCTCTTCAACATGAAAAATCCAGAAAACAAACCATCTACCCAATCCGTTGCTTCCGCCTCACCCAAACCTCCTGATCACCCGGCTCAGGAGCCCCGTCAGTCGCACTCGGATCCCGCAGCTGTACCTCCCAAACCTTCAGCTTGTAGTTCCCGCGATCTCCCTGCCCGGAGAACAGATCAAACGACCAGTCATGTTGAGGACACGTGATCCCCGCACTCAGGGTGATACCAAAATCCTCAATATCAAACAAACTGCCCCGTGAAAGCGGAAACGCCGAGTGGGGGCATTGCTGGCGGCCAAGGCCCGGTCAGCCTTTTATTGCATGATAGCCCTACAGGGTTCGCGGGGGAATGCTCACATGATCAATGGCGTGAAATTTCCCCTTATATTTAAATACGAGGACTTGATCCTTCAGCTCCCGGCCGGGGCGATCCAGGCTGGCTGGGACTGGGGCCTTGTCGTCTCTGCTGGGCCCATTGTTGGTCTTGGGGATGCTGAAGGCTTTGCAGTGTGGTTTGATCAGGGGGGAATCATCTTGTGATTGAATGTCCGGGAAGGAAGAAGCGAGACCAGCGAGATGCCAGGCTCCCCCTCTAGACTGCTGCACGAACGCGTTCATTTGGGCAGAAGAAAGAAGGAAGAAATGCGGGCGGGAGTTTGGCTGGTTTGCATTGCCCCGGGTTTAGTGCTGACTCAGCGGGTCCAGCTACGTGGGCCCAGTGTGGGGTCTCCACCAATAGCAGCTTCCTTCATGGTCAGCCTTGATGCCTGAGGCTGTCTGTTTTCATGGATGTTGTCTACCAGATGTCACAGCTCGGAATCGCCGAGACAAGGTGCCACAAGTTGACCTATTCGGAAAACACAGCATATGGAAAAGAGGGGAAGAAAGCTTCCCAAGGATGGGATCCTCTATTGACTGGCGGGGAGACACGCAGGCTGGCTCTACTCTCCAAGACTTTGTATCTCTCTCTATGACCGTTTCGATGCCTAGAAAAAGCACATGAGGAAGTCCACTGCTGCCTTCTTCAAACCCAGGAACCATTCAATCAAAAAGGCCCACCTACTGTTGCTATAACTCGAGGCATGGTGATCTGGGATAAGATGTATCTCCGAGAAACTTTCGGGGCGTTGAATCTAAGAGTATTATCTGCGTTAGTTCGAACAACACAACTCTCTTATCTGAACCGGATGGTTTTGCCATTTTGGGGATACAGTTACGCACGAATGGTTGTAGTCCTGGCCGGCCCTGTTTCAGCTAGATGAGCACGTCGAATCTGACGTTCAGACAATCTCTTGTGCGGGGAGCTGTCCCGTATCCAATAGTAGCGTTTGAAGGAGGGCCGATGATGCGGCGATCACTATCTGGCCGATAGATGGCTAGAAGGCTACCCATGTGCTGCACTAACACATTAGGCTCACGATAAATCTCTTCGAAAGAGCACGGTACTTGCATTTATGCATGTGAGTTTTTTATCATGTCCTCGAAGACTGTCGGTTGTTGAGGCGATTAAAGTAAAAGAATGTCTAGTATTGGTGGCTCGGGTGACACTGCCAAACACCCTATAATATTTATACATGGTTAGTTTTGGTAGGAGAACGTCTGAATAGCATCGTAGCGCGAGTTTGAAATCGGACTAAATCCAACCATAGACTTTATCAGCAAACACACGCGCTAAAAAATAATGTAATGATGCATATAATTCCCTATACTATAAGTAATCTATCTAACTCAAACTTTTCAACTTATATACAACAAACACCGGCATATGCACCTCTGATGCAAAACTAACGAACGAGAACGGCCCTCCCACGGAGCCGAAACGCCTCACACCATCAAGGTTGGCGATGATAACGAATTTCTGGGTACTCAAAACAACAAAATGTAGCATCCAGCCGGTAGATGCAGCCTTCATCTATCTCATCGAACATCATTTATATCCATCTAGTGAATAGGTAGGTTGTAAATACTCCTGGCCTAAATTTAGGCGGAGTTGGCGCAAGACCAGCTGCTGGAACCTGAATCGTCGTGGATAGCGGCACCGGAGACGTACAGACCCAATCCACACTAAGATACGGGTCAGCGGGTTGTCAAGATAACAACAGGGGAAGGAAATGAATGTATGACGGAGCAAATGGAACAGGGGAGTTAGGTGTGGACTTACAATGGCGCACGCGATAGCCAAGATGGCGATGTTGAGAGCCGTCAAGAAGATCTTCTTGTAGTTGCGGGTGTATTCGCCTCGGTTCATGTGCAGCCAGAAAATGGCGGGGAAACCAACTGTTGAGTGCAGGTCAGTATATATCGGCTAATATCAGGGAGCAGGATTAATCATACAGCTGAACCAACTTCCGAAAAGCGCACTCTGTCGTAGAACTATGGGTTAGCAGGAGATCTTAAAAGTCGTAACAGAAAGGCAATATGGGTCTAGACGTACGATCAAACTGAGCAGGTCGTTGAACACCGGAATCGATTCCGCGACAACCCAAGACACCAGCCAGACGAAGAGGCAGATGGCCACCCAGGATCCGATGGACACCAGGTCGCGGCGGTGCATCTTGTCAGATCCCCGGAAGAGCCGCACATAGATGTATTTGCACGCAACGTGTCCGAGAACGACACCAGAGAGGATGGTCTATTCATGGTCAGTCTTTGAAGGGATGGCAACATGTGAGAGTTAACGAACCGTAGGAATAGCAAGTCCCCAGGCGATCTTGCTCATGATAGGACTCAAGGACGAGATAGCCGGGGACTTGACGTCGGGGCCGATGTAGTTGTAGATGATCATTGAGCTGACAAGGTACAGGACGGTGTCGATGATTTGCAACATGGCCAGGGATTTGTTGAAGGTACGTGGATCCTCCGTCTCGGACATGAAGCCGAAGTAGGCAACATGGGCCACTGCGGGAGAGACATTAGCATTGTTTACCCTGGTCACAAAAAGGGTGATCTTGATTCAACGGATTGCTGATCATGGTCGTGTTCATTCAACGTACAGTATGCAAAGATGATGTTGGTCACGGCCAGGAAACCCTCGCGGAAGCTAACTTCCGTAGTGGCATGAATAGGAATGTGGCCTTTGCTCTCCACTCCGGCAGAGATCATGGTCACTATCGTGGCAACGAGAACACTCAGGAAGGCTGAAAAAGATATTAGCCATTTGATCCTGCGCAAAAAAGACCACGGGCAACGTGATTCAGGTCATACTCACAAGCAACAGACATCCAATACACCTTGTCCATAGTACGCGGCAAGGCACCCAGGAAACAGATGACCAGACCGACAACACCGAACACCAAGGTACAGGTGCCATGATCCGTCAGCACATTCATTAGAATGTTAAACGTCAGGATGTTACTAGCCATAAGGAAGATGAGTAGCAGCAGCTGGCCGAGACCGAAAATCTCTCGGCCGGCACGACCCATCAAGAGTTCGCCAGCATCTCCCATACTATGAATAGAAGGATGGCGCAGTTTGAATTGGCCAATGGCATAACCCGTGTACCATGAGAGAGCCGAAATGAACAAAATCATAATAGCAGCGCTGGTTTCCCATGTCAGTAAGAGTGCGTCTTAGAAGCCTTAGAGCATAACGAAGTACATACGGTACCATCCCAAGCGTGGCCACAGCAGACGGCAGAGAAAGAATTCCCACCGAGACATTCTCAGCAATCATGACTGCCAGCGGGGGTTAGAACGTGAGATCAGACATGTTCGAGGGCCTATGGAAAGCCGAACTTACGCATGCCACAGTGCCTGGTATGCAAGGGTTAGCCAGATCGAACATCACATCCCTAAGAGGAAAGTCGACACTCACCACCACTTCATGGTGCGATATTTCACCTCCGCCGTCTCCTCATTGCCAAACGGCTCGAGGTCCTTTGCGGGCACCTTCTCCGCATCCTTCCTATCCCCCGCATACGATTCCACATCACTCATAGTAGGAAAAAGTTGATAGATCTCGGCCCGTCTGCAGAACAGGATTTTTTCGGAAGAAGAACAAGCCAATTGAATAAAATTTACGCAGATATGCCAAGCCCAGCCATCTTGAAGATTATGCGATGAGACATCGGCCGTTTGCAAAAATTCTGATCGAGCCTTGGGTGGAGCCCCGCGGCAAACCCTGACCGCCTGCCCGTTCCTGGTACAAAGATCGGCGTTTCCTGCCGTTTCCCGCGGGGAAGTAAGGGGGTCCGGCAGAAAATTGGGATGGACGACCAGACACTGGATGAAAACTGGTGGGAGTGGGTTGGTGCTGACTAAGATCGTGCAGTTAGTTGGTTATACGAAGCTTAATCTTAGGGGCAGATCGGTGCTTTATTTGATATCAAATCTCCCACTCTTCCTAAGACTTTAGCTTATCGGGAAACCTCTGTCTACCAATCTTATCTAATGATGTCATTCTCGGATCGGCGGATAAGCACTCAAGCAGGTAAGCGAAGCCCATGTATGTAGGTACCTCAAATAATCCAGGGAGAAAACAAAGGATCATGAAGAACTATGCTCAGACATACATGCGTACAATAGCAGGTTATTACCAACCCGACTGGCTTGTGGCTCATCCGACTCCGGCAATGTATCCGATAGTTTAACCGGGCAGCGAGGAAATATATTCTCGGTACAATGTACACTTCTCAAATTGAAGAAATAACATCGCCATTTGACCGGCGATAAGCTGACGGCGGTAAGCTGAGTGAGATGAGCCTTACACTGTAGCATGGTTTTGTGGACCCGATGACCTCTTTCTTACTCAAGTCTGGCTCAACAAGACCCTTTGACATCAGCATCATAGAATTATGAGTATTAGCATAAGCCACGTGCGTAGTAACAAGCCCACTCCTAGTTTCGGATTATTCTTCCATATTCATAGCGGAGCCGCGTATCCCCCTTGCGGGGCAAAGACAGGGATAGTATACTGTCAAGATTCAGAATGATGACATAAACATACACACAACCGCCTCTAGAATACCGTCATTGCCATTCAGCTGCTCAGATTGCCTCTAGATTAAGTTTATAATCCGTGCGGGCATCATCATCTAAAATATAATTAGCGGTTTTAGCCGGATATTACTAGTACATTTGTTTGAGTACATAGACCTTCCTGTGAACTAGTAGTGTAGTCACGCTATATCCTGACTTATGTAACCCTAGGAATCGATGTTTGTCGAAGGCTTCAGGGGCGAACTATTTCCGGATTTCTACAGCAGATCTCACCACATTACATCACAGATGTAATAGATCCAGCATATAATTATAGAGCATGATAGGCGTACTGTTGGTGAATTCACAATATTTAAAGAGCCAGAAGTCTCCGGATACTGAGGACCTGGCTGATCCAGATTCTACATTCATCTATTTCCATTTCTCATCGTTATCGTTAAGACCGAGCACATATTCTACCAAGGGAGCGAACAAACTATCTTTCATCTGTCGTCAAATATGGTATCGAAATCGGAGTATCGTTCGATCGTTGAAGAGCTGCTTTCCGATGTCTCTCTGACACGGCGCACCGACTTCAGAGTCGACGCTACGATTGAAGACGGTATAATTCAACATTTCGCGAGTTACGGCCTCACCTCCGAGCGGATGGTTGCCATTGCTAGACGGAGTGCCGAATGTGGTGAATGGTTCTTTCCTTTCCTTCATGGCAAGAACAAATTTGCTGCAACGTTGTACACATCAATGTTCTTTGCCATCGACGATCTCAGTGAAGAGATCACCGAGCCTCTCGGTAGCTTCTGCCAAAACCTGCTGCTCGGGCGGCCACAAAGCCATCCTGTTCTCCAATTATGTTTCGACGTTACTTTGGAGATGAACAAATTCTATGGCCGATTTGCCTCCGACATGGTCCTGAAATCCATGGTTGAGTTTCTCAGCGCTAATCTGGTGGAGGTTAAACTTCCAGGCAAGATTACGCCACTTACGAGCACTCCGAGCTTCCCTCGATACTTCCGGCTCAAATCAGGAATGCCCGAAGCGTTTGCCTTCTTCCCCTTTCCAACTCTCGACAATGGAGAAGATACTCTAGACGAGTATATCCTCCTCCTGCCAGATTTGATTGACTTTATTGATGCTGGCAACGACATACTATCTTTCTACAAGGAATCAATCTTGGCGGATGACAGGGAAAATTGCATCCATCAGTACGCTGACGCACATTCCGTTTCGCCGATGGAGTCGCTCATCCATCACTGCGAGTTACTGAAAGAATGTGTGAGCAACTTACGCACCTCTCTGTCGAAGTATCCTCGTTGGAAAGACAATGTGGAACAATTCATCCAAGGCTACTTAGGGTTCCATATTGCATGTGACCGCTACCATCTATCGGATTTCGCGATCTTTGACTCTTGATTCATTTTTGATTCATTTTTTGAGCTATCCATATGTACAATGACTTCAACATCTTTGAACTTCCATTTATTTGATCCTGGGCTTTACTTGCTAGCTGTTTGTCACTTTGCCCCGGGAGCGCTCTCCCTGGTTACGAGAGTTACCAACCCCGCGATCTATCCTACATCTATACACAGAATGTTGACTATTGGAGCCAGCTTAGAAGCCTTTCCAGAGATATATGTTAGATAAATAATTATAGTAAATATGAAAATCTTCTTGTTTTTGAGCACAATACGTCATCTCAAAAACTAATTAACTATCAAGCGAAAAGAATAGCGCTTCGCGAGTTCATTAGACATAGTGATTGACTTTCAAGTAAAGAAATTGATATTTATACGACAATAATTAGCTATTTAGAGCACTGTGGGTCGTAATTTTAGATTTTTAAGATATATTTTTCAAAAGTTGCGATTTCTGCAGTGTAATCCATAGCATCGAGCTTTTAATTATGACTTTCCGCACTTTCGGTTTTCTTTATTTATTTTATCATTTTATTATTGATTTATTTTTGATATGCGCTTTGTTCACTAGCAGATCTTTCAAGGTAGAAGTCAGGACAAAACACTCTGCAGTTGACGTGGATCTATTTATGCCCGCGGCGTAAACGTTTATAGGGCATAAACTATAAGACCGTCAGCCCCACGAAACTGATGAGGTGAAAAACAGTCATGAAACCTCAAAAAACAAGGTTGTTCACTGTCAAGGGTGTATCATTTACGAAGCCCGCGCATGCATCTCTTACAGCCAGTCGGCTCAGACCTCTTGGGTATCAATGTATATTACTTCTTGCTGGTTGATTCCGACAGGTACTATCATTGTTTGACCGACTCTTCAACAACAAAGCTAAAGTGCAGATGGATGCTACAAACAATATGTGGTTGGTTGGGGAAGGTACCAGTCACTGAGAAGCCTGTAGAGCTATTTAGAAGATAAAATTATCTTATTCTGGGGAGTCAAATTCCTACATGTCGAAGAGGCATTTGGCCTGGTTTCTGAGAACAGAACCAATAAGACTTGTTCTAACGCAAGGGATATGCAAGGGTGTGTCACTATGTAGGTTTGCAGCCTTCTTACGAAGATAAAGTTAAGCTGACTTGCTTGCTCCCAATGTGCTACTGGGACTTTGAGAACAATGTGCTTTGAGTTCCGGGGTGAGATCGGCTAGAGCTGGGTCCTCGTCAAATAATATCACTTCATCTTGTTTGATATCCTGCTTGGTTTATATTGGATAATTCGTCTCTTCTATACTGGGCTTAGCATATTTTCTACAATTCCATAATTCTAGCGAGATAGTGAAATAAATAGTGCAGTTTGTCCTGCCTGGGGGGGAGCAGATGCGTGAAGTTCCGACTAATGCTCGACCGAGTCTGACGTGTCGGCGCAGTGCCAGTTAAGTCACGTAGCTTTAAAATATATCGAAGTAAGTTCATAACGCCCCAATGCCATTCAAATTTTGGTGAAAAGTGCTTTCCGCGTATCTCGCACCGGGTTCTACTCAAAAATTGGGGTCTCGCACAGAATTATACCCACTTCCATCAGTTATCTATGTTGAGCTTTTAGATGATGATAAAGGCACTCGAGCTTCTGCAAACGCAGAACCCATCAAAGCTCTGAGCTCCTATGGAGCTTGTCGAATTCGGGATCATAGCGTCCCACAGAGTGTCATAGATAATTGCTTTGCAAAGGTTAGCTGGTCCCCTCCGAATGATTTCCTGTTTTTCTTGACATTGTTTGGAGAATTAACTATTGAATTAGTAGAGCTTCTTTGAAAGACCCCTAGAAGATAAATCCGCAAACTACGCAAATTCGGGCGCAAAAAACAAGTCCCGATTTGTGCCATATATCAACGAAAAGGTCCGCGGAATGACACACTTGGACGAAACCCTGGGATTTCAGCACGGTGTCTATGAACTGGTTGGGAAATGGTCTGCACCGGGCAACGAGCTGGTGAATGCTTCAAAGGATATGCAAGAGGTATATCTTTGTTCCTTCCATTTTTCTCTCATCATCTATGAAGCAGGAGACTTACCGGTGAGGTGGAATATTAGGAGTGTAATCGAATGCACGTGAGCTATCTTAACTGTGCCTCTTCGCACATGAACCTACCTCAGTCCCTGAACAACATACCAGCAAACGGAACTAATTCTTTGCTCCATATTACTACTACTTCGAAGATGAAAATGACACTACTACACTACGTGTTCCTCCTCACATCGACCCTACAACCATGCTGTTTTGCTTTCAAGACTCGCACGCAGGTCTCAATGTCGCAGACATGAGTGATTTCACAGGAAATATATCAACTACAGCTGTTCAAGACACCGCGCGCTTCGTTCCGGCCAATTGCAAGCTTGGGGAATTCTTGCTTCTGGCTGGTCATATTCTGAGGAGACTTGTCAGTGAGATTAAACACTCGGTATATTTTGTGGAACGGCCACTCGGTACTTCTGGATATCATTTGAACTACTGGATTTCTGACCTGGATACTAACTGTGACTTTGGAGAGAAAAGGGAGGACGTGGCAGAATACCTGGCGAGAGTGTTCCCAGCACCATTGCGGAATAGTTGAGAGGCAGTTGAAAACTAAAATTGCTCGCTCGGTAAAATTGAGTTACTTTGGCTTCTTTCGTTGATCATTCTAGATAGTTTCTCAAAACCTTAGTTGTCTTTTTTTTGCGTAATCTTTGCATTATCTTATTAAAGTAGGCCAAGAGCTTCTCGTCGACTAGAGCTCGCCGGGTCCAAGTACGGACGTTCACCGATCCCTGAGGCCCTATGACCTACTCGTTCGCCATCGATATCAATATTCTGAGTACCCGTATGAAAGACAGATCGGTTGTCCCAAATGGCTTGTCATGTCCTTGATTAGTCCAAAACATTGAAAGCCTCGGAAAGCCATAACTTACCAACATCGTTCGGACTCTGCCACCTATTTCGTACCTGCAGATCATGGTTGCCCGTCATTGAGTCCATAAACCACCGCAGAAGATTCTCGCTCTCGGTCGGTTCCAAGTCATTAATCCGCTTTACGTGTCGCCCTGCGGTGAATAGGCTCTTCCAGCCTGCCACGGGGTTTGTACGGATTACCGGATGAGCCGCTGTGGATTCGGTGTTCTCTGGAGACCCTCGAGGTTCGGTGTACAGTTGATAGTTCATTTTTTTTGCAAGATTTTTGTAGCTCGGCTGGGTGCAAGTGGCAGTCAAAGTCTCAAGGAATCGCTGATATGGTTTTGAGATGCGATCGTAAATTTCGTAACCAGAGGCCCACAGAGTGTCTATGACAAGCATTAGCTGTACTCGCGTTATAATGGCTCAAATTAATTACTATACCTCCACCTCCACCTTTGGGCAATTCCACGAGGCGCAACAAGGAATAATCACTGGGAAATATTTCATGGAGTATGTCCGTGTGCCATTCCTGGCGGGCACTCTGTCTCTTGACAAACCTTTTCGATTTGAAGACCATTTGATCCTGCGCGGTGCTTATGATATTTAATTTGTCGTCATCCCCACCCATTGGCAGTGCAGAGTAGAATAGTGGATGGATGTGCAGTTTAGATGTCTTCGGTTTGCTAGTCAACTCTCGCAGTCGCTGGACTAGGAACTTTTGGAGCTCGTCAGTCAAGTCGTTCTGTTTGCGGAAGAAGACTACCCCTCGTTGAGATACTAGAGGGCTTAGCATGGTGATCGTATCTCAACAACCTGTCGCTACTTACTCATAATTGCTAGATCTCTAAGAAACGTGTCGGAGTCGGGTGTCTCTATCAAGTCTCTAAGGGAAGCATCTGGGAACTCCCTGCCAATAATAATCGGGGTTACATCAAAAGATGTGTATTTTTCTAGGGCACCAGATAGATGCAGTGGACCTTCGAACAAGCGCTCATTATTATCGCCGGTATTCAGACCTTTATGCATCAGTTCCGAATCTGTCACAGTGCCCATTTTCGCATCCGGATTTCCGTAATCTCTATTAAACGCTTGACTAACGGATTTGATATATAAGAGGATAACACACAACCCAGGGAATATGATTCTAAGTCATGAGGTTTAGTTTTGACTGCTTGGGGTTGAGTTCCGGTGTATGTTGGTAACACGATATTGGAAATCATGCAGTTATACGTGTCTATGATCAGATGACTGAAGAGGGGTATTTAAAGATATTCGGTCGATTTTCGAATGTTATTGCAGCAATATTGACACCTCTAAAAACCATGTTCAGATGAGGCCATTCCTTTGGACCCTAATGGTAATATTTATCTCTATGTTCCTAATCATGTTTGCTCGTACCCCAAGGCGTTGTTTTTGTCAATACCATCACCATTTAGAACTATATAATCCGGGGGTCAAAGAGACAATGCTCGGTAGTGAATAGAGTTGTTACCCCCAACCAGCCCTACCAAGCCCCTTACATGACAAGGAAAAGGGGAAAGAAAACAAGAAAAAAAAAAGAAAAAAAAAAGCCTTCGGGTCTCCCGATAACAATGCGCGGAACGAATGCTAGGATAATTGCAAAATTAAAGAACCAGTCCTACAACCTATATGACCCCTTTCTCGGTGTGATCGAATAGACTACAATGTTAAAAGCCTGGAAAACAAAATGCCTTTTCGAAGGATCCATGCCATGTGCTTCTGCCGGAGTTGTTTTTCGCCCTTCTTTGCGGAGACTGAATTACGCACCCCTCCTGGCCTTGGCTGTTGGACTTGCCTGGTGCTAACTGCTAAGTTGCTCACTCAGGATTCCACGAAGGCGAAGTGGGTCGTGGGGTCATAACCACTCCTGTCGGATCGGCATCCGAGATAACAGCAGCCCCGACGGCCAATTCCGAGGCGGGTGCGGCCTTCAAGTGGAGTCTAGGATTTCGGTCGGTGGGCTCGAAGTGGGTTCGAGAGGGGGAACAATGCACCGGTACGGAGTAGGGGGTTGGATAATATCTTTAGTGCTGGCACAATTTAAGCTCCTTTGCAGAGAAGGTGTGCTGGGATTAGTTATGGAGGCAGAAATATTAATACGGTACATACATACATACATTGTTTGATTCTGGAAGAGCAAATGATCATTAACTACACTTAAGTTCTTACTGTACCATCAGGAACGGAAAGGTTTAAGAGTATAACAAATTGATAATACAGACATTAATATACAGCAGTCAAACTAAACATTAGCCAGTGGACTACTCCGCTACCTAGTCGAACGCCGCCCAGCACGAGCTTTTCGCGTCGGCATCTTCCCACCCCACGCATTTCCAGCAATGCAACAGTCCCTGTGGGTCATATTTCTGCTTCAACTTGAGCAGCTTGCCGTAGTTCTCCGAGCCCCACCAAGCTTCTTGCCAGTCTTCGGTGAACGGGTTAGCCTCGGGACTGTAGGCCCCGCTACCGGGACTAAGATCCTCAAGGAGGCCTGTCATATACTTGAGCTCGTCCACTTTCTGCTCACGTGTCTGCAGCGTGCTGTTCCAGGCCCAGAAGCCGTCGGCTCCGAGAGACCAGATAGCCTCCCGCCAGGCCGGAGTAGCCGATGTCGACTTGGCGTCTTTGTAAAGAAGGGGTCCCACAACCGGAATATACACGCTTCCACCCTTGGACAGCAGCACGGAAAAGAAGTTCATCAGGTCAGCGCGACCGCGGGCAGTTTCAAACACCGATTGCGGGATCAGTCGCGTCGCTGCGAAGTGAGTATTGCCCACAGTCACGGCGTTCGCCGCGACGTATTTCTCGTAGAATCCGTACCACGAGGAGAATTCTTCAATTACCGCTGTTCCGCCTTGCGACTTCGCATACGCAACCACGTCCGCGAGCGACTCCTTTGCCTCGGATAGGGAGAGCAACGGGGTGACGTTGATCAAAGAGTTGCTGTTAATGTGGCCACCCCAGCCCTCGTGGGCCCATTTCACGGTGTTGTTCACAAGGATATCGAGGAAGGGGAGCACATTGCTCGAGTTCGACTTCAGAGGGAACTTGATGGAGGCAGAAATCAGACTAACGCGCGGTTCCACGCGGTGGGTGCTTTCTAGGACGACGCCGAAGGTGCCACCTCCGCCACCGCGTAGAGCCCAGAACAGGTCCTGGTTTTGACACTCGTTGGCGATACGGTAGTGCCCGTCGGGAGTGACAATCTTGTATTCAACGACATGATCGATCCCCAGCCCATATACCGGAGACAGAATGGAATGACCTCCTGTCTGTACCCATCCACCCGACACGCCAACAGTGGAAGAGTAACCACCGATGAACGTCACATTCTGAGCATTCGCAAAGGTATAAACTTCGTCGAAGTTCACACCAGCCTCGACGGTGATCGTGTTGTAGGTCGAGGCATTCCGGACACTGCAGCCGGTTGGTGAGAAAGAAGAGTTGTAGTGCATCGACTGAAGATGTCGAGTCCACAAAGAAAGAGTCCCTTGGCCACTGCTGCGACCCAGGAAATCATGGCCACTGTTCTTGATAGAGAGGCGGGTACCCGAACAGCGAGAAAACTTGAACGCCTCAGCCACGTCTTCGGGACGTTGAATCTCGAGCGTTAAAGATGGAACATTGCCCTGTCTGCAATCGCCTCCGAGTGCTTGAAGGTTTGTAGGGTCGGTGTTGTCAAGTAGACATTGGTTGGAAGCGTCGGAGGCGCACGCTTCCACCTGATTGTACATGAAGCCATTGGCGGAATTCGACCTGAACAAAGGATCGCTATAGTTGCTTTGAATCACTTGGCAGGCGGCTTGATCCGAAGCCACAGCCGTACCATTATATTGAGAGAAACACGGTAGGGATAAAGGCCTCAATGGATGAACGCGACCGCCAAGAGTTGTGTTGAAGCTGTCCAAAGTACAGCTCTCCCGCGCGGAAGCACTGCTCAGGAGATGGACAGCAACGAACAGGATAATCGAACTCTTGGAATGGGCCATCATGGGGACCGTTCGACAAACTTGAGACAATAGAATCTGCGAAGAGAATTTTTCGGACAGGGAACAGGAATCCTTAGAGCTTAAGAGAGGAAACAAGCCCGCGCGATTCGGACCCCCCGGAGCAGATCGTTACCTGTCAAGTTTAGTGTCCCTTTAGATGGATTCTGATCCCTGCCAGAGGTTGCATTGGCGCATCTCCCGGGTTGCGACACGTTCAGTTAATCTAACAATTTAATTAATCGGGTTCTTCCAGGGGAGCGGACAGAAAATGTTTTGTTTTGACTTGCTTAACTTTGGTGGTGCCTGCCTCGGAACACCCCCCCCCCAGACTTATGTCCGAAGCACATACAACCCACACTCGTTTCTTTTAGATCGAGTTTGATCCCTCGCCATAGAGTCCTCTTCATGGCTATTCGGGACGCCTACTGGGGAAATGTTCTCACTATTGTCCCCGTGGTCGGGGCAGCGGTCGCAACATTCGTGTACATTCTGCGACTTGTCGCATGCCGAATGTCCACGTTCGGATGGCGACTGGAGGAGCTACTAATGGGGATCGGATTGTTTCTATCTTATGGAGCGACCGCCTTTGTCATTTACAGTTAGTATGCGCATCTTCATATGTCTATTGCGGAGGCTTAATGGTTGTGCAGCTGCATTCAATGGTGTGGGTGTTCCTGGTGACGAGCTTCCACAGGATGAACGGATTCGCCTTCAGTTTGTAAGTTTTTATATGTCTGTTTACCTGTCGAAATCGTGCCAACTATTTTTAGGGATCCTGGATGATCCAGAAGTTCTGGCCCCCGTCAATGGCTTTCGTGAAACTTTCTATCCTGGTGTTCTTGAGGCGATTGCTAGGGACTCTCAGGTCGATCAGGGTTGGCGTGACCTGTCTCATGGTCTTCACCGTCTGTTGGGCCTTGACCGAATTATTTGGAAATATCTTCCAATGCTGGCCGGTCCAGTATTACTACGATACCCGAATGAACGGGCACTGCATGGCTGGGCAGACAAAACTCTTTCAAACATCTGCCGCATTGTCTTTGGTGGAAGACATGATTATCTTAATATTGCCCATGCCAGTTGTCTGGGGACTGCAAATAACCACTCGACAAAAATTGACACTCACGGTGGTTTTTTCTCTCGGTGCACTGTAAGTTCCTCTTTACCATGCCCTACGTTATTATCTCTAGGTTGACAATTATATAGGGTTTGCATTTTCAGTTTATTACGAGTCATCGAATTCAATAATTTCCATACCAACGACCTTGCAGGTTAGCTCCTCTCATGGAATACTGTTTTTGTCTTTTGGAAAGCTAACAAGTCTCTACACTCCAGCATCAAGCGCGAAAGAGTCTATCTGGACCACTCTAGAACTCGACGTCGCCATCATCTGTGGCTGCCTACCGTTATTCAAACCGCTTCTGCATGGCTTCCTCGGAAAAGTGAAAGGCCAATCTACTCGCACCTCCCGCACTCCTCGTTACATGCACAGTGCCAGCCAGACCCCCGACGGCTTCCATAAGATCAGCGATCCTCATAATCTGAGAGCGAACAAGAATGTGACGGTGTCAACCGAGCCAAGTGGGAGATATAGTTCGGACGTTGAGTTACGTGGGATCACGGTCCACACTGCGATCGAGCAGGACGTGGAGAGTCGATCACTCAGTACAAGCTCTGGTGCTGTGGGGAGATCGTGGCCGCATTGATCAACGGGGAAAATATTTTATGGGTCGGCAGTATCATATAGATCGCCAAGGCGTAGGTGTTGGCTTGTTATTTCTTTTTTTCGTATGTCATTGTATAAGTTAATAGAGAACCTTAGACATAATGCATTGGGTGTGCTTTAAAGCCCGTGAACAAAAGTCTTGTTGCGAATGAAGTAGAAGGGTCATAGAAAACCAAGTGAATCTTTTGTTAGTAACGAGCTTGGTGTTAAATATATATTGACAATCATATACATACATAGACACCGTTATAGATTACACTTCAAAATTGCTCGTTCAACTAAGACCCGAGGGCCCATTTGGACGCGAATCATTTTGATTCATTTTCAGCCTTGCTGTCCTGGCGTGTTCTGGGCTTCTTGGTCGGAGTCTTTTCTTGACCGGAGGTGCGTTTGGTTCCAGCCTCGGCCTTCTGATTATTTTGCTTCTTCTGACCCGTTCCCCCCTTGCGGCCCTTTTGAGCCTTGGAAGCAATTTCGCCATCAGACTTGCCATCTTGGTCCAAACCATTTTCCTCTCGATCATCGCCATCGTCCACTTCATTGTCATCGGATCTAGATGCTTTCTCATCTTCTTCCAACTCATCTTCTTTTTGGTCATTCTCATGCTTCCCATTGTCATTGGATTTGGACGCTTTCTCATCTTGTTCCTCCTGTCCATTCTGTTCTTCGCCATCCTCCTCTTCTCCTTCCTTTTTAGTCTCTTCCGTCGCCTTTTTCCTTTCCTCCTGTGCCTTTCCAGTATTCGACACAAACTGCTTACCGTCCTTCGACTCCTGTTGTTTCTTCTTATCTGTTTTCTCCTTCTCCTTATCACTCATATTTTCCCACGCCTTCTTTGGTAGATAGCGCTTCTCCGTTCCATCCTCCTGTTTCGCAGTTCCCGAGCCTTCCTTCGTCTGCCATTCCTCTTCTGTCCATTGATTGAGACTCCGTTGGGACTCGTCCTTCTTTTCTCCTTCCTCCTTGGAGGTGTTGTAATCTCCCCCACGCTTTTTGTATTCGGCGGCCATGAATTGTGCCTAGATGTATGTTAATCATGGCCAAACGACAGACACCGTGAGTTCTAAGCAAGACTGAGAACAACTTTACCTTTCTGGCCGACCATTGTCCCGGTGCTCCGCCCTTGTCGCTCTGCTTGACTTCTTCCTTGACCTCGTCGCGGAGTTCGGGGTCTGTATATTTGTCCTGGGCGGGCATTTTGTGATTGAAGATGCAGTGATGTGGTAATTTCGTCTTAGAAGAAAGATATGGAGAACATCGAACGTAATTCAATTATTTGACACATTCATAAACTCAATTGGCACTGATGCGCGGCAGGGATTCAGAGTCGTTGAACATTTATACTACGTTAATACTGCCAGGGTTACATATGGACGGTCAAGTCGGTGACATCATCGGGTTTGCGCGCGTCATGATGACTGCCGACAATCCATCCTCAGACAAGATCTCCCAGATCTTGGTTCCAAGGAACTGGGACGCCAGGGATCGAACGCCTGGATCTTCTGGATTTGGATGGTCTTCTTCACGGAGGTATTTTATGTTGTGTTTTGGGGTGCATAAATTGGATGATAGTGTTGGATTAGTAACCAGGCAATTATGTACTGGATAATTAATTATGCATGGAAGGGCTGCAATGTCACACCTCCGCGTTTCACTGCAAGTTATGCCAACTATGAGCAGCAGATAATTAACTTATAGTTTGAGTCCATTGACCGACTAGCCGCATTTTTGGATTTAAGGCCACCTATCCGGAAGGGGAGAGGGGGAAAGTCAAATGATCGGGGAAATGAGAAAAGAGAGTTAGGTATTAGAAGAAAATTGAATCTCAAACCGAGGATAATAGGTGAAAAACATTGCGCCGTTATAATGGCTTTGTTCGCAAGTGTTAACCTTCTGCAGCGAGTGAGTAATACATACCCATGAGAATGCTATAACTTACACCCATTAAGTCCGCCGTCCACGCCTTTCTACCCAACAGCTTCAGTATGGACCCGCTAGACAGTAGCGTAATCCAAACACGAGCAGGAGACCAATAGCTCCCTAGCAAATGAAAGATTCTTAGCACTGTAGCGGGATTGAGGCTAACAATAGAGACCTTGGCATCAAATCAGAAGCTAGTGCAAAGACGCGGTGCATATAAGCCATTCGGGGCGATTGGCCCACAGATTCAGGGTTTTATCGACGAGCCACAGATTAGATTGAATTAGATTTACATGCGGCCTGGAGCGGCTCTAAATAGTTTTAGGTACGCTAGGGCTCGGAAGGTAGGAAACGGTTGTTTTGTTCCACCTATCAGCCACTGCGCTTGGAAACTGGTGCACTTTAATAAACTTTGTTAGATCTGACGTTGGCCTGCCTCACGGCTCTTAGATGAGCTGTCAAAAAGGAAGAACCGCTTGTGGATGTAATAGTTTGTTTATTTTTGGTTGCTGCTCATCGTACCTTGGGATACCTGATCAGTGCAATGAAATGTTCTCGAGGAATGTAAGACATACACTAAGAGATCAAAAATGGAAAATGCTACCGCAAACGATACTTTCCAAACTGTGCAGATTTGAGGGTGAGATAGGAAATTTTCACTGCGGGATCAGGTTCAGGCTAAATTCTTATAGCAGCCATGGCTAGTCTACGTACCTTATCCCGCTCCTGCAATGTCGTCCGTGCGTTTGGATAGATCTAGGAAGAGGCTTTGCCACAGGTTGGTAAGTTAGCCTATAAAGGCAGAATCCTCCCTCAGCATTTTCAACTTTCTCGATTAGTTGAGACATTGACTCCCGACACGTCATCTGCTGTTATTAACAGCAAAGCGACTGAGAACCATGCATCTATCAGCTCTTTGGGCGCTCGCGGCGTTCACTGCTGTATCAACAACAGCACCCTCCCAAGCTGATCCCTGGGACGTCCTTGCAGCGAAGTCTCTGACAAAGCAAGTTAACTACCATAACTCAGATCCAAATGGCGGAAGCAACTGTAACCCTCGAACGGCGAATGTTAGGCGCGAATGGTATGTCCCCTTCACTCGAACCTATTCCACATATCATATAAAATGAGCTCACATTCAACACAGGGGCTCTCTGAGCAAGAAGGAAAGAAAAAACTACATCGATGCAGCATTGTGTCTGGCTTCTAAGGCATCGAGGTCTCCTCGTTCATTTGCCCCCGGTGCACGAAACCGACATGATGACTTCGTTGCCACGCACATTAACCAGACGTGGTACATTCACGGGACGGTATGACTTTTCCTCATTTGAACTGTTATTCACGAGTTGGGAGTTTTTGTTAATAAACCCAGGGCAATTTCCTCACCTGGCACCGTTATTTCACTTGGGCTTACGAACAAGCTCTGCGCAATGAATGCGGTTACAAGGGCTTTCAGCCCTACTGGGCGTGGAATAAATACGCCGACGATCCGCTGAGTTCTCCGCTATTCGATGGCTCTCCGTACAGCATATCTGGGAATGGAGCATATATCCCGCATAATGATAGCGAGATCGCTCCCGGGGTGTTTATCCCGTCCGGAAGCGGTGGAGGGTGTGTTGACAAGGGTCCTTTCAAGGAGTGAGTCCTAAGAATTTCTTGTTTGTTGGCGAGGCTTATCTCATCCAACTAACCGATTTCATTATCAGCTGGGTCGTAAACCTTGGTCCTGTCTGGTCCAGTCTGAAAGTACCTGGAGTCGAGCCACAGAACGGGTCCGGACTGAACTATAACCCTCGGTGTCTCCGCCGTGACATTAATGTCAAAGCCGCAGAATGGACAAAAACCGACATTGTGATGGACCTCTTCAAAGAAAAGGACATTTGGGGTTTCGAGACTCTCATGCAAGGCATGGTCGCTACCCCCGGTTACCTGGGTGTCCACTCAGGAGGACATTTTACCGTTGGTGGTGATCCTGGCGGAGTATGACCCTTTTCCATTCTTTTCTATGCGCTCCAAAATACTAATTAATACCTTTACCGCATATAGGACTTCTATACCTCACCCGGCGACCCTGCATTCTTCCTCCACCACGCCGCTATCGATCGGCTCTTCTGGACTTGGCAGAACCAAGACCCTGCGAAGCGCACATACCAGGTTAACGGAGCTACCGGGTTTCAGACGTCAGATGGTGTGTCTATCAATGCTACTCTAGATGATGTGGTAGATATGGGAAGCTTTTTGGCGCCGCCCAAGACCCTGAGACAGCTCTCAGATACTACGGGGGGTCCGTTCTGCTACATTTATACCTAGTTCAGAAGCCTGTGCGGCAACGCCTCTCTACTTGGGTTGATATTTAATTTCGAATAGCATAAGTCTAGACAGAATCTTGAATAGAACCACGGGTATCATTTGCTTCAATCATACAATCAGACTACCCTTATCTCTCAGAACTTGGATTTATGCAATTTGTTTCACCAAATAAAACTGCTCAAATAGCCTTTGGGACAGACACTGTCGTTCTTGCGGCCTATGTTATAATAACTCTGTTAGCAGCTGTCAATGAGGCTACTCACGGGTGTCTCACCTTATTATTCTCTTCGTCCTCGGATCCTTCTTGCTGTAGACTAACCTCACCTTCTCTGACCGAACCATCTTCTCTCTGTTTTGAAGCATTCAATCGTCTTTCCCGGACCGCCAGAATCTGTATTACTACGACCAATATAAGCGCAGCGATAACAAACGCAAACGTTGTGGGAAAGCCCTTGCCTAAACAGCAGAGTATGATTAGCGTATCTCACAAACACCAGGAGGAATGAGGGTCAACTTACGGAATGACGGTGCTTCGGTCTGCGGGAAAATGAGAATGGGAAGCCATGCAGCGACCTATAACGCGCATGAGATGTTAGATCTGTCAGGGCAATGTATTGATGAGGGTTTACATACCGCATACTGGAATCCATTCATACTGCTGACCACCAAAGCCCGTTCTTCGTTGTCGTCGGCGCAAACCTCATTCGCCCATGTGTAGCTGGTTGAGATCCATGTTAGCTTTGCAATGTCCGGGCGATACGGAGTGTATTTGACTTACAATATAGCAGTCATCAGCTGGACTCCATCTGTTAAGAAGGCAAACTCTTTCAACTTGACGCTAGCGGGCCATGCTGCCAGTATACCGTTTGGAATAAGACCGTAAGTCTTTAGACCGGTTAGAAACACGACTTTTAAAGATAGGAAATCATAATAATATTCTTACCAACGGCAAAATCACCAGCGCAAACCTGTTTCCAGTGAAATCTGCTAGGAATCCCCACTGGATAACTCAGTTAACATCCGCAATCGCACCAAGCGGAGGCCCGCAAAGATGATAGACGTACCAGAACAACACAGAAAGCAGAAATAAGGCTCGTTCCTGTAGGAATAATATTTCGATCTGAGACCGAGAAATTTTCGGACTTCAGCCAAATGGCAAAGTAACTGCTTGCTGCGCAGGACGAGCCATATAACACGTAGCCCAATGTAAACGCGTACCACCCTGAAGTAGTGATGTTAGGTTCATCCATGTATTTTTGAGGGTTTGGGAACCATACGCCATTTCTTTGCCACACGGAGTAAGGTGGCCAACGTTAACTTGGTTGGAGGGGCCTTTCCAGATCTCTCAACCCGGTCAAGGCACATTTGAACCTCTTCGCTGGTGAGGAACCATGCCTTGGTGTTATGGGGAACATCCGGGAAACAGAAGAGTGCGAGTGCACCGACGGGGATAGTCATGCACTGCGACCAGATGATTAGGAAGGTATTAAACGCCTTGGTGAGGGATTCGAACTCCGCAGACAATGTAGAGCCATCGCCATCCTTCAAGGCCGTGGTTTCCGTTCAAATTCTTATAAACCGCAGCTTGCTATGTATATCAATCTGGTTAGGGAGCCATCCTGGACCACCAGGATAGGCGAATCTTACCAAATATCCACTGAAAGCAGAGCCCAGTGGAGCAGTCATGTGGAGGATGGCAATACGTTTTGCTAGTTTTCGATCAGTTGAGTGTTCACGATAAGAAATCGAAATTCTTACCCAGTTCGGTCTTGGTATACCTGTGTCTTATTAGCTTTCTCTCTCTCATACCCTACCCCAGACCTAGACCCAGGAGAGAACTCACCATGACCCCAGCACGAACAGCATGCAAGGAAAGAATGAACTTTCGAACAAGCCGACGAGGAATCGAAACGCATATAATTCTCCAACATTATGCATACCGGCTTGTGCTATCGTGAAGACTCCCCATCCGATTTCCATCGCCGCAAGCCAGTATCGTGGCCTGACTCTCTGAATGATCAGTGTCGAGGGGATCTGCATAATTGCATAGCCGACCGTGTAACATGTTTGCTGCTTCTTATGAGCCAGGTCCGTGGGAGTGCATGAGGGATTATCAATCTCTTACAGCATAGGTGTATTCATTCCCGTACATCCCAAGATCCTCTTGCATCCCACTGAACAAGAAAGTTAGCTTATCTCTCATCGAAATGCAGACGATGGTCAAGGGTCAATATTACCTGACGTATGCATTTGATAGGTTTGTTTGATCGAGATATTTCAACTAGAATTGACCATGAATGTCAGTTTTGGTCGATTTCCGTAATCGGACAATGGCGGGTTACCTACGAAAAACCCTAAACACCCGGTAGTAAGAAGCGCAATATCCAACTTTCTCAGTAACCATCTCTCCTCGGGTGATTTGAGATGAGAATCCGTGTCCCATATAAAGGATCTGAACTATGCGACCGGTTAGGCCTTTTCTCTGGTATAGTATAAGGGCAGAATAAGCATACCGAATACCATGGATTCTTTCCCATCCTGCACGCAACAGAATAAATATCAATAAGAAAAACGTAATAAAATAGAACACAATGACAGGTAAACAAGCGTTCAAGGACGATTCATTTATAAAGATTCCAAAGCAAACAAATATTTATTCTCGCTCTCTAAAATAAATATCATCAACCCCAACCATTTCCCAGTATCACGCGTGAGTGGTGTCATATCACGAAACACTGCATCTTCAACCAACCCCACATGAGATAGCGTCCATTGATATTTGCCGACAGCCCTGTTTAGCTTCAAATGGGGTTATCTCCGAGCCTTGGATTAATGTAACCAATAAATGCCGGCGCCCGACATTCCAGAGAGGAAAGTTGACGCGCTAGAGTCATCTGGGCAATGCTTCATGCGGGAAAGCTCTACAGCCCAGATGAACATTGCGCTAAGGCGAAGGCGAATATCTGCGAGACAGTGGTCTTATCCACTGGAAAAATTGATCACGTCAACCCCGCTACTCCAAGTCTGTCAACGCCCGGTTTTTCGGGGTTTCTTGACATAATGTTGAGACGGCGTTGGCCAGTCCTTTCTAGCATGGAATTATTTTCATAGATTATTTATTTCCTAGACTCTCTCAATATAAAATCTCTCCGATCTTTAAGCTTTGGATTTCTCTTCTTTTTCTAATTTTTCTCTTCCCCATCCAAATCGAAGTTGAAGGAAGAATCAAAAAGTGCAGGCAGGGGATGAAATTAGAAGGTGAGATAACACAGTTGCTTGACTCGGCCCAAGATCTTATTCTTACGTCTCTAGAGCGAAGCTCCGGTGGGTTCTCGGGGTCCAGTAGACATAACCCTCATTTCCTACGCAATGCCATACATATGCGTAGCAACGGTCGCCTCGATTGCCTTGATTGCAAAAGCAGTAGTCAATCCCTTATTCCCAATTCTCAACCCAGAGGACCCAAATTGGTATATCCATCCAACTGGCCAGCTCCCATCAACACACTGCCATGATCGCAGCGTTTTAATATCATCACCATTGGTGACACCTACCGCCTTACAGGCAATAACCCTCATTGCAAGCGATACGGAGTCTCCCTCTTTCCCGATCCTTTCGAAGGTTTCGGCCCGAAGAGACTGCAATAGCTTATTTCGCAGTTTATTTTCTCTCACAACCCCCAGCAGTCTCGTCAGAAAATAAAGAAACGCGTCTGGAGAGGGATAGTAACGCGATCCGTTCAGGTACGCCCTGCTCTTGAGCACTCCGAGTACCCAATTGAAGGAAGCCGCAATTTCACTCTCCCGGTCATGCTGGCAGAACAGATAGAGAACGTTGACGCAGACGACAGGATCCACTCGTGGTCGCGATGTATCTAAGTAAGCCTTTATATGATTAGAAACCCACCTTGATAAAATATTAACAGGATTAATGATACCATAAAAATCCCTTTTCACTAACGAAAGACAGCATATCATCCATGACAGACTAAACAACCTTTTTATCTGTGCCAAGAGTGCTTAAAGCGATAGATATTGAGTCCAGATCGTTGGGGTATGTTTCTGTTGTGAGTATGGTCACTCCTACTCAGTAGAGTATTAGAATAGAAAAATATAACACCGGAAATAGGTTTTGGCGTCCGTTACCAATGAAATAATTCCAAGTTCTATCCCAAGGTTCCAATTCGATAAGCTTCTACGTTTACAAAACTGGGGAGAGATATGGTAGCTGTTCGACCATTGTGGAGCACAACACCAGCTGCCAAGCATGTCTACGCCACCCAACCCAACAAAGAGAAAATCAGAATCTCCACAGTATCATGTACTCAATAGGCAGGATTATGACGTGTCATATCCTTTTTCCTTCCAATTATCAGGCAGCATGCTGTTATAACCTCGGCCCATGAGGATGAGCACTAACAGCATGATGTTATCGAAAAATGACAGGAAATCTGGCCAAAGAAACCGGGGCCAAGGTCTTGATGGTCCATCAGCACCTTGCGCCGCAGAATCCCTTTCCAGCGGCGTTACTTGATATATTCCAGGCTTATCTGACATTGCTCGCACCGCCTGCTGGATCTCCCCATGATGCCGTCTCGCCGTCTTCAATAGTCGTTGCGGCCGATAGCTCCGGTACGAGCCTTGCACTAGGGCTGCTACAGATCCTACTACAACTCAAGCGCCAGAATAAATCGATCCTGTTTCACGGAGAGACTCTCGAACCTGCTGTTCCTGCCGGAATGGCACTACTTAGCCCGATCACCGATTTCGCCTGCAGCATCCCCTCCCATGAACGAAATATGAAAACAGACATCATCCCCTATCTAATTGAAAACCGGCCCTATCTCGATCCCAAGTTTCCTACTTGCCCACTGTGGCCTACCCGCCTCCCCACGTGCTAATTTGTACTATGAAGCCGCCATGTCGGTTCACCCACTAGTTAGTCCGGCGGCCTGTGAGGACTAGTCAGGTTCATGTCCGATTTGGATGGCTGGAGGGCAAGAGCAACAGGTTGATGGCGCACGTCTGATCGCCCAGGTAGCTCATGGCCAGGGGGTGTCCGTGACTCTTCAGGAGTATGAGAACATACTACACACGTTTTTCTTTTTATTCCGAGATGCACCCCAGACTAAAAAGACACTAACTGACTGGACCAACGCTATTATTTCGTTTTCTCGAGGGGGGAGGCCTTTGTCGAGTGCTAGTTTTATCCGGGCGAAGGGGTTGGTTGAGGAGGCAATGGATGTGGAGAGATTGGTGCCTTTTACTGTTGCTGAGCTAAGTGACCTCATGTGGAAGCAGACGCTTCGCTTCAACATTCCCTCTTGTCGTAAAGAGTTTTATTCGAACCTGTAATTTTCTACGCCCGGCAAGGGAATGATAGGGGGCATGTTGTTTAGACAGAATGTCTAATATACATATCTGCGGGTTCTCACAGGCGGAACTGTACAGCTGGTCATTTGATATTAATCAACTGTCAATTGCTTATGATAACCTCCAGCGTCCAGGAATAATTGAATAACTAGCCTATATCTAAAACAAATATCACAGGAAGGTCCCGACTCTTGTTTCCGAGTTGAAAGTATTCGTTAAAATTTGGTCTGTTAGATCAGTATTGCTAGCCCAGCCTAGCTTCACACCTTCCTCTGGGATAATTCATGCGAGTCTAATCTTGAAGACAGCAGCACTCCAGTCCAGAACAGTAAACACAGCATCAAGAATGGTAATGCTATCGAGCCCTCTGCCCATAATCCACCTGCCAGATCTGCGTGAAACCGTGAAGTTCAAAAATGCCTGCGAAAAGTTCGCCATGCCGAGGATGAGCAACGCAATGATGTCCAGCTTTAAATCGCCATTTTTCGTGCCAGTAGATAGAAATTGTGGCGGTTTCCAAATGGCCCACACACAAAGAAAAGCCAGCAATGCGGGCGCGGAGTTCATCCCGCCTAAATACGACATGATATCATGATGCCTATCGGGAGTGTGGGTATATATTCCCTCGATTCACTGACTGATGAGCTTACCATTTATCACCTTCTCGTAGAGATCGGACCGTAGCATCAGAGGAGAGTCCTCTCCTCGATACTTTATGCATCATTAGCTTCTGTCAGAATCCAAAGTGGATAAGAGCACTGTTCGCAAGTACTTTAGCCTTCCCTGATGATTGTCCGATTTCACCATAACTTACCTGGTGAACCAAAGCTATGCATGTGTCCTGTTTAGCGAAATATCCCTCCATTTTGAGGAAAGTACGTACCCCATTTCCAGCATACAAGGTGGCAAGGGCCCCGTCGCTCGAGATGATAGACGACATTGCGGTACTTTGAGTTTCAATGTTGATGGTAGCCAAGCAATGATGTTGTGGGGGAAATTGCACATTTAAGAAATCCAAACTACAAGTTTTATGAGGCCCTTGACGCAAGTTGTAAGCACAAAGCCTCGTCTACCCTCGGCGTATTCTTAATACGCTCAGACGGCCCCTGCACAGGGTGGGCGGGGGTTTGCTTAAAAGGGCAACTGGGCTGCGTACCGGAAAATAAGGTTAGGTGGTATATGGCGAGCAGGTTCTCCAGCATTTACATCCTTATTCTGGTATTCGAGTCTTGCTAATAGAAAGAATGACAGTTTTTTTTTATTTTATGCTTAAGTAATGTATGCTCAAATTCACAGCAAAACTGCCGGTCATACAAGACATGTACCTTGAGCACTCCGTTACCCATACGAGGTGGATTGGGAATAGTAGTAGCAACCGAGGATTCTGGATTCACTTGTCTAAGCAACAACAGGACCCTAATCCCGTTCCTAATATGTCTGTTTCTTCGCGAAATCCGCACAAGTCGCGCCAAAAGCACAACAGGTGTGGCAAATTCTATTTTTTTCGCATCCAGTACCGCATTCCACGCCTCTATTATCCCGAGAAAGGTTAAGAGTGCAGGCGTCGCAAGTTTGGAGAGATTTGTTGTTCCCCTTCCTAAGCTGATATTGGTCTTGTTCTCCCTGTCCTTCATCCTCGAGCTGCATGCCGCGATTAGTTAAAACTTCTCGCATCCGAGTAAAGCCCATTAATCGTATCCACCACGTTAGACTGCGACCAAAGCGATCTTTGGGCTTATGCTTGAGAGGACTGTTCTTGAGGATTTGCCAGACAATTCTACAATAACCATGCTGAGCGGCCGCAAACAGTGTGAGGCCAAATCGATCCGGGCGATGAACGTCGCTGTCTCGCGATCTGAGCTCCTCAAAGAATGTCGTGTGACCCTCGACAACAGCCAGAAGAGTCCATGGAGTCCTGCCCATTCGATCCACATCGTCCCATCTAAATCTAGGGATCTGCAAAAGTCGCGTGAAAGCGGCTTTATTGCCTTGACTGATGGCCCAGGAGAGAGCATTTCGCCCGAAGCGACCATCCGTTCCTTTGAGAGATACGCCGCCCTGTAGGAAAACGTCTATCATAGCTTCGTTGGCCTTGAGTGCGGCGTGGCACAAAGGAAGCATACGCAATACGCCCTGCTCAATGTCGCCACCTGGATATTGGAGCAGCAGCTTCGCCATCTCCGAGTTACCACATGAGATAGCTACCCCCGTTGGAGTTAGTTGCAGTTTGTTTCTCGCTATTAGCATGTCGGGGTTGCTTTTCAAGAGCACATCCACAACTCCTGGTATGTCGAAGGTCCCAGAGTCCCGGGACGAATTGGAAGGGCAATTACCGAGTGCCACTGCATATTCCAGTGGCATTGCCCGTTGATTGTCAACGTGATCAGGCTTGGCTTTGTGGTCTAGGAGTAACTTTGCCATTCTCGGATTCCCCAAAACCACGGCCTTAAACAACGGCGTTTGACCATCCGAATACCAGGCCTCAATGTCGCTTCCCTCTTTGATAAGACGCTGCATGATGATCCTCCTCGCCGTGAGTCTTTCTTTTTCTGACACTTTGACCGCGGCTACAAATGGCCAAAGGGGTTAGGCCTTCAGAGTTCCTGACATTGGCATTGACATTTTGTCTCAGGAGCAAATTCAACACTGCGACCTGGCACGTCGTAATGGCCAGGAACAACGGCGTGTCCATATTCACATCTCGTGCTTCGATATTCGCCCCCTTCTCCAGCAAAAGCTCAATAACATTCGCATGCCCTTCCAGGGCAGCCCAATTAATTGCTGACCTTTATTTCTCAGTCGTATCGCTCTCGTTAATATCCTCATCGTTCTCCAACAACATGCGAACCACCTCTGTATAGCCCCCTTCCGCAGCACATATCAGAGGCGTGCGTCCAGCCACGAACTCTAACAACTTCGTTCTAACTGGCTCCTAGGAAGGAACGACGGAAGAAAAGGCTCTTTGATAGTGCATTTGCGCGATGATTTGCTCCATAGCGCTACTGTGATAGCTCATGCCGTTGATCTGGGCCCTTTCATCCAGTAGGTCTCGCACGATGTCTGCGGGGCCGAAGGCGCAGGCAATAGTCAGAGCAAGACGGCCGTCTTTGTCGTCGCAGTCGGTCTGGGCGTGTCCATTTCTTCTTCCGAATACTGTGATTTTCTTCTCTTCGAATTGAGGGGTCTGGGTTCGTTCTTGGGACGACATATTGCTTTGGGATTTCGGGGGATGCGAAAAGAGATTGAAAGATTCGTTGATTGAATATCTTGATAATTACTGAGTGCGATGGCTATAAGAGAGTATCTTGTGGCTTTCCTCCTCCGTCTATATAGATAGATCTTTATGCAAGGGGGTCTTGTAGATTAGGCGGCAAGACCCCGTTGCCTGTTTGCGAATATGTAGAGGCTTTCAACATATTACTGGGAACCTGCTTGGACTTGTGATACGTCCAAGAAGCCCTATTGCACAGCAGTTTCTGCCTGGACATGACGATGACCAGAAATTCGGTATGCTCCTTGCGGATTCTGGCTAGGCTGCGGCAGCCTTCTACCCGTAGCTTGCATATAGTCGCCTTACGAGCCTTTTCACTCCGGTATAATAAGGTATACACGTCTAATAGCTTTATCTTCCTGTTTTACTGCCCTTTTATTTTTATTTTTCGATCTTATTGGTAAAGCGAATTGGGTACAGGTTGAAGGATATCCCGGCTAGCTAGAGCTGCGGGATACGGGATGGCCTGGAGCCAGCCGGGCAAAACAATCCTTTGGCAAAATCAACAATTTTTTGCCGTGTTAGAATGATCACCACATCAGTGGCCTTTCTCATATGTTGCTTCAGCATCAAAGTCTGCGCGTAGTTTATAGTGAAATAGAAAAGGCTTCAAATGTAGTGACCTAAGCAAACCAGAATCAATATGATAGGTAGGTAGCTTCCATTAATACTGAGTGTAGAAGCCACACATTACGATGGAAACAGGCGAAAGAAATTACAGGTACCGGCTCCAGCTTGTGCTGTGTATATTACCTCGGATACATTCCTTATACGGGCTTGTTGAACTATGGACCGGGGGTAAATTAGACACTCCACCTCAACAATATTCACCTGTGTCATTTTCCTCAAGAAATGTCCCTATCAAGGTCGAAGAATTTAAATATGTGATCATGGAATATGGACTTTTAGCCAGTCGTAGGCATACCTTATCTGTGAAGTAGGTAACTATATATCTGTGTCAACGTCGTGGGGAAGGCCGTACTACCGTAGTCCACTGCAATAACAGAGGCGCATCGCTTGCAACACATCAACCAATCTCCATCGCATGGCGGCCGAGTCTAGTTTACGCAATATGAGCTAACCTGGGGATTTGCTACATTCGAGCTCAAAACGGGGTAGCTGTATGATAAATAGCCAGACAACGCCTCCCATTATCGATTCCCCTCTTCAACTTCTAGTCGAGGAAATATCTATATTCCCGAAAATTGCGATATACATCTCTCTTCCCTTCAAATCGTATCATCCAGTAAACCACCGGCACATGTGTACCCGTGCGCGAAGTTAAACAAGGATATCAGACTGATCCTTCCATCCTCCGCCGAGATGAGCTCCAGTCCACAGAATAATAATCAGGCAAATCGGGAGGCGACACTCCAAGATCTCAAAAGAGCCGACAGCAAACTGGCGACTATCAAACCCGAGGATCGGGCTGCTTTGAACGACGCGTTGACGGACCAAGCGACTATGATTCAGCTATCCTCGGCTGGGCGCTCTTCGCAGTACATATTTTCAAAGACAAGATGAGTGAATACTCGCATACCTAACACAAATTCTCCAAATTTAGTACATACGACCACAGGGTGTGGAGAACAGGGCTTCCCGTCCGCTCAGCCGTACTTAAGCCACACGCCGGCAGGTTAGTAGTTGGGTGGGTGACCACCAGCGAATCCCTGCTGTTGTATGTTTTTTTTTTTTTTTTTTTTTTTTTTTTCTTTCGCTTCCTTACAGCCATTTCTCGCAACTCGAGTCGAAGCAGAGTCTCTCGGCTTCCGTGTCGCTCGCTACCTAGCCACGTACAGCGCCAACAAACCGATATGGAACCTACGGCAATCTTCACTATCCACAGGAACGGACCTCAGTGACTCGCCCCACGCAGAAAAACCTGTCTCTCTTTCTTCATCCATCGCAGCCTTGACAAAGCTTTCCACTAGCGTCCGTTCCTGTGGGTAGTGAAGATTGCCGTAGGTTCCATATCGGTTTGTTGGCGCTGCATCCCCTATATTGCTCGAAGAACGGGGAATATCTTCTTGAAAGATATGCGCAAAGGAATTCGGAAATAAGTAAACTTGCATGCTCTTTTCTGCTGGATCACCAAGTGGATAATCAAATACCGCGCAATGCCGATCCAAGCGGTTGTAGCCAGCATTTATTTCCTCCAGCATCTGCTGTGGGTTTGGATGGTTCTCCATGATTTCCGGAGGAGGGGCACGATTTGGAGCACTTCGGTAGAATCCTGCGCTTTCAAGCCTTTCAATGGTGACTGTGTAGTCGTCGTCCAGCACCACAATCATGGGGGCCTACAACGATAGAAAGATGGTTAGCAAGAACATGACCGGTTTCATATTTTAGTATCAAAAGTGCACATTACCCCAACGGCAATGGGGACGCCAAGGTGCCACATTGCAAGCGCTCCCCAAGGAATCACAGCGAGAGGTTGAAGTGTTTTGCTAAGTCTTATTGAGAGCTTGTCGGGCTCGGTCTGTCTCATGCGTCTAAACATAGCTGTATTGGGCAATCCAATTCTGTCCGCTTTGTCTTGAGCGGGTGTAAATTTTTCCACGGAACAAGAAATACATATTATGATTGCCAGGAGGAAATTAAGAGGATGAAATATCATAGAAGGTTCGCGGCGTAGACTGGGTATTTAAAAGCAGGTCGATCACCCGCGATCCGCCATTAGTATTGCTTGGTTACCTCGGAGTTTCAGAATTTTCCGCTCCGAAGCTCCGGACAGGTTTAACTAATTCCAAGGCCTGACCAACTCGTAGGGTTTTAAGGGAGTAGTTTTATTGGGGTTGCCTCATGGGAGTCAACTGCTTACCTCTGGTGGTAGCTCATCATCTCTCACGCAGTCAAGACTCCATTTTCTCCCTCCCACCTTCCCTCTGTACATAGAAAATATTGCAATATACAGACACATTGCCTACCTATAAGGGAGCGCGGATGGGGCCCTATCTGACGCTACAGTCAAAGACTGCAGCGACAGGTGACCCATTACGGCCAAACCATACTCTCCTTTGTCCCTCTTGACTGCGCGAGGTCACCAATAAACTAACGTATTTCACTACCAAGCGTGGCACACCACCGAGCGTGACACCTAACGCGTTTTGGACGCGACCAAAAATCTCATCTAATTCAACCACCAACCATGCCTCCTAAAGCGCGTCAAAAATCAAGAAATTCAGCCGAGCAAGAGGGGAGAATCCTAACTGCTATCTCTGCTTTAAAAAAGCAAAAATTCGCAGTATTCGTGAAGCTGCACGTGTTTTGATATCTGCCATGAAACTTTGCGTCGATGACTAAATGGGAGAACTTCACGCTCAGAAACTCGCGCCAACAGCCATAAACTAACTCAAAATGAAGAAGAATCGCTTGTACAATAGATTCTATCGCTAGATTGACGTAAGACGCCTTCCCGACCTTCGCATATACGAGAAATGGTCAATCTTCTTCTTACTGCGCGGGATACAACGTTTATTCAGACAGTCAGAGAGAACTGAATCTCTACATTTATTAAATGACGTAATGAAATAAAAACACGCTATACTCGACGCTACAATTTTCGACGAGCGAAATGCGAAGATCTTAAAGTTATTAGGGAGTAGTTTGATTGCGTACAAATCACTATAATGCAACATGGGGTCGCACAGGAAGATATCTACAATTTTGACGAGACTGGCTTCGCTATAGGTCTAGTAGCTACTGCTCAAGTAATTACTAGAGCTGATTATTATGGAAAAGCATCTTTCGTACAGCCAGGCAATCGAGCATGGGTCACTTCGATTGAATGTATTAACTCTACTGGTTGGGCCCTTCCTCAATGTGTGATCTTCAAAGGGAAGGTCCATATAGAGGGTTGGTATCAAGATATTGAGCTCTCACGCGATAGTAGGATTGAAGTTAGTCCTAATGGATAGGCCCTGAGTTCCTGGCCCCGTTTTCGGGTAAAGAGGACTGCCTCTGTTTTCTCTGCGTCAAACTGGACTTTATGCATCTGGCCCCAGCTGATCGCTACTTCTGCTGCCCGCTGTAGCATTTCGCATGTTTCTCTCACTGAATACCCTGGGGCTAGAAGACCTACATCATCTGCAAATGATAAGCCTGAACCCCTGGTACTGCTGTCTCTATAGCCTCAAAGACCCCGCTGAGATAGATAATAAAGAGGATTTGGGACACTGATGATCCCTGGGGGACACCTGAGTTGATTGGCTGTTCCGAACAAGGACAGTGGCTAGTTACAGAATCTAGTCAAACATTCAGACTGATTTCGCTACCAGAGGTCCGAAAAGGTACCCAAGAATACCAGATATATGGGATCCTGCAATGTTGCGGTTTTCCTGACTTCTCATGGTCCAGTATCGAACAGGGCTTCCCGTCCGCTCAGCTGTACTTAAGCGAATCCCCGCTGTTGTATGTTTTTCTTTGTCTTTGTCTTTGTCTCTGTCTTTGTCTTTGTCTTTGGATTCTTGTATAGAATATATAGGGAAAGAATCTCTCTTTGCATAAAAACGCATGAACAGAATCATGTTGTGTCATAAACCCATAATATTTACACCATACTTCAATTCTCCGGAACCGACACCCCCGAAACCTGTTGACAGATGCTCAACAGTTCCTCCTGTTTACTCACATTCCCAGCCGCTGAATCCGGGGTATCCTCCCCACTAGGAGTGAAGAACGTCCCGCTCTTCAATTTCGCCAAGGGCCCTTCTCCAGCGGCCCACGCCGCCAGGGCCTTCGTCGGCTTCTCCAGTCCCCCGGGAGCCATCGTGCCTCCCATCTTCGTCCTCACCCAACCAGGATGCATGCTAACCACCTGAATCTCCTCGCCCCAGCGTCTCGCAAACGCATTCGCAAGCATCATATCGTGCAATTTACTATCCCCGTACGAGTGCGACTGCGTCACGTTCCGCAGGCTATTATCACCCCCATAGTGACTGTCCGAGCTCATATACAGCAACCGCGACGTCGGCCGCTTCATCGCACATGTGAGGATATACGGCGCTAACGTGTTGACCGCGAACACAGCGGAGATTTTTTCGGCTGTGATCTCGCGACTCGAGGTCCCGCCGAACCCAATGCCTGCGTTGTGGATGACCGTGTCGAACGGTTTCCCGTTGTTCAGGGCGTTGGCCTGTTCGGCGAGTTTCTTGGTCTCAGCGATAGAGCGTAGGTCGGCGATGAGGACGCCTTCGGCGTTGGGAACGGCTTGTTGCGTGGAGGCGGCGCGGTCGGCGTTGCGTGCGTGTAGAACGACGGAGTGCCCTTGTTCCACGAGGCGTTTGGCGGCCGCCAGGCCAATGCCGTCGCTGGAACCGGTGATGAAGATGCGGGCCATTTTCGTCGGGTTATTTTTTTTTTTTTTTTTTTTTGTGTGTGTGTTAAAATATATGTCTTGAAAATCAGTGTTTGACCGAGGTTGATTCTAGAATTCTTAAGGGGCATTGAGCTGGGTTAATATAAGAAATCGCTTGGATGATATCATACTAGAACGCTAGGACAGGGCCTAAGGGTATGACGTCAAGGGTAAATCATCCTCTCAGAACTAACTGACTGCCCTGCGCCGATTACAACCCGCGAGAGAGATTTGATTGAGACCAAGAAATTTGAATATTTCCGAACTGCTCATGGGTCTCCAAACAACAAATGAGAAACTTCGAGTATACCAGCGCTCTACGCCGTAGGCTTCAGCGGCCCAAGCCCCCGCTTTTGGTTAAGCTGCCGCATTCCGCCCGACCGGGGAGGAAAGCGCCTGGTCCCGCCCCATTCCGACGGGAGGCTTGGGGCCTAGGCCGTTGTATGTCTCTTAGTTGGAGAGACATGGCCAAAAAATTACAATGGCTCAGAGCATTGGATTAATCAATAGGATTTGCAGATTTTAAAGTCATAGCGTGAGGTCATGTCTATTAATCTTAATCCTATCAAAAAAACCCTCTCTAGCTATGCACATGGAACAAATCTAAAGAATGCGTTATTTAATGCAATCCATATTTGCACTCTCATTCGCAAAACGGGTCATCGCCTTTCCATCGAGCCTTAAGAATTTTAAAGCTTCCATTTCCTTCGCACCGAGACTACGGTAGAATCTCAGAGCGCGGTCGTTTTCTTTATAACAAAGCCATTCCATCCTCGAGCAACCAAGCTCTTCGGCCTTCTTTGCGACTCCTTGAACCAAGAGCCTTGCATAGCCTCTACAACGATACTTTGGAAGCACGTAGAGGTCCTCAAGGCAGATTCCAGACTTCGCGGCCCATGCGACGTATGTGGTAAAATAGAAAGCCATACCAGCAATCTCGCCTTCTGAAGCTTCAACGACCAAGGCTTTCCCATTGTGCGCACCGCTTACTTGTTTCTCGGGACTATCGGAATGTGTTTGATTGAATCCCATCGCATTTCTCATATCGGCTTCGGTTGCTGTAACAGCATCTGGAACATTTTGTTCTGCTGCAGTTGCCCGCATCATTGCCAGTAGAACAGGCACGTCTATAGTGTAGGTATTAGAGAGTGCTCTTAGAATATGTAAATAAGTACCAACCTTCGCGGGTAGCAGGCCGTAAAGTAGCATTTTGTGTCAGAGCCATTTCCAAAGGTATTTTGATGAAATAGTTCTTGATGAATTGCTAATTATGTGGTCGAAAGTGGTGTGGGACGCAAAGTGCGAGGCGCAAAGTATACTCTGTAGGATGTACTCCGTAGGGCGTAGGACGCCCCACGGCTACCAGTCTGTGTTTAAGCAAAAGTGGCTAGCTCTGACAGGTAAGGAACATAAGGCACTATAAATTATAACGGTAATGCTCGTAGTATTTTTCCTGGTGAAGAAGGAGAATGAGTTTATTATCATATCGACCATGTATTTAGTACCACCTAAGATATATCTACGGAGTAGTCGTGAACTACAGTATACCTGAGCCAGATTTCGGCGCTTTAGTCGAGGTGACTCTGTTTAAGACTTAATTTCAGCAATAATTTATGGGATAATTCCATACTATAATGAAAATTAATGCAATGATCCAACCAAACAACTTTATGGATTCCAGTCTGCCTATATAGTCCCAGATATCATGTGCCATCATGTGCCATCATGTGCCATCCTGACCTGCCCCACCAACTTCTCACCAGCAACTGCTTCATCATCTGCACACCATCCAACCACCCACCCATCATGTCGTCCGGAGTCGAAATTATCAACGGCAAAAAGACATTTATCCCTATTGGTATCTCTAGTCCGTCTATATCCCATCAGACTCCCACTAACCGACCCAGAAAACAACCCCGAAGTTCTCGCCCAACTATCCCGCAACCTCGGCGTCTCCACAACACTTACATTCCACGACATATTCGACCTCAACATCAACAATGACGCGCCCCAAAACTCCATCCCCCGTCCAATAAACGCGTTGGTTTTCCTCTGCGCTCCGCCCATCTTCAACCCCGTCCGCTCGCATCTAAAATCTACCCTCCCCACCTATACCGGCCACGGGCCCTCGGAACCAGTTATCTGGATTAAACAAACGATCGGAAACGCTTGCGGGCTGATGGCGCTGCTCCATTGCATCTTGAACCTTCAGGATGGGAAATATATAACGTCTGGTTCGCAGCTGGATGAGTTACGCAGGACTCTTATCGGGTTGCCTCCCAAGGAACGCGCTCAGGTACTCTACGACTCCCAGTTCCTGGAAGATGCGCACATGGATGCCGCTGTCCAAGGTAGTTCGAGTGTTCCTAGTGCGCGAGAACACGCGAGTGGGCACTTCATTGCGTTTGTGAAGGACGCGCGGGGGAAAGTGTGGGAGTTAAATGGAGGTTTGCCGGGACCGTTAGAGAGGGGCAATTTAGGACCGAACGATGATTTATTGAGTCCGGCGGGTGTCAGGTTGACAGTTGGGGAGTATATGGATGTTGCGAAGACGGTGGATGGCGGGTGGGGGATTTCAATCGTGGGTTTGGGGGTGGGTGAGACTTAGTGAGTTGGCGTCTTCTACCCACAATAATCTGAAATGTGGGGACGGGGAAAAGACGGAATTCCGGCTCTTCGGGTTGCTACCGATTTCATCAGGCTATCTACCTCCTGCTGTGACTTGATGAGTTCTGTGGGGATTTCCTTTTGGGTCCGGTTCATCAGTTGGGAGAACTTGAAAAATCATGAAAATGAAGCCCTGGTAGATATTCTCTCAGCTGCCTGTCAGAACCTTGGTCAGGTTTAACCAGCTTCAGCAGCATCAAGTAAAGAATGTCTCTTAACACTTGAGCTGCAGCCAAAGTCCTCCCACAAGGCCCACAGAATATAGGACCAGCAACGCCAAGACATTGCCGCCCAATGGGGAAGGTCGCATTCAAGCCGGACATTGCCGCCCGCTGCCGGTGATGCATCATTAACATCGGTGAAAAGTCTTCAGTCTTGACGTTTGAGGGCCTCACCGGTGGATACGTCAGCCGACTACTCCGACGTGCGCAAAGTTATGAAATCATGGCCCCGTCAGTGGTCACCAATCTCTTCCCAATTTTCCAATACTGTACGACCAAGGCCGCGCAGTTCTAAAATACACCAAGAAAGAAAGAAGAACAAGAAGATTTAATAGTACAAACGCACGAGAGATAGGCATGGTATAAGCAATGGTCGGTATAAGATAAAGTCCCTAATATGGGGGAAGGGACTTATTATACAGCGGGAAATAGCTGGAACAATTCGCATCCACACTTTCCGATATCACACTCGCGCCGGTTGGATTCGAAGAACACCCCAGACAGCCAATATCCGCGGTTCCATTGTTGTTGACCTCAGTCCATCCGGGCGCCTCGGAAGCGAAAGGATCCTTGGCGAAATTCGCCCACGAACCCTGCATGAATTTACTCAAAGCAATCTCGTCGTTGGTTGCATTCCCGCCAAAGATGCTATAAGTCCCGAACACTAAACCGATTTCCGCCGAATGGATGGCGCCAATGTTGGTTATGTTCAGCTCAGGAAACGTCCAGAAGTGTTGCGTATCCGCAAAGGTCGCGTTGAAATAGTATCGGTAAGTGGGGCTTCCAGCCTGTACATTGGCATGCGAGACTAGGTTCGTGGGGCACTGGAAGAGTAAGTATGTGATGTATTGTGCCATGTAAAAGAACAGAGCCTTGGGACTCTCTGCAAAAGCAGCAGCCAGGTTCCCCTGGATCGAAGCCACAAGTTCAGGCGACGTGAATGCGGTAAGACTTTGGACGATAATAGGGAATGATATACTCCCATTAGGCTGCATAGCGAGCTGAAAGTATGCCGCTGACAATATCGAACCTTCATAGGAGTTGCTCCCTATGATGGTCGGAACATCAGCTGATGGCTCTTTGCTGCGGGCATCCACAAGTGGGGTCGCCCGTTGAGTGATATTATCATTCACGGGCAAGAAGGATAAAGCATGCTTTTGGACAACCTGATGGATCAGGGAACCATTGATACTTTGCATGCATTTCAGTTCATCTGCCTCGTTTGTCGTCCTATTGCACCCGACATAACCGACGGCTTGTTTCCAGTTTGGTAAACCCGGATTATCCATGGGGCTCACCGACGCCTGTCCTGACTGTAAGATTGCCGCACGGTAGGGAACCGGATCCGGGGGTGAAGTGATGAGCCGGTCAACAGAGGATGCGCCCGAAGATTCGCCAAAAATGGTGATCTTTGAGGGATCGCCGCCGAAGGAAGCGATGTTAGTTTTGACCCAATCAAGCGCGAGACGTTGGTCATACAAGCCGACGTTCTTGGAGTCATCGTTGATAGCCGGGGAATTGGAAAACCCAAATACTAGAGATGCGGTGAGCCCGAGCCACAGGAGTTATCTCGAATCTCTTCAAAACACTTACTATTCGTCCGATAGTTGATGGTGACCAAAATCACATCCTGGAATGCGGCAAATCCAGAACCGTCATAGATGGGTTGTCCCGAGTGGCCATACTGCATTGCACCGCCAGGGATCCAAAACATAACCGCTTTATCTCCATCATCGGTTGCATTCGCTGGCGCATACACATTCAGGTACAGGCAGTCCTCGCTGGCTGAAACCACGTTGTCCCCAGGCGCTGTAGGCGAGCCACCTATGTTTCCATTAGCTCGAAATTCAGTTACCACGACGCCCGATCATTGCGCACTCGTCTGTTCAAAGCATCTGTCCCTCCACTGTGTGGCACGAATTGTATCATCTGAATCTTCCACTGGTTCAGGCGGCTCGAACCGGTCCGGAGGCGAAATAGCATATGGAATACCCAGGAACTTGTTGATTGCGGCTGTAGCCGTCGGCAGAGTGGTCGTAGTGCCAATAATTGTGGCTTGAGGGATGACCACTGTGGGAGCAGGGTTTGTTTGACAGTCTACATATTCGATAAAGGCGCAAAAAAGGAGGAGTAGACCGAGAGTAACAGAGTACGGCGTCATATTGATAGACGGGGTTGGGGATTGTCGCGGAGAGGAGTTGCAAAAGATGTTTCGGCAAGCGTCTGCGCTCCCGACCTCGCTGGATTTTATAGGATCTACAATGCATTGCGGCAGTGACGATGCAATAATTCGGAAACCCACGGCTGCCTGATCTGGTGGAGATCCAGCAGGATAAAGTATAAACCAAGGCAGGTGGATCCTTCCTTGGCCATCCGCGGATCCAACGCAGTGGGTGGGAACTGAATGCGGAGGAGCACGGCTACCTGCCAGGGTGCATAATGATGCAAAATGCCCAAAAGGTTGCATTGGAGGCCTTGAGCTCTCCCCTAAGTCGTCATGCCAAGAGCTTTCAGGCTTGTTGAGTTGTCACTCTCATCGAAATATAGTTCAATAAAAGTGGATCGACGCGAGGAGACGAGAGTGTGCACAGCCTGCATACTATGCATGCAACTGCCAGCTGTTACGAATAAGCTTTATAAGGCCTTGTATGGCTTCGTTTTCTTATGTCGTGTTGGTCATCTGTCCAAATCTACCTATCCTCTCGTGTACAGCCCCCTCGACCTTTTGTATCTAAGCTTCATCGCCTCCCATGGACATTTCTATGGCTCTAGGCAGCTTCATTTGCAAAATGCATGGCAACCTGCAATTTTGCCTTGATCTTGGCTATCTGACCTAACATTTATGACAATCTATATGGGGACTGAGAGTTTTCAACAACCTGGAGCCCTGAACATCCGGCTACGAAACATCTCTTTTAGGAAATTGGTGGTCAACTCACTAGTTTGGATGGGCGGAGGCAAGCATCAGCCAACAGTATTCCACTTACCGTCAAATCTCAATATTGTCAGCTGACTCAGCTCTCATATAGATCGAATGGGTCCACACCCTTTCCCAGTTCTTATTCTCCGACATCAGCAATTATTGTCAATACCAAATGTGGCTTGGCTCAAATACCCGTTTTTTTGAGTTCGTGGCGCAGAAAAAACAATTCTATTGTCATCGACAAGGGTCTAATTCATTTGCTACATGCGAGGATTCTCTATCAGTCAACCACATTTGATGCTATAGAATGCTGAGATGCCACCCTATCTGAATCCCGTGACTCTATACTTCGGCCCCACCATCCAATCACTGCGCTGCCCACCGGTGCGGGGCAGATGACAAGCCACCCCTCACTTTCTCTTGCCTTCTCTCTCTCTCTCCATCATCTCTTCAACCTCGCCATCTATCAATCATCATATAAAACACTGAAAAAAAAAAAAAAAAAAAAAAAAAAGACTCCAATATGTCCTCTCAATCCCCCAACCCCCAATCTGATAGCCGTCTCTCCACCCGGATATCAATCCGCTGGATCCCCGAACCGGCCTCCGAAACCACCGACACCGTCGTGATGTCCGTGAAAGGCTGGTACGTTGATCTCCGCGTGGATAAGACCTCAGGTGATATCGACTGGGCCATTGCGGGGCAACGGATCGTGGATAGTCAGGAGTCTAGTATGTTTACCTTCAGGACATGCGCAGTCAAAAAGCTTATTTACTGGCCTCGCAGGTCGCGTTCAATTCACACATGAAATCGACTCGCACAATTCGTTCAACGTGGCTGACTGCGGGACGTTCTCTGCCCTGCCGAACGGCGATGATCTGGAAATCGGGTCAATGACGAGGCCCGATAAGCCCGGTGCGCCTGTGACTAAATACGAGGAAGTGTGGAGAGAATTGACCTTCCGAGAAGGCCCGGAGGGTCTGGGGAAAGGTATCTCGTGGGTTCTTGAGTCGAAGCATAATATCGAGGAGGGTGAAGAGAAAGAGGTGGCTAGAACATTCCTGGCTAGAGTTTGGGGTACCTACATTGTTATCCGTCAAACACAGAATATCGGACGATCGCATAGCTCTGGCGACATCTCCGTGAAGGATGGCATGGGTGTCAGTGCTCGACGAGAAGAATGGGATTCCTCTGCCGGATGGGTCCCACGATATGTACTCCCCGGCAAGGGGGAGGAGCTCCCATCTATGAAGAATCTCGACGGAGAAGGCACGGGTGCGTGGCGCACTCCAGGGGCAACAGTGATAGTCTCTGGCGAGAAATATACAGTTCAAGCATTTGAAGAGATTGTGTAAGGTAGGTGAGGCATCTCAATTCATTCGTCATACTCTATCTCTATTATGTCTATTTACAAGTGTCATTTTTGTTCATTCGAACGCTTACTGCTCGTTGACGAGCACATAGCGGTAGCGGGCCTTGCCGGCGTCCATGTCGACGACAGCCTGGTTGGCGTCCTTCATGGGGCGCTCCTGGACCCAGGTGTTGACGTTCTTCTCAGCAGCAAGCTCCAACATCTCACGGATCTCGCTGGGGCTACCGATCAGGGAACCGCCGAACTTGACGCGTTTCATGATAAGAGCGGAAGCGGGGATGGCGAGAGCACCGTCCTCGGGAACACCAAGCTGGACGAAGTTGCCGTTGGCCTTGAGGAGGGAGATGTAGTCGACAAGGGGCATCTATCATGTCGTTAGCTCACTTGTTCGTGACAGGATGCGTGCATGTGGCAAGATACATACCTTGGAAGAGGAGACGGTCGAGACGATCAGATCCAGAGAGCGGGAGTTGTTCTTAACCCAGTCCTTGTCGTCATCGGTAGCGATGTAAGCATCGGCTCCGAGCTTGAGGGCATCCTCGCGCTTGTTGTCCTTGCGGGAGATGGCCACGACGCGGTCGGCACCGAGGGCCTTAGCGAACATGATACCGAAGTGACCGAGACCACCGACACCGATGATACCGACGGTCTTGCCGGGACCGCAGCCGTAGTGGCGCAGAGGCGAGTAGGTGGTGATACCACCGCACATCATGGGGGCTGCGACGGAGGGAGAGATGTTGCTGGGCACCTTGATAACGAAGTGGGAGGGAGCACGGTGGTACAGAGCGTATCCGCCATAGGCCGTGCCGCCGTTCAGATGCGTGCTGTTGTACGTTCCGACCATGTTGTTGGGGCAGTACTGCTCCAGGCCGGAGGCACAGGCCTCGCAGTCACCCTTACGGCCCTGGCAGGAATCGTTCTGAGCTCCGACACCAACGATGTCGCCAACCTTGATGTTTCCCTCGGCCTTGGAGCCGACACGCACGGCAGTACCGACGATCTCGTGGCCGACGCAGCAGGGGTATTGGGTAGGGCCCTAATTCTTCAAGTCAGCACATCATGTTATATGCATCTCTGGGCGCATGAAAACATACCCATCCGCTACGGAGAGTGTGCAGGTCGGATCCACAGATACCGGAGTGAGTGATCTTGATGTCGACATCGGTTTCCTCCCAAGGCTTGGGCTCGAACTCCTTCCACACCATCTTACCCTCGACGGCAGAGGAGTCCAGGCCCATCCAGCCCTCAAACTTGTAATCGGTAGCGGCCATTTTGAATATAGTTAAAATATGCTAATCGAAATGGATGTCGATCAAATCTAGAGAAGGGTCTGATTCCCAAGGGGTACTCAAGGACCTTTATAGGTAGACGATGTGGCCACAAACCTATGACGAAAATAGGGGGGGCAACACCGTCTCGGAGGGGTACCAGAGGAAAGTCGGAACAAAAGATTAGAAATTCAGGTACTGAGGTGATCCACATACCCCCAGAATTAAATCCATTATGTCCGTGATGACAGTGGACCGTTTCTTGCTCAGTTGCCATTCGCAACGGGAGTGCATTCACTTGAAGCCCGCCGACTTCATGACATACAAACTCCCCCATCCTAATCAGGTTGAGACATCACCTTTGATCACTATCGTCCGGCTTATACTAACTGTAAGCCAACGGCTTTAAGCCTACATTCCGTCAGCATAATCCCTGTCGAATCTACGCGGAATTGTCTAGCCGGAAGAACGGAGCGGTCGCCATGTGGAGCCCTCTACCGCCGCATTCCGTGGACCCGGTGCCCACAACGCCCATCGATTGGCTAGAAGGTCTATCAAGAATTCTTTTGTCTTCCACCGACTCTGAAAATTCAAATGCCGCGGTTGGCACTAAGTTATGCTGATTGCTGGCCGCTTCTGCGTTCTCCACCCGGCCCTGGTCGGCACAGCGCCGCCAGCTCGGCGAAACTTGCTAAAAATTCTTAACCAGGGCAGATGACGCCACGGAACGTGGTTTCTTTCCCACCTGCAGGTGGCTGACCGGGGGGGATTTAATTAAGGTTTTCTTGGTCATGGTCTCGGCCATCGGGGTGATTCGGAGACTTTTACCATTGATTATTTTTAGGCTTACATTGGAGTCCGGATATTGGGGTTATGGAGGTTAGATCATGACATGCTAACGGTCTACTAGGGTTGTTTTTGAGGTTGCATGATCCGCCCTTGGATGTTTATCTCTGTTCTTCAAGTATGGGAGTGGCGGGATTCAGGAGTGCTGTACTGGGTATTTGATAACTGAGAAAGGGCTTATCTTTCTTTCCTCTCTTTGATGCATCTCTGATTAAGTCCGAAAGTTCAATTGTTGGTAGACTTACGCGCCATGGTGATTTCAAACACGGAATCGCCAACTTTCAAGGCTAATAGGCCCATCGGTGCCTACAACACCTCACTGTTCCGATGGCTTTGAGCGGACTTCGAACTGATCTTATCAAAATTGACACCCGCGGGTAGGTCATCCACGGCTGAACTGAGTCGCTGAAAATGGGCTGGCACCCAGTCGTTGTACAAAGCCATGACGAATTTATACGATGTCCATCTTTCTTTGCCGTTTCGCGCTGTGATGCTGAATGCACGCACAGAGTGGCGGTAGTATGTTGTCTTTTCCCCCTCGATCACAGAATAATGACCATATATCCTCACGTGGTCATGATTGTGGGAAATAGAGAACCCCAGGACCTGTCGATGGAGTTCCTTCTCCCGCTTCACGAGCCGGAAGATGTCCACGACGCCTTTCAAAGCGCGAGACATACTGTGAGCATTTTGCCGGTCCGCTAACTCGAGAGACACTTTACCGCACTTGACCTCTACCACCAAGAATGGGAAAAGCATCTCGGCGGTGCCTTTGAAAGGGGATGTGCTATAGAATCCACCTAAGAATGGCGCAAGCTTCTCAATCTGGCTTTTGGTGAACGCTTCCTTCAAGAATCCGACCGAATAGTCGGGTTGCGGGATTGGCATCTGATACTGTCCACCCTTGAGGCTGCCTGCGTCCAGTTGCTGCCCGTGCACAATTTCGTCGAGGGAGATCGATCCATCCCAGAGTTCTTTGACACTGTCAATTAAGCATGTGAATCCAACCTGGCCGCGAACAATCCCGATCTCCGCCCAGGGAACGACCAACTGACCAATCACCTGGGTAACTGCAATTTCGTTCCTCTCTGGAAGTATGCGTTTGATGTAATTGAAAGAGTCACCATTCTCGAATATCGTGTCTCTGGGCGTCTCACAGCCTCTTTCCAACAGCTTGATACATCTCAGTGCATCATTCTTTGCGATTCCGTTCCCGTGACTAGTCAGGTAGCTCCCCTTGGAGTTGAGGAATCTTTCCATGTCTGTGTGTTGGCGTTCGGCGTTCTCAGTCAACTCGGTTGGCGATTCAGACGTCGACGAGATAAGATTCTCTATGTTCTTTTTTGAGTCGGCTTCAAAGAGTATTTCCGGCCACGTTTCATGCTGAATCCAGTACAGGATAGAGGTGGCCTTGTTTGTTTTTAGCCCCACCTTAACTGACTATATTACTAGTTAGCTTCGTTGCCGTGATGCGTGGCTCACATATTAAACGCAAACATAGATGTTAACCCACCTGTAATCTAATAATGTCCTTGTATTGGATTGACTTTTGACGTGATAACCTTTCATGCGCCTTCTTCTGTCTCTTTGAGGGTTTCGGTTCTGTCTCAGTTCCTCGCTTTCGTTTCCGACTCACTGGGTTCGCCTAGACATATCCATGTTTAGTTTTCTTCTGGTATCTCGAATGAAAGTGAAATAAAAATTGACAACCTACCTTGGGTTGTTGTAATTTCGGCGAAGGAGGCCGTGTCTTTGCTTTTGATGACTTTCCTTCCTTTACTCGAATCCGTGCACTTCTTCGATGAATCGGTTGGCTTTTTGTCATTCCCGACTTTCTTGGACTCTTGGCCATGATGTTTGATGATACTATGTACCTTGTTGGACTTCGAAGGTCCTGAATGTTAGGTTTTTTTGCTATGGAATCGAGAGTAAAGCGGAAGAGAAAGGTAGCTAATCTATGATGTTCAGATAATGAAGAGAGAGATAATGGCCTGCTAACACAAAGCATTCTTCTCTCTCGAACGCAGGAGACGAGGCTACAAGGATTGAGTTGGACAAACTACTATAAAGGAAACTTTGTGAAAGAGAGTGTCAGTCTTGATTCAGGAGTATAATTGGAGCGATAATCAATAGATTGATATGTAAGTAGATGAGCTTTGGTCAAAGGACTCGGTTTCTTGCATCTCCGGTTTGGCTGGTGATAAAGGATGCTGGAATAAAGCGGGTTTTGGAGGATATCGCTAGATATCTCGAACAAAGGGGTTTGAATGGTTTCGCTGTCTTTTTTTCTTTGTTTCGTGGTCTCATTCGCATTATAGCAATCTCTTTAATTAATTGTAATCTTTGTCAATATTAATCTTGGCTCACAACATGAATATAAACCCAATGGAACTTTCCAATGGAGTACTCATGACCAAATATATGTTTGTAGGATGTAACCCTTATTTGATTCCCACTAAACCACCAATGTCACTTGGCTAAGAACTCAGAGCTAGTTTCGAGGACTTTGCCCCGCCGAGGAATACTATAGGGATATATAAGCGGAAATAAGTAATCGATCTATTCTACTAGCTACCGAGTCTGTGAGGAGGACAGCCGGCTTTTCCAAATGCCAAGAGTTTTGTCCGAAACTAGCTGCATGTGTGATTAGGGTCTTTGAGCGTAATTTTTTCAACAACGTCCGATATGGTGTAATGGTTAACATCGCCGTCTCTCACACGGCAGCTCGGGGTTCGATTCCCCGTGTCGGAATCAGTATTGGGAATTCATTTTTGTTTTTCTCTCATTCCTTTCTATTTTCCTCCTTTAGTTAGATAGAGAAAATTGTAGTTGGGGGTTTTCCCCCCTCCTCTTGGCTTTTTGAATTAGCTGATTTTGGTGCTTCTAATATGTTCGTAATTCTCCTCCCAACGCGGACGAGCTGCGAGGAAACATCGCCCAAAGAATGGTCCAGGAGCTAATTAATCCTATGTTATGAGCCGTTCAAATAGTGAGCAATTATAGCCAGTAGACCTTCATGGTACTCCCCTGTTGCAACAAGTCCCAATGTTCAAGATAGTGCCCGCCTCAACAGCCCCTTGCTTACAATGCCATTCGCAAAAACACGACGAATAAATTAGACCGCGGTAACTTGACAATGAATGATCTCTTTTTGGGGTATGCTCACTCTTTTGAAGCTCAGATCTTTGTCATTCAATTCCGGCATTCTAGACCGAACAGTCACCGGCATGGTACTACTACATACATATGGTAAATGTTGATCTAGAACACTGGCAATAGAAATTCCGGGAGAACTAGCAAGAGCGTCTCATTCAGTAATATAATTTAGATTATAATGATCAAGATATCAACATCAACATCAATACTACAAACCAGCTGATAAGCAAACCACCAACACGAACTAATGCGCATCAGGCCTAGCACACGCGCTAGAAAGTCGACTCATTCTACATCATCCTCTCATCTACCAATAAAATCTCCAGCATCCACATACTGTCTCCACCGTTGGCATGCGCCTGGAAGGCTTACCCCTTCAAACTATCCATCCCTCGAACAATCGAGGTTTCGGGCCACATTAGTCCTTTCGACTCATGCTCATCCCGCACCCAAGTGGGATGTGCGTCAAATGAAAAGTCTCGCATATACTGCAGTTAGACAATCGGCACACAGCATGGCGTTGGATTACAGTAATTAGCTCAGCTGGAAGACGGATCGGCGCGAAGGAAGCCAATTCCTATCTGACAAATCCAGGTCTCCTTCCCGAATAAGCGCTTGATTTATAATGCATGTTGGGGGGACCTGGTCGTGGCTCTTTATGTAACTGCGTGATGTGAAGCATATAAGTAATGCTGTCATCCTGGCTAAAGAAGATTTACTATTCAATTCGGATTCAAAAAGCAATTGAGTTTTATATACATATAGTCTGAAACACGCCTAAGAGACTCTGAAGTCGGTTCATCCTTTCTTCTTCAATGTATGTATATCTCTCTTTGCTTAACCCAGCCTCACAAATCGTACTACATGAGAATTAAGTAACAGCCCCATCAGACCCAAAGCACCTATACTATCCAAAATGTCCTCCACCTCGGAAATCCAGACCCAAGTCCTCAAATGGCTCCAAGCCTACCACGCCTCCGGTGACTCCATGAACCCACACACCTCCGTCCCCGAATTCTACACCGAAGATTGCGAAATGATATTCCCGGGCAAAGAACCCATTAAAGGTCACGCGCAGATCATCGCCTTCTTCGGGCAGCAGTTCCAGACACTCGCCTCGATGAAACATACCATCGGGCATGTCGACGTGGTGGAGGATCGAATCTACCAGGAAGCGAATATCGAGTACGTGCTGAAGGGGGACCCGGAGGAGAAAGTTATAAAAGTGCAAGGGTTGGCTGTGTTCGGGAAGGGAGTGCGAGATGAGCGGATGAAGTTTTTCAAAGTGTTTTTGGACCCGAGTCCTATTTTCAAGAGGGTGGGGGAGTTGCAGCAGGGGTCTGCGTGATTGAGTCATCCGTTTTTGCGGGGTGTTATTCATTTCTTGGATTATTTAGCGGCTAGGAAAGAATTCAGTATTTCAAATATTCGGAAACTCGTCATCGGTCGTTCATCTTATGTGTATGTGTATGCGTAGCTAGAATATCCATTGATCAAACACCGCCCCAAAGTCCACGCTATCCAGCACTTTCAGATCATCGGAGATATCGAACCCGTCGAGAACGGACGGCATAGTCTCCGGGTCTGGTGCATTCGACGGAACAATCTCTCTCGCCTCTAAGATGTCGTCGATGATACTCGACATGACTCGACTAGCTCGGGCGAACAGTTCATGGTTCGCAATTCCCGGTCTCGCCATGGTTTCTAGATGGGAGATGAAGACGCTTAGGTCACGAATAAGACGGGATCGCGAGCCACTGTAAGGAATGGGAAGGCCGGTTCGAGCTTGATTTTGTAAGGCTTTTGTGAGGACACCGGCGCTAGGGAAGCCGTATAAGAGAACCTGAGGATGGTTAGTCTGTTCAGTGGAGCTAAAAGAGAGAAGAAGGGGGGGGCATACAGTCCAGATAAAGTCCCGCTGAATATCAATCACGTGTTCACGTTGAATGCCGAAGGATAAGACTGTGGATAGAATGGTCGAGCTCACGTCTAACAATGAGGTCTGGGCTTCGGGGTCTTGCTGGACAAGTAGCCTCTGGATGAGAAAGTCATTGTAAAGATAGGCCAGGTAGCACACCGAAAGCATCAGACAGATATCAATGGAGAATACACTGTCCCAGCAGTTTGGGTTATACTGGAGATGACTAGGTAATGAGTTCCATGCTTGATGGCAACGGAAGGAAATATCCCTAGTGATTTATGAGTAAAAGATTTCACAGTAAAGCTCAAAAGCAGGGAGCGGCTCACCTTAACTGATCTGCCATCTCACGAGTCGGTCCTTGTAGAGAAAGTTCCAAAATTTCCTCTCGGAATGTACTTATGAGAAAACGCACACGAATCCAGGACGCTCGCTGGATGACATTCTGCACATTCCATCCTTTACTATCAATGGATGTCGAGGCAAGCTCGAACTCCGACGGACCCCCAACCAAGGAATCGTCGGCAAGATCAAGCGGAAGACTGCAGTCAGAATGTCGCCACGATATTCTCGGTGGTCGCCCTAGGAACGTGGCGACGCTTTTGTCGAGTTGATACGCCGCGGCGAAAATGCGTCGACGCGATTCTAGAATGAATACAGGGAGGTCGCTCAATTGTTGAGGATCCCGATGAATACCTAGCTCGAACATATGGCTGGATAAATCACCCAGTCTATGCCATTTCCCGGAGCCTGAATTTCTGATTAGCATGCATGAAATGATCTTCCATTACCTTGAAGGAAAACACTTACTTGAATCCCCATGCACCACGCTAGACAGTAACAGATTCTCATACATCAACCATATCGTCAAATCATTCACCGGCGTGAGTATCCTACATATCTGTAGAATGATATCACTCGCCACCATCATTCTCCTCGCGAACTTCTCCCGAACAACTAGCCAATTAGTACTTGGCAATCTGTCCCTCGCCAGCGAAAACATCGACGTCCGACCTGCAATGGCATAAATCACACCCACAATCTCCAACCGCAATCTCGACCCAGTAAATAGCTCATAGAATTCATTCGCCTCCACCATGGGTGGAATCTGAAACGGTTGGGCCGTGTTTGCAAGAATAGTCGTCGCCTGGTCGCTAGTCTGGTACCCATGGACCTGCCACTCCTCGACCGCGGCTTTGACGCGGATCAACGGGTTCATAACTAACGGGGCGGGTATAACCGCTGCCTGGCTAATATTGTAATACTCTTCGACGAGCTGTGAGATTGTAGTGAAATCTTTTAGACAGTTAAGCACCTCCCCAGCCTTGTGGACCCAGTATGGCGACAGGCCAGGCAACGCGGCGAGTCTCTCGGCGCCATCCTGCCGCAATACATCACTCGGACTAGAAACAAATTCGCGATCATCCTCGAACGTCGCGACGAAGCTCGTGGGCCCTAGATACCCCGTCGGCAGGGCCTTATCGGTCGCCGACGTACAGAACGGCTCCTCGGTTTGCGAATTGATCCCCTCGGAACTGGGCGATGTGGTTGTCGCAGGCGTATAAGTTGCCCTTGCGGGTGCAGCATTTGAAACAGGAGTCCCGTCATCTGTCGCATGCGCTGTGGGCCGTGTGAGAGGCGCCGGGTGGTAGAAACATCGACTGGCGATCTTACGTCGCCTACAGCGCGAACAAACGGGGAGGACATGGTCGCAGCGCACTTTGTCCTTCCGACAGGGCTCGCAGGAGGCGGGCTTCCCATTCCGACGCCGGGAACTCATCGTGAACACCGAATGGGAGATGGATAGAGACCAGCATTTTGGGGGATGGTGAATGCTGATGCTGCGATGGATCTTCGGAGTTGGGGCGCGGGGGCGGAGCTCATTTCGGAGTTCGGGGTTCCTTGCGCCATCGATTACGGTTAGCTTCTATATATAATAGGCGGTGAGGCTAATCGCGGACCAAACTAGCAGAAAGGGCGACCGGCTACGATCGGTGTATGCCTCAGGCATATTTCTGGTCCACCTCACGGAGCATAAATCTAAGCTACACGCACACCTTCTAAACCTAATTAGGAAAGAGAGGCCACGTCTTGATAAGATAAGAAAACGTTCTTTTGATCCCGCGCGAGATTCTCTGCTTCATGCAACACACGTCTTCCACCTCTCGCTCCGCTACCAGCGCCGTCGCCGCCGTCGCCGTCATGGAGGGCAACGAGGACCTCGTACTCGCGGAAACGGACTGTGAGGTTCAATATGAGGTTCTTCTGCATGATTTAGAGGATCCTGGCGCGCCTGGCGATCCTAGAGACCTCTGGGACGCTATAGACTATCCTGAGCTTCCCGCAGACCCTCTTGCTGACCCTGCGCCTTCTGAACCCATTTATATTACTCCTGTTGATCCCTGCTTAATAGTCCCTGAAGCTAATCCTGAGGCTATTCCTGGTCCCGAAGTCGCGATACCTCTCCCTCCGACAGACCGAACCTTTCCGTCTAAAACGGAATTGAAGGCATTCATCGACGAGTTTACCGAGCAGCATGAATACGCGTTAGTCACCAAGTCGTTACGGCGATATGATCAAGACGGAGAGATCAAAGTACGATATTTGCAGTGCGACCGTAGCAGATCATAGAAAACTACGGTCAAGGACGAAGATCGCATTCGGCGTACAAATACACGTGCTTGTAGCTGCCCTTTCAAAGCTGTACTTCGTCGAAATGCCTCTACAAGAGCTTGGTCGCTAGATGTTATCAGTTTAACCCACAATTATGAGCTTTCGCCAATACATACACATCCTAGCCTCCGAGCTATCCAGGTGCGGTAGCTTCTCGATATAATTAGCGGACAACTGAGTTCTGGTATCTCTCCTCAACAGATCATTGAGACTGCTAGATAGAACGACAATTGTGACTCCTTACTCCCACGGGACATCTACAATATTCGCCAGAGGATTTACCACGAATTTCTTGATGGCCAACCCCCTATACAAGCTTTGCTTACAGTCCTGCCAGAGGAGGGCAAATGGGTCTTTAATTACATGACTGACAGTGAGAATCGACTAGTAGACCTTTTTTGCACGCATCAAACCTGCCTCTAAGCTCTCTAAACAAATCCTTACGTGCTTATTATGGACTGTACATACAAGACTAAGAAGTACAAGATACCTTTACTTAATATTGTCGGCGTTACTGCTGTGACGGTCTACAAAGGAGCTTAGTAAAAGACAAGTTTGTTTAACGTGATTCCCGGCCGACCGGTCACCTCATCAAAACTTCAAAAAAATCACAGTTTTCAACAGCAAATTTAGAACCAAAACAATAATAAAATTGACTATCTAACTCTCTCAGGGTATTGGTTAATCCTGTGTCCTTTCGTATTACAGCCAGAACAAGTAAACTCGCGGCGAATAGTAGACATCTGAGGTAATTCAGGTTCAACTATAGCTTCTGTAGAAGTTGGATCCAAAGATATATAATTACTATCACGGTTTCTCTTAACACCAATATTATCCTGAATCTCTTCTAACTTCCCCAGACTACCCTTGTGAGCGGTCTACTTTTTATTTTTTATTCCTTTTTTTGCTTGTTTCTTATTTGCTTCTTCTAACTGGTGGCATCGATCGGAGAGAAAAAGATAGTAATAAAACAATCGGACTGTTATATTGTAATAGTGCTAAATCTCTCTTTTTGTAAGTAAAGAGAGATTATCAGATAAAAGGTCTAGGTCTAAATCGATGCGAGATTTAGATTTCTCTAGCTTGTTAAGTGTCTAGAGAGAATTAGGATCGCTATAACTGCCGGAAGATAGTAGTCGATTTGATAGTAGTTCAAGAGATAATAAAGATTTAAGCTGAATATTTAACTTTTCTAACACATGATTCGGATTAAAAGGGACTGATTCAGTAGCTAAAAAGCTATTTTAGCTAGTTGTCTCCTTGTAAGTGTCATATCGCACTATAGGAAAGATATCCAGGAAATCTTCTTTTTCAATCGAATTGACGTTGAGTCTTATGTATTCCGCCATCTTACCTCCGTATAAACGTTTTAAAATCGCAAAACAGCTTACATCAAGTAGCTGTAAGAGATGCGATACATGAGGTAGCATACAAATAGGGATAATATTATTTTCAGAGTATAGCTGGTCAAATTCTGGAGTAAGATGATTCCCATAATTATCTAGTACTAAAAAATAATATTTTTCCTTTCTTAATCGTATATTTGGAATGAAATATATTTTTAACCAATTAAGAGCAATCTTATCGTTTGTCTAACTATTTTTCGAAACATTAACTCGCCAGTCTGTTTCGTTTGATAAAAAATCAAACTAATGATGCTTAAATACCTTACCTTTGAAAATAATAGATGGCGGTAGGGCAACTCTAGAAGCCCTTATACATTCAATTACAGTAACTGTCGGTTGACTTGGTCATTGCCCTAAGCAGATATCCTATCGATTCAACTGAATGTAGGTATATGCTCGGTGGGT